ATCGGGAGGCCATTTAAACATGCTAAAAGCTGGGTAAAGGGTTGTGGGAGGCCATTTAAACACGTTAAAAGCTGGGTAAAGGGTAATGGTAATGAGAGGCCATTTAAACACGCTAAAAGCTGGGTAAAGGGTATCGGGAGGCAATTTAAACATGCTAAAAGCTGGGTAAAGGGTAATTGGAGGCCATTTAAACATGCTGAAAGCTGGGTAAAGGGTAACGGGAGGCCATTTAAACATGCTAAAAGCTGTAAAACTCTCTCCTGGAAATATGTTGCGTCACGTGGTTTAGCATACTGGGCAGATCAGGGCAAGCCGCACATCTAATCTTACACAGCCACGGTCGAAATTTCTGGAGAGATCTTATGCAAACTGGACTTCTGCTGACTTTTAACTCTGTTCTAATCCACTGCCTTAATAACCTGGGATAACACCTGTGAATGCCTATAGTACCGTCAGTCTCTGGATGGGATTCTTGAAGAAACAGTGAAGCCGATAGGCTTTCCGCTCAGGGGTTTATTCTTAGAGCAGGTTTATTTCAGTGTGTCGCTCCTTTACTGTATTCAGTTTCCAGATCCCTGATCAATGATTGAAATCCCAGTTTACGGAATGACCCCCTCCTTGGTGTGTAAAGCATTCCATGTTTTTCTTGATTCTGTTAGTGTTTGTATACCCCCCTCTTGTTACAGCATGGCGCCTCCTGGCACGCCATGTAACTCCTTAATAACTTTTAAGGGTCACTCACAGACCTCTGACAGCGCTTGATGGAGGAGTGCTCCTCAACCGCACATTATTCGCCATTGCAAGCCTTAGAATGCTCACCAGCACTTGACAATGGCGGTGTGTGTGTGTGTGTGTGTGTGTGTGAAAATATATGTATGTATGTATGTTCAAGTAGAGATTGTAGCACAATCCTAGCACAAAACTTGAGGACATTGTGCTCTACTCTGACGTGGACGACTTTTTCAGAAGGATGAGACTTAAAGGACCACTATAGTGCCAGGAAAACAAACTTTTTCCTGGCATTATAGTGCCCTGATGGTGCCCCAACCCTCATGGCCCCTCTCCTGCAGGGCTGAAGTTGGAGGAAGGGGTTAAACACTTACCGGCGCTGGGGACTCTCCTCCTCCTTCCGACGTCATCGGCTGAATGCGCATGTGCTGCAATAGCCGCGCGCATATTCAGCCAGTCCATAGGAAAGCATTACTCAATGCTTTCCTATGGACGCTGGCGTCTTCTCACTGTGAATATCACAGTGAGAAGCACGCAAGCGCCTCTAGCGGCTGTCAATGAGACAGCCACTAGAGGCTGGATTAACCCATATGTAAACATAGCAGTTTGTCTGAAACTATGTTTACAGCACACAGGGTTAATCCTAGATGGACCTGGCACCCAGACCACTTCATTGAGCTAAAGTGGTCTGGGTGCCTATAGTGGTCCTTTTAAGGAATCCTTCCATGACCAAGAGAGCACTGAAACCACAATGGATTATAACAGATAAAAGAAACACTAATTTCACTCCAGCACCAGGATGAAATGCCAAACTGGACAGTTACATTGAAACTTTCCGTCTAATAACCGTATCCTTGACAACCAAGCAAAACCAAAAGAAAATGTTTCATAATCTCGGAGTACAGGAACAAATGGCTATAAATGACTTAAAAAATAATCATGCGATCACCATCAAACCAGCAGATAAGGGAATGATCAAATTGTTTAACTGCAAGAATAGAGGTCTAAATATTGATTTGGGATTCCTGTCCCACTACCAACACTTTACATGAACACTCCCCCACACTATCTTACTGTTCTGTCATATGTATCAACACTTTAAAACGCATTCCCGTATGTACATGAACACCCAGGACTACATAAGAGGGTGACAGGCAATTGTCAGATGACAAATACTATAGAAAACTAAATGAAGACCCCCACCCAGGAATATACATCACAATTTAGGGAGCTCATTAAATCCCTCCCTGAGAATTTGCATCTAGAACTGCAATCACTCATACCAACTAGTCCCTGCATGGGCACTTTCTATATGCTTCCCAAAATCCACAAAGCAGGTAATCCTGGAAGACCCAGAATTACAGGAATGGGAACTCTCACAGAACAGATCTCAGGACTGGTAGAAAATACCGTATTTTTCGCTCCATAAGACGCACCTAGTTTTTAGAGGAGGAAACCCAGAAAAAAAAATATTCTGAACTGTTCCATAGTGTTTCTTACTATGGGACAGTTTGTTCAGAATATTTTTTTTTTTTAAGGAATTTTTTGTTCCTTACCACCCACTCCCCTCTCCTGTCCCATAATGATCTTTAACCCCCCTCCCCTGTCCCATAGTTATTTTAACCCCCCTTTCCTCTGTCCCATAGTGATTGTTAACCCCTCTTCCCCTTGTCCAATAGTGTTCTCATCCCATAGTGTCCCCCCTCCCCTTGTCACATAATTACTTACCTGTCAGTGTGCGCACTTCCTTTCAGTCCTGCCGGAAACCGGAACCTGAACTTGAAGTTCCTGTACCGCGGAGCGCGCTGTGCTGCCGGCCCACGCTACAAGACAGGTAAGTAAAGCTTCACATTCGCTCCATAAGACGCACAGACATTTCCCCTCACTTTTGAGGGGAAAAAAAAGTGCGTCTTATGGAGCGAAAGATATGGTACCTTAAAACCTCTAGTCACCAACACAAACCGCTTCATAAAAGACACAACCGACTTCCTCAACAAACTCAGCCAAATCACCAATCTCCTTGCTAACACCATCCTTGTAACCATGGATGTGGAATCTCTGTACAGCAACATTCTACATACAGATGGCATCAATGCTTGCTTCCATTTCCTCTTATGCCAACATCCAAAAATACAGCCCCCGAATTATCACAGAACTGGCACTGTTTATCCTCACACATAACTATTTCAGTTTTAACAATTAGATTTACCTGCAAACCATGGGCACTAAGATGGCACCCCAATATGCTAATCTGTTTATGGCAGATCTTGAACAGCGATTCCAAGAAATACAGCACACAAGACGATACAAATATCGCTATGCTATATCGATATCTTCATAATTTGGACTGAAAGCGAAGAAAAACTGATCGTTCCATGACTCTTTCAACACATTCCATCCATCAATCAAACTAAAAATGGAATCTGTGAATTTTCTGGACACCACTGTGACTTGTAACTGGCACAATCCACACCTCGGTTTACAGAAAACCCACAGACGGGTGCAGTTACCTCCACAGCTTCAGCTTCCACCCCTCCCATACTAAACAGGACATCATCTACAGCCAAGCCACTAGGTACCATCGCATATTCTCTGATCCTAATGACTGTAATTCCCATCTAAATGTACTCTCCCAGTATATGAGACAGGCTACAAACCAAAGACTATTACCAAACAAATCAACTCTGCTGTATAAACTCCACGCACGCGCCTGTTACAGTACAGAGAGAGAAAAAAATATACAACCCAGCTCTTGAGGAAATACGGGAAATCATTAAAGACCTACAACCAATGTTAACAGAAGATGAAACTCTGAAAAACATTCTCTGAAACACCCATTTTGGCCTTCAGACAACCACCAAACCTCCAACAAAAATTTATCAACGGGAAGCTACCCACTGATAAGAAGAATATTGAATACAGGACCAGTCAATGCAAAAAACCTTGCTGCAAACTATGTCTGCACATACGCACAGACACCACAGCCACACACAACAATAAAACCTACGGCATTAAAGGTTCATGCTCCTGCACATCCAGCAATGTGGGATACATGATTCATTGCATAAAATGCCACCTAGGATGCTACATTGGGGAAACCACCCAGCCATTAAATGGCAGAATGAATATGCACAGAGACTCTATTAAACACCACAAAGAAGGATCGTACTGCACTCCTGTGGGACACCACTTTACCCAGCCTGGCCACTCACTGAAGGACCTAAAAATCAAAGTACTGAAAGTTTTTTTTTTTGTTTGTTTGTTTGTTTTTTTAAATACCCAAGAAAGAAAAACCTTTGAAACCAGAATGATCAAATTGTTTAACCGCAAGAATAGAGGTCTAAATATTGATTTGGGATTCCTGTCCCACTACCAACACTTTACATGAACACTCCCCCACACTATCTTACTGTTCTGTCATATGTATCAACACTTTAAAACGCATTCCCGTATGTTTATTCTATCAATATATAAGCACTATGTGTAGACCTATGCTTTCCCATACTCTTTTATGCATATATGTATAGGATTTTGTGTGTGTGTATATATGTATATGTGTGTGTATGTGTATATATATATATATATCATCTTCTGCACTGTCTGCTTGATTTTTTTTTTTTTTTCCTCCCTCTCCACCCTCACTCTGCTCTTCAGAAAGATATTTACGACCCTCTGCAAGAATGGTGCCTATTTTCTAACAAACCTGTGTCTTATCTGCACTCCTGTCGCTTTAACCCCTGTATCACAACTCACCTTTGAATTCTATGTGTTGTCTTGCTCAGAAATGCTTAAGACTTGAGAAAGGGAGGTTCTCCCGAAAGCTTGTCATTAAAAAAATTCTGTTAGTCCAATAAAAAAGGTATTACAAGATACGAATTTAAAATTTGTTTTGATTTTTATTTTTTTACATATATATATTTAAGGCCACCGGCCTGTATTTGTGGGAGGAGCTAGCGTTCCTATAAAACGCTACTTCACCTTCGTCGTGACATTTGCTGTTCACCCCACCCACCGCACCCTCTTCATATGTAGACAATTGCTTCAGGGGGCCCTCTTTTTTTACAGGCCTACCTCTACGTCTGTTTCGGCACACCGACTTGATTCAATAACAAGTATTTTCACGGTCACTATATTAACCAACTAGATAGATAGATATAGATATAGATGGATATATTTTGCTATTTTTCCTTGCCAATGGCTATATATAAATTATATCTATAATCTTTGTTCGTAACCAAACCAATACTCTCTCTAGCTTTTAGTGACAGACGATGGCGGACCTTGAGCCCAACTTTAGTCTCGAGGATGCCCTAACCGATGCTCCACCACAGATTGAACCAGAGATAAAGCGGGATTTTATCAGCTCGCTGGAGGCGGAGCCTTATGACGATGTCGTTGGTGAGACATGTGATAAAGCAGACTATGTACCTCTGCTGGATGATGATGAAACAAAGGAGCCAGGTGACGGTAAGCCTGACAGATTGTATAAAGTGTATTCGCAATGGCGCTGGTAAATGTGGCTCATTAAATAATCCCCTACAGATCTCCTATATAAATCTCAATATCTATACCTGGGCTTAACATATCTCGCCCTACACTACTAGCCCGGTCTGAACAGTTACTGGCCACTGTAAAGCTGGGAGATCCATGGCACCCTTACTACTCACCAGTGACATCTGCTTGACAGGGCTGAATTTTCACTCACTGGTGGAAACGTTGAACCCTGTCTAAACCCTTCTCATCTAAAGATTCTCCTGATTCATCAATGGGGCGATACAGGCATTTATCCTACTCCACACACTGGTAGTTGCACGCTTGCATATTCCACCAATGCACTTCATTTCTTAAAATGGAACCATGTTGGCATCATGCTTTGTGCCAATAAGGCCAGTTTTAAAATTTGCATAGAATATAACTATTATACTCCCTTGTAACCTCTCTGGCTTCTCTTATTGGTACAAAGTAGGACGCTCCTCTCAGAGAGTGCAAGGTGTCGAAGACAGCTGGAACACAGCATCCCTACCCCTTTATAGCCTTATAGACACCTTACACTCTGTTATAAGGCTGTAAGGGGCGGGATGCTGTTACAGAGTGTAAGGTGGCTATAAAGGGGTAGGGATACTGTGTTAGAGTGTAAGGTGTCTGTTATAATGCTGTAAGGGGGGATGCTGTGTTACAGAGACTGTAAAGTGTCTGTGTAACACAGCTCCCCCCTCCCTTTACAACCTTATAACAAAGTGTAAGGTGTCTGTTATAAGGCTGTAAGGGGGGAATGCTCTCACCCCCCGCCCCCCTTACAGCGTTAGAGACACCTTACACTCTCTGTAACACAGCTCCCCCGTTACTGCCTTATTACAGACACCTTACACTTTCTGTAACTCTCTTCTCTTACCCCCCTTACAGCCTTATAACAGACCCTTTACACTCTGTAACACGGCATCGCCCCCTTACAGCCTTATAACACACCTTACACTCGCTGTAACACAGCAGCTTCCCCCCCCCCACCCACCCTTACAGACCTATAACAGACACTTTAAACCCTGTAGCACGGCTCTCCCCTCCTATACAGATGATTAATAAAATGCATTTAATGGTAGGAGGGAGAGAGCATGTCCTGCAAGGTGAGTAATGGTTCCGTATTGTGGGATTAGTGAGTAAATTAAAAGGTTCCTGGTTTGGCACGCACGTTGCTCACTGGTGTCAAATCATGATCTGCCTAAAGTGTAATTAACCGGTTTAGTTCTTGCTGACCTATATGATTTAATGCACTCACAACTTATTTATTTTTGGCTCTTCTCCAGGATAGGCGTTTTATTTCAGGTTAATTAAGGATGTAATTTACCAGGTGTTAGATGTATAAATGATGTAACCTTGGCAGTCATTTTGACCAGCCTAGGACACGCCATCCTAACTGCGTGACACTATTCCTGTGTCTTTAACTCTACTCTTTAGAACTTTGTTTATTTTTTTCCTGTGATGTTTATGATTTAACATTAACCGAACATTTTAGACCCCTAAAGCATTTCAGCTTGTGTAAAGAGTGTTCTATAGAAATTGTTACTTTTTATAAAATAACCCTGGCTGTTAATCAGGCACCTGATCCTGTTACTTCCTGGTTTGTTTAGCTCAGTGGAGTTCAACGCAAGGGACAGCAATTGATCAGAGCCACCTGCCTTGCAAAGACTTCATTGAGCTACATTGGAAAGCCTGTGATTGGACAGCCACAGAAAGGCTGGACGGGGTTAGAGGGGGAGGAAAGGCTGAATAAATGTTCAGTATTTTTTAATTGAAACATTATTTCCACCTTGGGCATGGAACATCAGAGAATTATGGCTTCTTACCCTGTGGAAAGCCAGGAGCTGCTCTGTAAACTAGGAGCTGCTCGTCACTTCCAAGCTCACTCCCCTTAGTACTGCAGAATAGATTTGATTTAATTGATAATGCAGAATTTACAGTTCTTTATCAGTTCAGCTGTGAAGGGTGCAGTGAAGTGCCCTATTTCTTGTCAAACTGCCTGGAAACAGACTGTGATAGGACACCTGCAACTATTGGCAGCATCACTTCTACAAAAGGAGATAAATCTTCTCCAGAACAAATTCCATCCTATAGGTCTGTCGATTGGTTTTGAAATGGTGATGCAGCTGAACGATGTTTGCCTCCACTCTGACAAAGGATCAGATTTTATGTCCGGCACTGCCAAACGTACCATCGCCTGATTAGATAGAAAGATCCATCTGCTTGGAATCTTGGTAAAAGTGACATCACTGCTTTAAAATGTACAGTTATCCGTAAATGCGGGATCTATAAATAACCCCATTTATTGTCTAACCCATTAATATAGTGTTCCATATTTATTTGTTTAGACAGGGAGATGGCACTTAAATCGATTCTGTTTTTTTTCAGGTTCCCAGACGTCTGTGCTGGAAAATGGCGAACATGTTGGAGAAGGCGACGCACCTAGTAAGTAGCTTTAAGCTGAGGCTTCAGCCTGAGCGTCTTATTTATATTGTATTTTCTTTGAGATTGAATGGAAATCAATGCATATTTCCGTATCTCTTTACTTTGTTTGATGTCCCAGTTGGTAGCCGCCATCTGGTGCCCACCTTGCTTGTAGCGTTCTAGATTCTAAACGCGGTTAAACAGGCTGGTCATAGGATAGAACCGTTCATAGCTCCTGTGATGCAGGTTACATGAACTTTATGGTGTGTGTGCTACAATTCGGAGCCCTGAAAATATTCTATATATTCTGTCTTAGGGCATATTTCTGACCTTTTCTGGATCAGCTGCCAGTTTTGGGGCATATTCGACTTACTTTGGCATGAGAATGGGGGCTAGTGGGAGGCGGTTATTTTCTGCGAGTGTTCGAGATTATTATAATGATGCTGTGTTTGCTGTAGCTTAGTAACCTACTAATACCGTGATCTGGAAATCACCAGCAAATGGCATTGGGTTTATGTGTAGTCTGCTTCCTGGATAGATAATGGTAGCGAGGAGCCGCAATGCTTAGCACTCGGCAGTTTGTTGGTGATCATAGGAATTCGGATATATCTGTATGCTGTCTGCATTGTGATACACTATCCATTCCAGAACGGTGTATACATCCAATGTTAGTCTGTAACGGGTTAAACAGAAAGATGTCTTTCTGCACCGTGTTTACTGTCTAACCTGTATCTGGGATCCGAGACCTCTCATTATAGTCAATAGTTTCATGCTATGAATAGAGTTTTTCACTACACGTTTTACAACAAAATAGCAAATTGCAAAAATTCTCCCACTTGGCAAACTTTAAGCCAAAATAGTGAAAGCGGTGAAAACAAACTTGTTTCCTGGTCACGTCTGCACATGTTCTAATGGTAAATCTGGAAGTTTCAATAATCTGTGATCTGAAATGCCTGTTATATCACATGTCCCGTTCTTTCCATTTGCATTTTGTAACCGCTGTATAGACCCAGTGAGCTTCCTTTATTCTGAATCTGACCCAGTCCCTGAACGTCCCCCAAGGAATCCCGTGTTAACCGCGACTAGGTGTTCCTGTGATAAGGGATCCCTGGAGAACGCAGCTCAGAAACCAGCAACACTTTTCAGGTGTTTTGGTCACATATAGGCCCAGTTACAGTGTAATAGTCTGACTTAAAGACTGCAGATTATTTACTCTGTAATCTGTTTTATACAGCATTTCACCTCTTCTGTCTTGATGTTTGGAACACTCACACGCATGGTGATGCAGTCGCCATGGTAACCAGTAGAATGTTCCTGTATATTGATCCACATTTAGCATTTTCCTGACACTTTATAAATTTTCTTCGAAGCCTCCATTTCTCTTGTTGTATAGGAAATGTAGGCTTTGTGCCTTTAAGAAGATATTTCTGTAGTATACCATAGCATTGTGTGGTCTAGTTACATAATGTTTATGTGAAAAATCAGTTTAACCAGTTTACCTTGATGCATGTTTATAACCCTTCCTGCCTGCTGGTGGCGCCAGAGCTATACAGTCTGATTTATTTCAAAGCACTACTACGGTGTCGGTCTGCACACATCAGAATCCCTTCCCTGTAGTTATTTTTATTTAACCGATAAAGCTCATGGGTTTATTTACTGAACAATCAAGGCTTTTTTGTTTGTTTTTATTAATTTTTTTTTTTTTTTTGAGGCATGTTGGTAGCAGAGATACAATAATATAAAGGCATCAACAGTAGTGTACTTTTTTTTTTTTTTTTTTAAGCATGTACAATTAGAGAGAAGGAGTAAAGGGATAAACAAGGATAAGGCAGGTATACATCATAGAGCGAAGACCGGTATACATAAGCTACAACATAGCAGTGAGGCTTCGCTACCCTTCTCAAACCTACGTGTCTTGGAGTAGCCAAGTAATAAGTGGTTCACTCCTTGTCTAGTATGGGGGAACAATCAAGTTTTTAATTGACAAAGACAAAATTGCATTTTTCTGTCACACAATACAGCAGTGTTTAATTTTTTTAAATTGGGTTTTCTTGTTTTTTATAATTTGAGTGGCCTTCCCAAGCAGGGGAGGATAGTGATCAGTATGTAACATTCAACAAAATCATATGCCACCCATACACGTTTCAGATAAATTAACCGGTAAAGAACATCCTCGTGAAACGGCACCTTTATATTCTGAGAAATCATTTTTCCAGATGGGCAAGATAACTCCCAATCAGGCATTTGGAGGTAACATGAGCCTGTGTGAAATGTAAATAGTTGCATTCAAAGCTCCGTTAAGGGAAGTACGTTACAGTAAATGAAAATCTAATCTCTGTGTACGACCATCAAAAATGAAGCTGTTGTGACCGAGCATAGCCTTAGTTGGCGTAAAGCAGCATTAGGCTCTAACGGTAATATATCCTATATTATGAGACTTAAACCTTTTTAACAGACACCGCAATGAGCTAGATATCGATATCTCATTTTTTTTATAGGTTATCTCTAAACGATGCTCTGTTCACAAGGTTAACATTTCCTTGCAACTCTTAACACCCAGGCCCATTTGAATTTCTGTTCCAGGAATCTAGAATTTGGAGACCTGACATCTGATATGATCAGGATTTGAAGGTCAGAATGGGCCAGAATAAAACGCACAGTGCCTTTCCTATTCTGGTAGTTCCATTGTTAAACCGTAGCAAGGTACCTGTCACTCGTGGTTTTCCAGCAGTACCACTGATTGCTGCGTGGGTTAGAGCTGTGCAGAGTTAGTGACGTGAAGGCACTGTAATCGCTGTCAAAACACCGTAAGATGAGAAAATTGCATCTCAATACACCCCTTTCCGTCTCACCAGAGACCTGTCACAACAAGACATGTAGGACTTATTTTAAGGAGTAATAACCCCGTTGTTATAATGTCACTTTTATTATACAATTTCACTTCTCAGCCCGGTGTCTTTCCATCAGGTCTGTAACTGCACACCGCTCTAATTAGCGACTCGATTTCCTTCCTTGTAATGTATTACTGGATAAAATAAAACCCAAACTGTCTTTTATATATCGCTAAAATTTATTGTTCTAGGTAACTGGCTGGCAGTAGATGGATCTGTTGTATGATCTAACACACACATAATGCAACTAACCCAGGAAAATGTTTTTTTTTTGTCGTCTGTCCCCTTTGCTGTGATTTTGTAGATGTATGAACTGTGCAGTGTGCTTGGGGGGAAGGGGTTATATATTCATAAAGATGGCAGCCTATCCGCACCCAGCTGGCATCGGAGGATGATTAGTTTGGGTTTTCTCTGGGCCTGGGACACCCATGGAGAGAGACATATAATGAACAATTTGGCAGTGATTTGCCCTAAATCTGTCCCTGATCTGTCCGTTTCCACCTAGTGGATGTCTTGTATGTGTTGCACGCCATGAGAGCTAGTCTACATAGGGAAAATCTTGTGTCCCAGAAAATGACAGAGGTGAAATGTATGGCATCTCATTGTGCATTATCAGTTTGACTTTTACTCTTTATGACTTTCTGATGCATTGTGCATTCATTCCCATAATTGTGTGTGCATGCTTTTACTTTCATTTACATTGCAACATGAAATTTAGCCCATAAAGCCTTCCATACCTCCATTTATATTCCACAATGGATTAAAACCCTGAGTGTAGAGGAACAGAATCCACTTGTTTAACTTGAGCAATGATCTCAAAATGACAAGTCCCACACTCCTAAACACTGAAGGTAGTTTTTATGGGTCATACCATTCTGTATAGTCAGGGAGGGAGAGGAGTGCATTGGCTCTCCCATTTCACATTCCGGAGATTGATGACGTTTGCAATAGTACTTTTTAAATATCCTTTTATTTTAGAAATCTGATTTATCTGTATTTGCTATATGTGGGCATTGTTCACCGCAGACAGTCTTTTTACACAGCTAGTAAAACCTTGCAAATCCCAATAAGAATAATATTTAACTATTTTGTATTTGTATACTTTTTCACACCTACTGTGTCAGAGAAATTGTGTGTGTATGTATATTACCATTTCACACTTTTTTGTACTTGTACTTTTAAAGCAAAGATGTGGTCAGTGTTTGCTGTGTATACAACAAAAATATCATCCATTACGGATGTGTTTTTGTTGTTGGTCTTTTTTTTTATATTTCAGTACAGTTAAAGAAACCATAAGATTCAGTAGACATGCAGCTATTATGCAGTTAAATAAACACCATCTAATCCTGTGTAAAATAATGTTTTATGTGTTCTACATCCAGAGGAGAACAGGGGGCAACAAAGGGGCAGGTTAGGATACAGAGAGCACAAAAAGATAGGGGGGAATAATATTCACTTTCATATGAAAGTGAATATTATGTGCTCACAGGTCAGTACGTTTTATACTTCAGTTCTAAAAGGCTACAGCTCTGCTTGTTACCTATTGAAGGCTGAAAATGGCAGTTTTTGAAAAAAGGTATTTTTTTTTCCCTATATATTCCTTTTAATTTATCACATATGGAGTTTATCCTACAGTAAATGAGAAGTTTGTTTCCTGGGATTGTCCATGGTGATAATGTTCTGGGGGTGTTGGCTTTTCCAGTGGGGTGCATGTAGAGCGATTGCTAGGATTACAGACTTCCTGCTGGAATAAAATGGTGTCTGGGCTGCTTTGTACATGTCTCTTACTAACCACTTGTGCTTTTTGCTTTTTTCTTCTCCTCCTCTCCTTCCTTTTTCCTGATATGTTCGCCCCTTTCCCTGTCTCCCTCTAGAAAACTAGCGTGTTCCTTCTCTTACTCTGGAATTAGCGCTAACCTCCCAGCGATCTGCTTCCTGCTCTAACTCAATGCTTTCCTCTGGGCACTGCTGAATAGAAGAAGTCCTCCGTCCCATCCTCTTCCTCACGCTGAGCCCTCCTCTCTCTGCGTAAGCGCACACAATGGACTGCTTTTCGCAATCAAACAGATTATTTTTAACTTTTTTTTTTTTTTCACATGCCTTATTTACTTTTTTGTCTTTTACATTGACCATTAAAGAACATTTACTCCCTAAATACTGTATTCTTCACTGGGACATGGATTCACCATTTTCTGCCATTTTTGTTTCTCCTTCCTGGCACAGAGTAAAGTAAAATTTGTGGAGTTATATACCTGATATGGCGGGAAGCCTACTTATAAACCATAGCAAGATTAAATTTCAGCGCTAACTCAGCGCCATAGAACTACACACAGGCAATCCTCACATTCACGCAGTGCACCCCGCAGTGCCGGTAATCTACATTCACGCAGTGCACCCCGCAGTGCCGGTAATCTACATTCACGCAGTGAACCCCGCAGTGCCGGTAATCTACATTCACGCAGTGCACCGCGCAGTGCCGGTAATCTACATTCACGCAGTAGTACTGGCAGTCCACACTCTAAAGTTTAGAGAGCAAACGGCACACCTTACTTGATACCTGATATATTTTATCTAAAACCAGCCATTTTATCAACATACTCGTACTGATTAGTGTTAGTTTATCATATGTCATTTATATACTTGCAATATTGTCAAGCACTACGGAATATGCTGGCGCTATATAGATACCAGTAATAATATACTTGTACTGACCAGTCATACATACGAAGACTGTCCGCTACTAATAAAATGAATGACATAAGATATAGCTTTGTTGTCCGTATACTAGTACTGATCAGTCATGGTATGATGTTATGATCCATAGATTAGTACTGACCTCTTTAATAAGTGGTGTATTTATTAACCATACCATGCTTTCCTCTGTGCCAAACCTAATGGCATTCACCGGTCTATATTCTGGGTTTGGGCTTCACGTCTCATGTAACTGAATAACCTGCAATAAATAATGTTACTGTATCTAGTTCTCTTGTGGTGGTGTTTGTGTGCCGATGGCAGCTATACGCGGTGAATGTTGGATAGACTGGTTATTAATATAGAAGCTGCATGGTGTGTATGTAGTATGAAACTTCCCGTGTAAAGGCCGGGCCTAGCAGTAACAGCTTGTGGTAACAAAACTACTCTAGTTATGTAAAGATTGGGAGCTCTCGAACCGTTACTGTAACCACACACGAACGCAGAGCAGGAGTTTAGAAACCTGCATGCTTTGTCTATAATGCAGTGCCCTGAACCCACCATTCATGGTAAAATAACCCAAATCTGAGCTCCAAGAGGGTTTTATTTTTTTTTTATTACTTTTGTTCAAGTTAAATTAGGTTTTTGCACTTATCTTCAAAGGATTAAACGTCTGTCCAATTAAAGGTGAAACTGACTTTCTAAATGTTTTTAACTTGGAAAGTTGCACACTTGCACTTGTGTGTGTGGGGGGTGATGTGCGTCAATATAAGCCAGCAATGGAGACTGCATGGGGTGGCATATAGGCTAAAGGCCGGGGGGAGGGGGGCATAGCCAGAGTTGTTGGCCGGTGTAGGGGTCATAGCTTGGGGTATAGGTCAGTGGTAGGGTGGGGAGTGCATTGTAGGTTTGCTGGCCAAATACCATGTGGGTTGTGAATGCCAGTCGAGGAAATACATTTAACTATAGTAAAAATTAGTGGGGTGTTTCTATTTTTTAATTTGTAGTTTTATTTAACCGGTAGCCAGTCGTTTAAATATCTGAAACCTGTAACTAGGTGTGGTCACGTGGTTCTTTTGTGTTTGTGTTTACTGGGAAGCTTTCTCATTGCTGGCATAGAGCAGTGTATATTTTGGGGTGTCCCATGTGATGTGCGTGGTGACTAGATAAAACCCACAGAGATATATTCAGCCTTTTTGCACCATCTATTAGGGTAACCTGCTTGCCATGCCTTCTTGCTGACTGGTAACCACACCCCTGAGAGAGAGCGGAGCACAGCTGGCATGGCTCTGCAGTGTTATTGTCGGTGACTTGGCACCGCTCGGCCTTCTGGGAAGTGATGAACAATCTGCAAAACCCAAGGATATCAGCATTCTCTGCTTCGGGTGAGTGACCTACTTAGCGGGCCTGCTGCACAGCTTGCACAGATTATATAAATAGCTCATGGAAGAACTGAATCCTGTGCTGGAAAAAGCACCTTTCAAAAGATTAACTCTGTAACCGCTTGCTCCCCTCCAGGAATAACGGGGTCACTGTACCCCACGGACCCCTAGTGTTTAAAAGGGGTGAATGGATTTTGGATTACTCAGCTGTGATCCAATGATTACACAAGATTCACTGCTTCTATATTCTAGAATAGATTGAAGATGTGAATGGGTAATGTTTGTCACTAAAATGGATGTCAGAAATCTATTTTTAAAGTGGTAATAACTGGGTAACTGCTATTTTCCGAGATGTTACCATGGGGAGATTATAGGGATAAAGGCTTTACTTGTCCTGGCCCCCTGTCCCCACCCTTCCAGTCCCATAACAAGCCATGCAGTCCTTCCATAACCATCCACCATTGTATACATTGCTCTCAAACTCTTAGGACTCTCCTTCAATACAATGTCGGTACGCTGCGCTACAGACAACTTGCCCTAATTCTAGCAGCAGCCACTCCCATGGAAAACAGTGTGTGGTCGTGTGTATTAAATCTATCTATTTCTAGATATGGGAAATACTTTGTAACACAGTGTGCCTGTATTAGGAATGCTGATTAGTCGTTGGCTGTCCCCCCTCTGTATCTGGTTGAAGGCTCTGTATATCCTGGAGAGAAGTAAACTCCTAACCCACCCAACCGTTACACCCCCCTCAATCAGTGAGGGCAGAGGCTCTGTGTCGCTTCAGAGGAATTGTCGTGAAAATAGACATGTACACATGCACACATTGACACGGAAAAATCTTTCATAAAGTGGAATTTAGTTCTACTTCCTGGCTCTCTGCTGCTGAGGGTCATGGGAGTTATACTCTCACTGAACCCATACCTGAGGCACCCCCCTTTTATAAATAAGAAACCGTGTCAAACCAAGTGAAGGGGTGTAGAGTGTTACAGGGCTTTGTTCCTTCTGGAAGACTGTGAGAAATGTCTGCACCTTCTTTGAAATTGTCAGATACATGTAATGGGGCGTATTGTGTCTAGACCAACTCCGAGTCGGGGGCTTACAGCTGTGTGACCAGCAGACAAGACTTAGAAATGGAACGCTGACTTTTCTGCCAGTTGCTTGCAGCAATTCTCATGATCCGTAACTAAATGTGACACGGATGACTGCAAGCTTCCTCCATAACATGGCAAGGATGCATCTATTCTGGGATATGACCTACACGCCGGCCCGGGAGCTAAAAACCCAGAAATATGGAAACTCTATCAGAATATCTCACCAACTTTACTGCTCAGAAACCAGACTGGAGCCTTCTCAGAGTAACCATAGTAAAAACAACTGCTTACTTTGCTTAATCCTGGCCATTCTCTGGGTAATCTAGAGAGGCGATTTTAAACTGATAATAAAGAATGTGTTCTACATACAGTTTGGGAATAATCTGCCACCTTGTTTGGACAGCACCGATGTATTGCAGGAGATATTGGCATCTTATTGTTAGGACCAGCACCTGACAGGCTGTGATGCCAAGTTCTGCCACCAAAGCAAGAATTGTGGGATTTAGTCTCTGACTTGCTGGGAAGATGGTGGAACTCCACAATTTGCCCCTCACAAATATATTGAATTTGTATATATTTTTTGATATCTCATTTTCAATGTGCCAAGGTAAATTATATGAACCAGTTGGCAGAACTTGTGCTATCCTTATAGTATAAAAGGGTAGCTGCACTCTGTGTTTTAGTGTCTGGGCTTAATGCAGTGCCGAGCATCAAGCGGAAGACAGGGATCCAACATTATACAAGAACTTAATGCCGTATACAGAGTACAGTACATAGCTCAGGATAGTCCAACAAGCCAAGTCGCTGTACCTGAGAAACATGCCAAAGAAATCACGCACTACTGAAATTTCGACACAGAGCTCTGTGCAGACCTTTATACAGCCATGGGGAAAGAAAGTACACGCTTTGAAAATCTATGGTTTTAACGATCAGGAGATAATAATCTGTTTCTTAGCAGACCTTAAAACTAGATAAATACAACCTCATGTGAACAACACACGACATATCACACCATTCAATAAATTATTAAAGAAAAATGAAGCCAAAATCGAGAAACCGTGTGTTAAAAACAAAGTAAACCTTAGTGTACACCAATAGTTTGTAGAACCACCTTTAGCAGTAATAACGTGCAGTACCGTAATCTTTTTCTGTATTTACGAGGTTCTATTTTAAGACCTGCTAAGGAACCAATAATTGTTATTACGTCCAGATATGTAAAACCATAGAATTCAAGGAGGGTGTACTTTCCTTTCCCATGACTGTAGGTAGCCAGGCCTGCCAAGGATTGTCAGCTTGTGGGCTATCTCACTAATAAATTAATAGAGAGCTACAGGTAGCCTTACCCCAATTAATCATTGCCCTATATGTTTGTTAAAGGAAACCATTGCATACCATTTATGAATCGAATTATTATATAAATACAGTTTTGCAAATTATTATGTTTGTTCTTCAACTGTTTGAATTGACCCTATCTAAAAACGCTGTTATTTAAAGCAGGTGCTGTGCAGATGGCGCCTGCTTGAATGGTTGCAATATGTTTTGCAGAGTATGAATAATGTAATGAGGACAGTTCCACGCAAGTCGCTGCTTTAATCGAGTTAAAATAAGTTTTTTTGCAGGCAGCCTTTGCTGATTGATGGCATTTGTACTGAGATTCCACAGTAACTGCAAGCTGTCCGCATGATTAAAAAAATTGCCCTAATTCCAGCACTCTGTATTGGAGATAAGCTGACAGCAGTCAGGCCGCTTCTCTGCTGTGTAAATCCCTCTGTAGAAAGCAGGCCTATAGAGAGGGTGTTAATGAGGTTTCAATCCCAGGCTTCCGATACCTGGGACCACACCTCGAGCCAAGTCTTACTTTACCGGCCATCATGTCAGCTGCAGGTTTTGGGGTACGGCTGCACCCCTTGCATGGGCTCACCTTTACCCAGTGCGAGTGTTTGTATGCCTTTACTAGTAAGAGTTCTCCCTGCAAATATGCCAGAAACCGAGTAATACGGATTCCCCATTTAAACTAGCAACAGTTCTCCTCACCCTCTCAATCCAGGCTAGTAACACTGCCCTGCCCCCCATCCAGACTAGTAACACTGCGCCCTTCTCCCTCCCATGTCCAGGCCAGTAACGCAGCCCCTCCCTCCCATGTCCAGGGTAGTAATGCTGCCCCCCTCCATCCCTCCCATGTCCAGGCCCGTAACACTGACTCCCTGCCTCTTTCCCCTCCCTCCCCCCCATGTCCAGGCCCGTAATGCTGCCTCCCTGCCTCTTTCCCCCCCCCCCCCCCATGTCCAGGCCAGTAATGCTGTCCCCCTCCCTCCCATGTCCCGGCCAGTAATCCAATATACGGTATAGCGAACGCAGCCTGTAACTATGTTTGGCCCCACCTGAGATATGGACAGTGGGAGAGCCAAGTGTTTTCACCATAACTGGCTCTCTGCTTTGAGGCATATCATGAAGCTATTTCCAGTTCAGGTTGCTCCCTTGCTCCCTTACTACTTTAGATAGATTGATCTTTGGGCCTTACAGTGACACACCAGACCTCTGAAGTTAATCAGCTCTCTAAAGTGCTTCATGTGTGAAGAGTGTTTCGTTTCCTTCCTTTGTTTTTTTTAAATTTGTTTTTATTTTCTCCTTTTACACAAAGTGCAGATCTCAGTAGAAATTGGCACTTTTCTAAATTAACCTTGTTACACACCCTGGCTGCCAATCAGACAACCCAGATCTGTTACTTAATGGTTTGTTTAGCTCAATGAAGTTAAACCCAGAGGCCGCAATTGCCCAGAGAACCTGCCTTGCAAAGACTTCTCATTGAGCTGCATTGGGAAGTCTGTGATTGGACAGCCACAAAGTCTGGGCGGGGTTAGAAGGGGAGGGTTTGCAGAGGCAACAGACAAGAGATCTGCAGCTTTTACAAGCTGTTTTTTAGATATACCCAAATGAAAAAAAAAAGCATAATTAATGCATGTTTATAGCATCTGTCTCTGAACTTTAAAGGCTTTTATAACTATATTTCATGGTTAGAACACATTTAAAGTTCTATGTTGGACTTTGTGTGTGTGTGTATATCTCATATGTTCAAATAACGCTTCCTGCCTGTGGTATCTACATGTAAATTATGTGAATTAATTACGATGCCTTCTGGAGATTCTGTTTTAATGTAAACTGTCCCATTTTGTTCCTGTAAGTTTTCTTGTAATTGTCATATTTATAGCTAAATCCCCCCTCATATAATATTGTAAAGTGCTACGAAATCTGTTGGCGCTATATAAATGGCAATAATAATTTGAACTAGACCCTGTCGTTGGAAGGAATACTGCTGATTGCCAGCACACTAACGTCTACGTTTTTATTTACTCCCAGCCGTGACCTTAGACCTACTTGTTTTTTTTTTCTCTTAGTGGTTTGCACTTATTTTGGCTTTTATTGAGATTCTTGTCTGACAGAAATGGCTTGCTCTACAGACATCCCCTCGGTGCCTTGTTCAGTGATGCGAGAGATATCCCTAGCGTTCATTAAGAGATGGTTCCCAAAGAGTCAGCAGGCTTCAACCTAAATGGATCAGACTGTGAATAATAGGGAGCAGTTCTGGCAGAGTTTGCCACCTTTTACATAACCCAAGTGCGCTCCGTTTACAGTCTAAGTAGGTCACACAGATTTTGGAAATACATCATAGTCTGCCACATATTACATGTGAGAAGGAGGAAGATTTTTATAAAGAAAGGGCTGTGTTCTCCCCATATATAACCTTTTATTTGTCTCTTTACTGATCTTTTTCTGGGTGTCCAGTGGCTGTAATGGTGAGCTCCACTTTGTGTAATATTTAGTTAACTAGAGTTGTTTACTAACTTCAAATTGAAGGCCAGAGTAGCTGATTGGGAATAGTTAGAGGCCAGTTTGGCTATTTTAACCTTAAAGGAACACTATAGTCACCTAAACTACTTTAGCTAAATAAAGCAGTTTTAGTGTATAGATCATTCCCCTGCAATTTCACTGCTCAATTCTCTGTCATTTAGGAGTTAAATCACTTTGTTTCTGTTTATGCAGCCCTAGCCACACCTCCCCTGGCTATGATTGACAGAGCCTGCATGAAAAAAAAAATGGTTTCACTTTCAAACCGATGTAATTTACCTTTAATTGTATCTCAATATCTAAATTGAACATTAATCACATACAGGAGGCTCTTGCAGGGTCTAGCAAGCTATTAACATAGCAGGGATAAGAAAATATTAATTAAACAGAACTTGCAATAAAGAAAGCCTAAATAGGGCTCTCTTTACAGGAAGTGTTTATGGAAGGCTGTGCAAGTCACATGCAGGGAGGTGTGACTAGGGTTCATAAACAAAGGAATTTAACTCCTAAATGGCAGAGGATTGAGCAGTGAGGCTGCAGGGGCATGTTTTATACACCAAAACTGCTTCATTAAGCTAAAGTTGTTCAGGTGACTATAGTGTCCCTTAAAAGGGACACTCTACTGCCCACATACAAATAATCACTGTTTTGTAGATATAACCCAAATAAAAACTTGCATGCATTTAATTATGCATGTTTTCGTTGGAGATCTATCCAAAATCTTGCAAAACCTGCAGTCATCTTGTCTGCTGCCTTTACAAACCCTCCCCTTTTAACCCTGCCCAGACTTGCTATTGCTGTCCAATCAGACTTCCCAATGCAGCTCAATAAGAAGTCTTTGTAAGTCAGGTGCTCTGGGCAATTGCTGCCTCTTGAGGTCAGCTGCATTGAGCTAATGAAACCAGGAAGTAACTTTACCTGTTGTCTGCTTGAAAGCCAACAGGGTGTAACCAGGTTAATTTAGGAAAGTGTAAATTTCTATTGAAATCTGAACTTTTTGGAAAATTAAAAAGAGAACACACTCTTTACACGTAAAGCTTTTCAGCAAGCGAAGTTAAAGGACCACTATAGTGCCAGGAAAACACACTATAGTGCCTTGGCGCTGGGGCTCTCCTCCCTCTTCCGACGTCATCATCCGAGTGGGCATGCACGGCAAGAGCCGCACACGCATTCAGTCAGTCTATAGGAAAGCATTACTCAATGCTTTCGTATGGACGCTGGCGACTTCTCACTGTGGAAATCAATGAGACAGCCACTAGAGGCTGGATTAACCCATAGGTAAACATAGCAGTTTCTCTGAAACTATGTTTACAGCTGCGGGGTTAACCCAGACACTTCATTGAGCTTTAATGGGTCTCGAGTGACCCTTTCATTTAAAATTCACTTTGAATTCTCACTTGAGTGAATAAATGGAGGTTTTGGCTTTGTGTGGGCACCAAAGCGCTCTCTTCAGTACCAGAGCTCTAACTATATTTTATAATACTCCTTATAGTCTGTTCAAATGTACAGAAGCTGTGTAAGTCTCTGCATGAATTTCCTTAAATGTCCCTTAATTCAGCACATTAACCCACTTTTAGTTTCTCTTGTAGTTGTTTATTGCCATTAAAGATGTGTTTTCCCTTATTTGAGGTTCAAGGAGCAGCCATATTGTCAATGACGTGACTTTGATATTTTTACATATCTTTAAAAACACACATTGCTTGGATCATGCATTAGTCCAGATTAAAGAAGCCCATGTACTCCCACAGAGTTGATACTGATGTAGGGGGAGGATTTAAGGCCAAAATAAACCTAAAGCGCTTTCCTAATCTGCATTCCTATATTCAAACTGTCTGAGAGCCCACGTTCCAACACTCTTGGTGTTACCGTCTGCTTTATGAAGTACTCTGCTATTTACCTGGGGCTGTAATATGCAGTACTCTATTTACCAGGGGCTGTAATATGAAGTACTCTGCTATTTACCTGGGGCTGTAATATGAAGTACTCTGCTATTTACCTGGGGCTGTAATATGAAGTACTTGGCTATTTACCTGGGGCTGTAATATGAAGTACTTGGCTATTTACCTGGGGCTGTAATATGAAGTACTTGGCTATTTACCTGGGGCTGTAATATGAAGTACTTGGCTATTTACCTGGGGCTGTAATATGAAGTACTTGGCTATTTACCTGGGGCTGTAATATGAAGTACTCTGCTATTTACCAGGGGCTGTAATATGAAGTACTCTGCTATTTACCTTGGCAAGAACTTTGAAATTGGACACAGGTTTTTATAAAGTGTTTATTAAATATAAAAACAACAGATTTTATACAATAGCATTTCTTTAATTGCACAGATCAATTTGCGATAATATATACAGTGATTGAGCATCGAAGACAGATTTTAGAGGACCGTGATAATCAAATTGTTTTCACTTCTCATTTAATGAGTTATAGATTTCTATTTTTTTTAATTTATTTTTTTTAAATGATATTTATTTATTTAGAAAATGTCACTTTATCTAGCTGAGCGGTGATATTGGGGCAGACTGCATGGTTATCTGACCGATTCTCAATCTAACTGGTTCACACAGAACAATCACAGCAGCAGGGAGTTGGGCTGAGCGACTGTCGGATATCTGCCAGATAGTGACATTTTCTTTAAATTGGTTATTATTTTTATTTATTTTTTTTTATCAATATCATTTAGCTTCATTAAATGGGAGGGAAAAAAGAGAGAAGTGAAATTTTGATGACCTAATGCACAAGAATAGTGAATTCCATGCGTAAGATTAAATAGGTCATCAATACCCAAGGATTGACTGAATCCTTGCACCTTTTGGATTTCTTGGATCCCAGCATGATGAGACTTGGTGGTGTAATCTCTGAAGTCTGATCCTAGACTCCTTCCTGTACTTTTTTCACATTCGAACTGGGTGAAATCCATGATTAGAGGACTTCTTGAGCTGATCCTTTCATGTTTTGAAGTGGTCATGTTGCCTGGAGTCTCTATGTGCTTTGTTTCACTGTGGAATCCTGCACATACAGAGTGTAACCCCTTTGCTGCCGAATGTGTAACTCCAGCACCATCATTGCGGCACAATTAACTAGCCACCGAGCAAGTGACTGTCAATTCTGTTCATATTTGGCATCTGTCATCAACATGCTGGCCACAAGTGTCCAGTGGTGCCCACTCTGCACCCCCATGTCCTCTCTGAAGCGAGGACAAGTGATGTCAACGAAGCAGGATGAGGCTGCAAGTAGAACTTGGTCTCAGCGTTGGTCTTCAGCTTTGTTAACAGAAAGGGTAACGCTAACCAAAAACAGTGTTTCATCAAACACACTTTTGTGAGTGAAGTAACCCTTTATGGTCTTCGTATTAGCAGCGTGGTTGTACCGTGCTGAATCTGTGGCTAAACCACTTATTGATCAGCAGCTATCACAATTAACTCTTTATATTATTGGTAAACAGGATCTGTACTGTATGGCTCTTTAAATGTGTCTAGCAAAATGATCCATTGTACATCCAAATAAAAGTGCAAATTAAATACTGGCCTTACAGAAAGTGGACAAATTTTAGCATCTTAGCACGGCCTTGGATGTATCTAGTCACACAAAACAGTAACTAAAACATTGAACAACTGTAACCGTGGGAGTCCTTGGGTCTTTAAATAATGTTCTAGTGGGAGGGATGTGATTGGGGAGATACTATAGTTTGTCTCTGGTCCTGATCTCCTTGGTTGTATTTGGTGTGGGAGCCAGAATTCCGAACTTTCTTCTAGAATGCTGAAAAACCGTGTGTTTGTCGATGGTTTAACCGGCTTTGCAGGCAGGTGCTTTTTATTATTGATGTTCTCATATGGCACGTTTATGAACAGGTTTGTTAATGCAGCTAACTGGGCACAGGCATAGCACAGCCTAGACGTTCCCCTTCACTAATCTGTAAGTACTCTGCCAGTCCATCATTGTTGTTCAGGCTGCTCCAGTTTGTCCAATATGTGCGTTTCATCCCCCAAAGTGTGGCTGAAAATGGACTTCTATTTTCACCCCCCCAGTTAGTATTTTAATCTTACATTCTTACATTTCAGATCCATTTGAGCCAAACCAGGATGAAAAGGCTGGTTCTGATATTCTGCTGCTGCCATGTGATAACACAAGCCACCATTCGTTCACGGAGCCCTTCGGAGAGGCAGAGCTGCAGCACGGTATGAAGAGTTTCCTGTATCGGAGTCTATTTATATCATATGACCCAGCTGGAACGCTTATTCATCATCCAGCCTCTGTAATGCCTGTGTCTCTGCTGGCTGGCAGGTGCTGGCAATAAATCATAGAGTAACAGACATGATACAAACAGGCACTTCTGAGGGGCCTATTCCGGCTCCCAGAAATGTAATCTATGGCAGCCTTTCTGATATCGACAGGCTGCAGTTCACCCCCTCTGTTAATGTCGTGTTTGTACCTGGAATAGTTTAGTGAATAGTTTTCGATTCTCTGACTTGTTACAGGGCATTGTTAGACCTTAAATGTCATTGAAGTTATGGAGAGCCAATCATTCAGTGCAGGATATTGCTGTGATCACACAGGTGGATTTGGTAGAGGCTCTGGTGAAGCCGTGACATTATATTCCGTATGATTTGGTGTCTGTCAGCACATTTTCTGCCCAGCTTTCACTCTTGCAGCTATTTCCTTTATGTAGTCGCTTGCTGAAGACTTGTAAATGGTTTTATGTACCCCTGGTATTTATAGGGATAGACGATATTCAACATTTTACCGATCGGAATCAGCCTTATATTTGTAACTTGCCTCTCCCAGTCACCACACTGTGCCTTCTGCATCCGGAAACTCCAGCCGCCGACCAATGAAGTGTGGGGACTCACATCACGCCTTTCTGAGAGTCCCCACATGCAGAGCTCCGCTGAAGGCAGGGAATAATGTGCTGTAATTTACTGAGCCGGCTGATCGTGATAGGAGTGTGACTGCTGCCAGTAGTTATACTCCAAACAGTAACAGCACTGTACATGTTGATCTCAATATGCACTGGCTGCCTGAGTGTGATGAGTATGATCGCGGCCATTGTGCTTAGTTAATACCAGATTTGTGTAGAAATGTTTACTTTTTCAAAACTTTAAATGTACAGAATATCAGCACCAGTTAAATGCAGTTGGCCTGAAAGGCGACTGGTTATCGGCATCAGCTCTGGGAATTGATATTTGTCAATCCCTAGTATGTAATCTGCAGGCTGTGTAGATAATGACTTTCAGTTGCCTGCCGGAAGGAGTAACTTTTATCTGTAAAAATGTCAGTCAGTCTTGGTTTGATTGTCATGATCTGTTTCCAGAGCATCCTACAGGGGTCCGTCGCATGCTGACCACTAATCTTCTCTGTATCTACCTGAATAGCTGTCACTGGCTCCGTTCTGGAAATTATAAAGATTACTCCATCTTTATAACTCTGAATAGCAATTAGTGATCCAAGGGATTCATAGGATTACATCTAGGAGAAATGCATTGGTTGGATTGTTTATAGCAGTGTGTGTTTAAGGGTTAATGGATTTATTAGTAATCCGCTTCTATAAATGTCCTGCCTGGTTTGGGTGTCTAATCTTTGTGACTGCATTTTGCTCCTTGGGCCCCGGCTGTTAATTTTAACCCCTCGGGGTGTGGGTTCAGGTGCTTCTAGGACAGGGGTAGGCAACCTACGGCACTCAAGGCTGCTAGAGCCAAACAGGCTCTGGCCTATCAGAAGTCCTGTTGAAACTTCAGATATCTGCTAATACGAAAAGGTGGTGAAGGACAATCCTCAATTTATGCATTGCAGCACATAGAGGAAGTGATCTCAGATCACTTCCTCCAAGCACTTGTGAATGGGAATCCACACAGTAGTAGAGCAGCCTGTAGCTGCTGTTACTGCTCCTGTCCTTGGCCAGCCAGGTCCCCACTGGAACCCAGGGAAGCCACCCACACTGCTAGATATACACAGAAATGCAAAATAACCCTCCCCTCATACAAATAATAGGAACAGCCCACACACAAACATACACACAATCCGCACAAACATAACCCGCTAACAATCCACATACATGCACACAACCCCACATGCAGCCTCTCACATGCAATACCCCAAACAGCCCCACACACACTACTAAACACACAATGTGACATATCCACACACAATTCCACAAGCAGCCCTCATACACAGCCCACATTTATATGTATCATACACGATACCATAAACTACTAATGAACATATTCAATCTAATAGCTCATATACACACAAATACAATACAATTACAGTATAACACAAGCAACATACGGCAGTTTAAAAAAAAAAAAATAGGATCGGCACGCTATGGGACATCACAATCCTTTATCTGCACAGTGCTGCTAAAAGGTTGCCTACCCCTGTTCTAGGATATCTGTATTGCTTTAACAATTAATCATTGTCTGTTAATACACTTGTAATCTGTCATTTGTGTAACTGTACACTGCACTTTATGCTACACAAAGCATTAGTAGCAAATAAACTATGGACCCACAATCCTAGAACGTTGGTGTGTAACGAAAGGCACTATTACATACACTATATAATATGTGTTAAATATTGTATACTTTTTACTGATGGTCTGTCCTGATGGATCAGTACGTTTTTACACTGGGAGCTACTGTGAATTGACCTTATTCTCAACAGATGGAGAGACCTATATAATGTGATAATGCTTTTCTTTCACAGAAGCCATATCTAGAGAATGTTTATTGGATCTCACCGAACCAGCACAGCCAGCTGACATAGATCTCCTATCAAAACAGCCAGTGGCTCCAGGTCCTAACCATACAGGTGAGTTTTAATGTGAAGAGGAGACTTCATGTTCACTGTTCTTGCACCATATTTATAATTTTGTATTTTATATCCATTTTGCAATTCTATGACTTCACTTAAATGAGTAATTAAAACTGGTGGCCCCATGTAGCCACAATGCCAGATGTGCAGTGTAAAATCTCTGTGGAACTGAACATACACACGTGTAAGATACATCCTATGTAGCTGGTTTGGGGTACGTTTTATGTGTAGGCCAGAGTAAGATATATCCTACATAACCTGGGTCGGGGTGTGTTTGTGTAGGACACATCCTATCTAGCTGGACTTTGGTACGTTTCTATGAAGGACACAGTAAGATATGTTGAACGTAGCCAGGGCTGGGGTATGTTGCTGTGTAGGACATAGTAAGATGTATCCTATGTAGCTGGGGCTGGGGTACGTTTTATGTGTAGGAAGCAGAGCAAACTGGATAGGTACTGTTTTTGTTTTTAACCCTCTCTTGTTTCTTTGCAGGCTTTTCTCAAGGTGCCTTCGATGAGGAGTGGCTCACTGGTTACCCTAAAGCAGGGGACACAGATACTCCAAGTGACAAGAATGAGGACCAAGGACATGGTATGAGTATCTGCTACTGTGGATGATTTGTAGGGTTCTCTATATATGCGTGTGGTAAATGTTTGTTGCATGTTGTCATAGATACAGGCAATAATCCATGCTGGAGACCTGCTCTGATTAGGCTGTTCTGCATTCGCGGTGTAGTGGGACTGTAACGGGCAATGGCTGCTCTAGAATTAGATCCATGTTAGCAGTTTCAGAGAGCAGTGACGGCATTGGAAGGGGGTCACATCTCTCTCTCTCTTGGCCAGCACTCAGAGAACATTGGACAGCAGAGTATGGAAATGAGGACTCTGTGTCAGTGTGGCCGTGTGCTAACCCTTGTGTCCTAGCGTCAGCAAGTGGCCACCTTATGAGGCAAGTGTTAGAACACAGCCGCACTGACAAAGTCCTAATTCCCAAGTGTTGGCCATTCGCGGCAAGGGTTACACTTGCTAGCACTTGCCTCATTCCATGGCCAAGTGCTACATATTTGTGACTACATTTCGGGGGTGGGAGGGTGTGTGTGTCTCTACTTCATCTTTTCAAAACTGTCTGCTTTTCAGCCATCCTTTGTGATGCATCTAATGACACGTTGGTCAAGCATCCTTTTCAGATTACAGAAGCAGACCCCAATTCAGATATCTGGCAGCCGACCATCGCGGAGCAGATTGCGCTCGCTTCACATCATTCAGCAGGTGAACATCCAATCAGTTGCCATTTTTTCTTTAGCACCAATGTTTCTCAGTGACTCCGAGATGCCATGTTAATATTAAACACAATATTTGTACATTGGTGACGCATCTCCGTTGTTACAAATACATATTGGGATTTAGAATGTGGGTGTTTCTGATCCATTGTAGATTGTTGGACCCCTTTTACATTAAAAAAAGTCAAAATTTCCTTTTTAATCCCCCTACATATGAGATCTGGATGGGTGATCTCTGGCCAATCCAGTAGCATCTCTGCCCCGTATAGTTACATAGTCCATCGAGTTCAGCCTTCCTCACATATGTTATTGCTGTTGATCCAAATATATAAACCTTGCCATTTATCACAAATACAGGGATTGTATTTAAACATCAAGACCAGGACATTAAGCGGTAGTAGTTTTGATGCGTAATGTCCTTAACGTACGTTTTTGTGGATGACCAGTTTGCTTTTAAGTTGGTGTAGAACAATGTATAGCAGGAACTGCACTCATTCATATGAGCAGAAATTGGGTGCTAGCAGGCCAAGGGCAATCACAATCCCCCAAACAGGTTAATTCAAATGGAACAAACACGGTCCAGGCACTCCAATGCAAAATATTGGGAACGTAGTGAATCCAGCAAAGTTGTATCTGTACCTCTGCTAGCCATATAGACAACACAGTGTATAGTCCCAAGTTGGTTCATATTACTGGGGCATTTTAAGCTTTGAGTATGTGATTATTTAGCATTTAATCTTGGCCTAGCCAGAGCCATTAACAATGGCAATCCCTCCTCTACCGAGAGATAAAGATCACAAATTGGGTACTATTTGGGTTCTCTCCGTGACACCTGCCTTGCACCTCGTGTTCCCCCGAATAGTGATCATGGCTGAGTGACTAGCAGTGGGCACGTTTATAGCCGGCTGTGTGCAGCTGTCGTGTCATCTCATTCATTCTCAGTCAGTCGCTGTCTCTGGTTTGCGTTTAGAGCCCGTCGCAGTCCCTGATGAAGTGGTGCTTAATTTGCCGGAAGGTCCTGCCTCTGTGTGTGATCTAACTGAGGTGACAGGGGACTCAAGATTTGCTGACTCTCTTCACTCAGAGGAGATGGGTAAGGGCGAGTCACGGAGCGACCTCTTTTCATGCTTCCTTTAAATTATTTACCTTCTGCTTAAAAAAAGTTCTCTTCCAAGCAGGATTTTAAGTAAACGTCTCCGGTTTCTCTAATGTGCTTAGATTTCTTAATTCACAATGTCTGGCTTTACATGGTAATATAGCGGGGAGAATCAGGAGTGGAAGGCACATGGGTCTTCCAACTGGAGACTAGAAACTGAACTTATTAACCCCTTAAACACAAGTGATTATCTATGTCCTCATTGCAGTCTGTTCTTTAACCCCTTAAGGACCAAACTTCTGGAATAAAAGGGAATCATGACATGTCACAAGTCATGTGTCCTTAAGGGGTTAAAGATCCTATTCCCACTGTAACTTTCTGCTGATTCACTCACAACCATCTGTATAGAGTATCTCATGCTAAATATGGCTGGCATTCCATGCTGGCACAGGGAATTCACAGTATTATCACACAGAACAAGGCAGAAACCAGGAACTTTTAGCGTGAGTTCGGCTATTATTTTTGGTCCATTTTAAATTATGAAGGTTTTGTTTATTGTATGCAATAATGGTTTAGGACCCTGTGCAATCACTAAGATTTCAGGATATTTCTTCAGTGTTAATTAAATGCTGATTGGAGAGATAAAGTGTTGCAGAGTTAGGGTTTAGCACTGGCACGGCTGAGCCCACCTTCATTTCCTCTGTTTATTACATTGTGCTGTTAAATGGTGTGGTTCTAGCTCTCATTTCATGTGGCTCTAATTAGCCTACTACCGTGAAGTACCCTTGGCTCTGGACACAGACCGTGGATTGTTCTATAACATTTGATGGGATTTTGTGTCACTACATTTTATTGGGCTTGATGGAGAACTGTCTGCAATCTCTGGGGTTGCTATCATCCGGCCATGCTTTACTGTGATGGGTGGGTACTGAATCAGCCCACTTTGTGGTTGGTACAGTCTTGGCATGCGATGAAGTGGGTAGGTACTGACTGTATACTCTAATGGGTTGGGTGGGTTAGTACGGCTTTGGCATGCTTTAGGGTAAGGTGTTACTATACCGGTATGCTTTTATTGGGTGTGTGGATATTGCCTGATCAGGGTTGGGGTTGTGTAGTTACTGTGTCTGCATGCTTTGCAAAAATGTGTGGCACTGATTTTGGGATTGTGTGTGCCATGGGTGGGTGAAATTGGTCAATGTGCAATATTGATGTTTCCTATAGTGTGTGGCTTTCTCTGTACTGTTCTAGTTTGTATTTTTTTTTTTTTTCTTCTGTTTCAACATAAACTGTCTTTGTGCCTGGCAAAAACAGAATATTAAAATAAATAACCCAATACATACTTTCTATCCAAGTACTGGAAGATGAAGGACCAACAGAACCCAAACAGAGCGCTGCTTCAGCTTTGCCAGTAGAATCTGCTGCTAGCACTGATGTCCTATCATCCACATTACATGAACAGCAACCTGTGGCACAAAACCAGGGTAAGAACGGATCTGGACAGGTTTAAAGCAGAATCAAAAATAGTTAGAACAATCTTTCTACCGAGGACGCAGCACCCCTGGTGGCAGACTGGTTCCTTCCAGGTATTGGCATTGCTCCCCCTTAATAAACGAGGAATTGACATTTAAAACGGAGTTTGGAATTTATCCAATCTGTCCTGGATATAGCTCTGGGATGACTTGGTTTCCCATCCTACATGGACCTTCACTACTCTGAATCTGTTGTGTATATGATACAGGAGATTCAAAGGATTCAGTTCAGCTCTTGGTTGAGCCATTCTGTTAATATAACCTAGTTGCCATGTGTATAGAAGATGTCGAGGTTAGAGGTCTGAAGTCTCCATTTTACTGATTGGTACTGTTTAACCGGCAGAGACGTCATTGTGTTTTCTGGATAATACAGTTGAAAGCTGCAGGGTCACTGCCCGCAATATTCACTGCTTTCAAAGGCTTATTCTGTTAACTGTCAGACCAAACCTCCTAAGTACAGTTATTGCTTTATTTACACAAATACAGGGGTTTATTTTACCCGGAGTAATGGTTGATCTTTTGTTTGCATTAAACTTTGGTCTCGCTAGACACGTTCTGGTTACGTTAGAACACAAGTTTGTAAGAAAATGCATAATTATCTCCGAAGTAGACCTTTTCCATTCTTCTCAAACTTTCAATCCACACTTCCAAGACACATTCTAGGCCAGCACTTTTTTGTGTACAAGATTATTCCTCCAATAGAAATATATTAAAGTGGTACTATCTCTTTATTCAGTCTAACATTTTCATCTAGGCAAGCTTTAAAAAAAACTTCAGCTGGAATTTCTTCTTGTAGAAGTAGTTGCATGTCTGTGTGGAGGCTGCCAATTTGGAACTGCATCACAATTTCTAAAATCTCAGAGACCGCTACATGTAAACAAGGCGGCAGAGAACAGCCAATCAGGACCTGTGATTTTCTGAGTAGCTCCCAGCTTTCCATTGACCCCTCTGATGCTCTGTACCCAAAGAGAGAAAATGTTGGCAAAAAATGTCACTCTGCTGAACAGATTTACAAAAACTGACAGATCATGGTTTTCATCCTGTTTATGTGATGTGCACTTTATTTTTCTCCAGAACAACCTGATGTGAGTGCAACGGCTCCTGAATACCTCGCAATGGAAACACAAATAGAAGGGTCTGAGGGAACGCCTGAGGCATCCGACCAACCTGCAGGTAAGAATGATATAAAGACTACTAGTTAACAGGACACTTCAGGCACCCAGACCACTTCTGCCCATTGGAGTGGTAGTGGGTGCCAGCTCCCACTACCCTTAACCCTGCAACTGTAATTATTGCAGTTTTCATAAACTGCAATAATTACCTTGCAGGGTTAAGTCCTCCCCTAGTGGCTGTCCACTAGACAGCCACTAGAGGGCACTTCCTGCTTCATAGCACAGGTTTTCTGTGCTAGAGCGTCACTGGACGTCCTCACGCTGTGTGAGGACCTCCATCGTCGCTCAATTCCCCATAGGAAAGCATTGAAAAGCATTTTTAATGCTTTCCTATGGAGAGCTCTAATGCGCATGCGCATTAGGTCTCCTCAGCTGTGGGCGGGATCAGTCTTCCCCGCCAGCTGACGTAATGAAGGGGAGGAGCGGCGGCAACCCGAAACCAACGCCGAGAAACATCGGCAGGGGTCTCCAGTAAGTCATTGAAGGGGTTTTTACCACCCTCCCACCACCCGGGGATGGGTGGTGGGAGGGATAGGGGACCTGCAGTGCCAGGAAAACGGATTGTTTTCCTGGCACTGGAGAGTCCCTTTAAGCAGTGACTGCGCCATTTTCATGTTGCAATTTCGGCGCTGGCCTCTTACTGTGCGAGCTGTAGAACTGGCAGCATGTAGTAGTTAGGAGGCTTATTGTCTGGAAGAGGCTGTGTTGTGCTAGCAGATTGTATATTAAAAGAATGTGGCATGCATTCTCTCACTGAAATACAAGCCCTGAAGTCGGGATAAGTGTTCTGCTCAGTCCTGTAATTGCTAAATTAGGAGCACTTCCATTCTAGTGTAAGGGTTAATGCAAAGCAGATTCCTGCCGTTCTTGTTGCTGTCTGCACAATACAAAGCAATGTGAACATGTCAACTTTCCTGGGTCTCTCCGGGTGTCTTTGGCCTCAAGGTCCTTCTTCCTGGATTCCCCTTCAGTGAAATTGCCTGACCATGTCAGCTGAGTGCTTTCAGCCAATGGGCACAGTCCTTTATCAGCTGTGCGTAGTCAGTGTACACCTCTGGCTTTCCTGTAGGAGAAGACTGGATATGGTGCGGCACCAAGGAGACCCAGGTGAGTTGTCAAACTGTTCTAATAGAGTTGGAGAAAAAACTGGGATGGTACTAGGGTAGCCCTGGGGAATAGACATTTACCCCTTAGCTAGAGATATATATTGTAATGAGGTCCTCTGTCTCCCTGCACACAGTGTATTATAACTGCAGCTATAAGGTTATGGTGTAAGGAGGTCCCCTGTCTCCCAGCACACAGTGTATTATAACTGCAGCTATAAGGTTATGGTGTAAGGAGGTCCCCTGTCTCCCAGCACACAGTGTATTATAACTGCAGCTATAAGGTTATGGTGTAAGGAGGTCCCCTGACTCAGTCTCCCTGCACATATTGTATTATAACTGCAGCTTTAATGTTATAACTTAAACTGTCACAAGACTTTTTAATACAGCATTATTTATCCTCTTTATGTGATCTATATTTTTCTCTGTTAACATTCACATTTGTGTAACTAGTGGACATAGAATCTACTTCATTCCGTGGTTATGCTTTCCTATATAGAATGTCTGTCCACTAATTGATTTGGTATGTTCACTTCTGTTATTTAAATATAAACGCTGCTTTTACTGATATGTTTCTTCTTGGATACAGAACAATTAAAAGCCGATGAAGCAATCCTTGAAGAATCAAAGGTTCCATCTAATGAGAGACTTGTTACACTCATTGAAGATCAGGTGGTGACTCCATTGTCTATTGTGGATGAACGTTCTGACGCACATATTGTTTCTGATGACAAGACAATAGAAGCAGCGGTTTCTGTGACAGACATTGTCCAATCAGACACTGCAGAACTTTGTCAAGGCATCCAATCAGACATACTAGAATATCCTTCTGAAGAAATTGAGCCTTCTCTAGCTAATCCACAACGTGACCAGGAAACAGAGCCCGATGTAACACCACAACCTCCTGTGGACATAAAATCTGCTGTACCACCACCACAGCTTGGTCAAGAAATCGAATACGATGTAATGCCACAAATACCTATGGCTACAGAATCTGCTGTAACCCCACCACAGCTTGGTCAGGAAATAGAATACGATGTAACACCACAAACCTCTCCAGGTTTAGAGTCCGGTGTTATAGAAGAACCAAGTGAAGGAATTCAGTCTGGTGTAACAGAACCATACAGTGAATATATACAGTCAGACTTAATGGAACCCAATAGCGAAGGAATACCGTCTAATATAACAGAACCATATAGTGAAGGAGTCCAGTCAGAACCGCTTTCTCCTGTTGGAGATGAAAGCAATACCCAACAGCTGGGTGAAATTCAGGCCGAGCTTCCAACACCAGAGATGGTTCCAGTAGTAGAGTCAGCCCTGCCTCTGGAAACCTCCTCTGAGACAGAGCAAATCAAGCTTCAGCCTCCTCCTTCTCCTCAGCAAGTGCAAGGTAAAAAAAAGTTGTTTTTTTTCATATTCTAGCATCCTAAACTGGCACTGACCATATAAAACAGGAGTTTACATTTATTCAGACTGATTTAAAGTGTGTTTTATAAAAGAGCCTTCGTGTACTGTCAGTGCTAAGGGTTATCTATTTGAAGTTTGTATTATTCCATAGAATTTACATTTTTATTTATGGGTGGTAGCGGCTAGTTTCTCCTTATTCTTGGCCAGCTATTTGTGGCTGGTTTGTTATGCATTCTGCAAATCTCTGCTCACTCTTACTCGTTCCACTATTCTCCCATTGCTTTTTTATTGATTGAATCTGCTAATGTCCATAACCTTTGTTTCCCTTCAGTTAGTCATACCTCACAATTCCCAATCAGGCAGAATGTTGGCTATTGGCTAATCCGATATCGGTGACTATAACAAACTTAGCCTTCTAAAGGGGCAGTTAAATCATGTATTCTTAAAGTTTGAATAAAAAGCCTGGCTTGTTTTAGTTGGAGCATTGCAGTAGCATCCAATGTCTGTAAGTGCAGTCTGACATACCCTGCGTGAGTATTTTAGTATTTAGTGGAGCCTGTAGGATAGCTCAGCTCAGACTGCTCAGTACGAACCTCAGGGCTACAGGTTCCATTATTGGCAGGGTTAACTCGTTTTATTCTTCCAAAGACAAAGAGTACCTTTGACCTGGACAATAAGTAAATGTGTTAATTTTAGTTAAATATTGTGAAATTGTCATCTGCTATAGGTTGACTTTAACATTTGTAAAGAGAGAATTCCTGTCCAGTTCATTAGGTAATACTGCAAAGTCTCTGCAATCCATATTGGCCTAGTTCACCTGGGGTGGATCATGCTAGCTTGAATGTAATCATACAGGAAGGTCCTTGTTTGTTTTGAGGATAGTTCTGGAAACCACGGATCTAAAACCCAAACATGATCCTTTTGAAGTTGTGATAATCGTTAGTTCAGAAACTTTTTTGTATTCCTGTTGTACCCACAGCACCCATAAAGTCTTATTACAAAACAAGTGACCGCAGGTCTGGTAGACCTAAAACTGCAGCGATGCCAGTTTCAGATGCCTTTGCGGAACCTCACTTAGGTAATCCAAACCACACTGCATTGGAATCCACTGACGGTTTGTCCAATCGAGCAAAAGCTTTACATAAAAAAGCGCATGATATGATGGAGAGTCGGCGAGAAGTTGTAAAAGATGGTGGGGATTCTGAATGTGCTCAGGCAACAATGAAAAAGAAGAAGAAAAAAACAAGACCAAAGAGAGGATTTTCAACAAAAGAAAGTGAAATTGTGGGTGAAGTTGTCCATTTGAATACCAAACCTGAGACTCGGTCATATTATGTTCCCCCTGCCCTGGCAGCTCGTGTTGAAGAGCAGAAGGGCTTTCCACAGGAAAGGGGACACAGCCCCACACATGATTTGGCCGTGGGGAATTTTAAAATCTCCTCTGATGTTTCCCAGGTAGTAGAAAAAGGCATAAAGGATGCTGAAATTCGAGAAGATGGTGGCTCGATTCTGCTCTCACCAAAGGTTCTCGAACCATCTACTCAGAACCAGTTTTACCCTTCAGGGCCTTTCAGACCTTTACCTAAAAGAATGGAGGATGAGGATAGAGTGCATTTAGAAAGCAGTGTCAGGCTTTTAGATAAAAACAGGAAATCTGAAACGCCTCAAGATGCTAAAATTGGATTTGCTGACACAGATATTACAAAGTGTCCGTATTTGCAGCAAGAGCTAGCATCCTCTCATTTTACTGAAAAGGCTGCTAAGTCTGAGAGAGTGTCTGCGGAGGCCTTGTGGGTTTTAGAAAACACTGATTTAAACATAGCCGAAGATTTAGGTTATCAAGAAGCTGATGCAGGGAAATCACAGCTTGCAGCAAAGAAAATGGATAAGCCTAAAAATAGAGATAAGAGGACGAATGAACAAACTAACGCCGGATTAAAACTAGGTCCTTCCAAACTCCAGGCTGGTCAGATGGAAATGGTCTTTCCAGAGTATGGTGGTTTCCTAGCAGAAAAGCCAGTTTTTCTAGACAATATAAGTGTCAGTGATGATCAATTTTCCTTCATATCTGGTGAAATCCCTACTGATAAAGGTGACCGTAAAGGTGCTATATCTGAACGTAAAACAAAGGGCAAGACCAATTCTAACCCTAGCCTTGTCGAACCACTACAATCTGATATTTACCAGTGTCCAGCTGCCAAGCAAGAATCTTCCCCAGATACTGAGGTAGATAAATATAAAGAAATTAAAGGAATTACTTTAATTACTAGTAGTTCAGATGTGGGAAGCTTTCCCTCTGTAGAAGAGGTTAAAAACATTCACCATGGCCTTTTGGTGAAACTTCCAGATAGTGAAAGTCTGCACCCTCCTCATAATGTAGAAAAACGTGAGAAGCTCAAAAAAAGCGTTAAAGGAGCCAAGAGCTTGCGCTCCACGTTAGACGATAACCCACCAGAGATGAGTGAATTAGAATTAAAAGAAAGCTCACCCAAATACAAAATTAGTGACACAAGCCTTTCTCGTGGTCAACAGGGGAAACTTAAAAAAGGAAAGGCAAAGACGGAGTGTAATAGTGCAGCATGTATAGAAAATACTGCAGAGCCCCGGGCTTCAGCTGGCTCTATTGATCTGCTTCTACAAAATGAGGTAATGAACAAGCATTCAGAGCCAGAAACATTTATCCAGGAACAAATACTACACCTGGAAGACCGTACTCCAGAATCCCCTGTTTCAGAGCGAACTGGTGGGGGACAAAAGGCTGAGCTCTTTATTGGTGATAAGGATAGTTTAGAAAAAATATTTTCCTATGGTCAGAAAGGCAAAAATGTAAACCAGGACAATTCTAGTAAGATGATGCCCACAGGAAATGTTGATAATGGAGGTGACACTCAGAACATTATTTGTCCCTCGGGTACAGTGGCTCTTGCTGGACCTGATGGTTCCAGTGTCCAAGATGCCGCAAGTGCGTCTTTCAAACTAGAATTAAAAGAAACTAGCCAGGAAGTTGAAACTCCGATTTCCAACCAGACTATTAACATTGATAAATTCTCTGCCCCGATTGTTAGTGTGACAGAGCGTCAATACGAAAGCTTTTCCTATCAGAAAAGCAAAAGTAGCAAAGTAAAGATAAAGTCATACAGTGCTCAGCCAGTAGGAATGATTAATGCCGATTTCAAGACAGAGTTTCAGGACATTAGTGGTTCTGGTAACGTATATCTGGGAGCAGATGTGATTAGTAAGCCTGCCGAAACCAGCATTGCCACTATCTCCACAGCAGAGAGTGAACCTTTTAAACTGGGATTGGAGGAACACAGAGTGGAACTTGAACCCTCTGTAATAGACGAGATAGCTACAGGAAAGGATGCTCGGTTTCTTGGTGATATAGGTAGCCCTGAAGAAACCTTTTCCTATTTGCATAAAAAGAAAAACAAAAGTATTAAAGGAAAGGCTAAGACAAAAAGTGCCACGCCTGGAAATGTTGTCCAGAAAGTGGATGAGGAAGATCAGTACAGTGGTTGTCCACTTCCTATCTTGAACCGTGAAATGGAGTTATGTTCCAACTCTTCTGAGCTCGATGCTACCAAAATCCAGGAATCTGAGAGTTTGCCCCTTCTACTGAAATATGAACAAACCAGACTGAAAGATAAAGCTCCTGTTTTCCAGCCGATGTTTGGGGCAGATAAAAAGTTTGCTCTATTTGAAGGGGGCAACCAGGAGCCTCTTGCAGATGAAAGATCTTCTCAACTAAAAGGTAAAAAAGGAAGGCCAAAAGTGAAGCAAAGTAGTGTAGGAAACACAGATGGTATGATCATACTTGGTTCTGATACAGGTGTCAAAGAGGTGTCGATTTCCAAACTTACAGAAACCATTGTAAAGAAAGCAGATCGAGGGTCTTTAAAACGTCAACACAGTTCAGAAAAACAGAAAAAATTACTGGATGACAGAGAAGTGCACTCAAAAGATGAAAGCAAAGTAATTGAACGTATTGGGTTAGATGGTGTTCTCAGTCCAACGCATGAGCCTGTAAGAACTCCTCATACAGAAAAGCAAGAAATACTTCTGTTTCCAGAAGAAATGAGTGTTAAAGCAGACTTTTCATCAACTCCCTCTGAATACGTGTCTGATCAGTTGGACACAGCAAGCAAACCAGAACAATGCTTGTTGGAACAGCTTAGTCATGATATTGATATACTAACCAGCAACGTTCTTACAAAACACCAGGGAGTGGCCACCACAGATACCAACAGGCAAATAGGCCAAGCTGAAGAGTCAAAAATAGAGGTGTCTGTGCCTAAGGCTTCTCTAAAAGAGTTGCAGCTAGCCAAAGAAAAAAACAAATTTAATGATAAACAAGATTGTATGTTGACAGACATTCAAAATATCACCAATACATTTGAAACTGACATTGTTAAAGATCTGTCTGAAGTGATCAGATCTGAAACCAACAAAGACACTGATGCTATGCCAAAGACAGTGGACTCCTCTCTGCTCCCTGGTAAATTGCACAAGGCGAGAGATGTTGCAGTGGTCAATTCTGTCCTCTTTACTGAAGCATCAACAGAGGTCTCCAAATTAGTAGGCAAAACAACTCAAACAAATTCAGAAAATGTGACTAAACAGCCCAAAGATACTGTACCTCTTCTTGGTCAAGAAGAACTTGGCTTTGTAGATCAGTTAAGTTTTTTTACATTTGCTGTTTCTTCACTGCTTGACGAGGAGAGGGAAGTTGCATCTCCAGTGTTGCATAGTGAGAAAATGACAGACCTGCAGTTGGAAGAGCGATCACCGGCTCAAGGCAATAAATTGAATGTAGAGCCATCACCGGCTCAAGGCAATAAATTGAATGTAGAGCCATCACCGGCTCAAGGCAATAAATTGAATGTAGAGCCATCACCGGCTCAAGGCAATAAATTGAATGTAGAGCCGTCACCGGCTCAAGGCAATAAATTGAATGTAGAGCCGTCACCGGCTCAAGGCAATAAATTGAATGTAGAGCAGTCACCGGCTCAAGGCAATAAGTTGAATGAAGAGCCATCACCGGCTCAGGGCAATAAGTTGAATGAAGAGCCATCACCGGCTCAAGGCAATAAATTGAATGTAGAGCCATCACCGGCTCAGGGCAATAAGTTGAATGAAGAGCCATCACCGGCTCAGGGCAATAAGTTGAATGAAGAGCCATCACCTGCTCAGGGCAATAAGTTGAATGAAGAGCCATCACCGGCTCAGGGCAATAAGTTGAATGAAGAGCCATCACCGGCTCAGGGCAATAAGTTGAATGAAGAGCCATCACCGGCTCAGGGCAATAAGTTGAATGAAGAGCCATCACCGGCTCAGGGCAATAAGTTGAATGAAGAGCCATCACCTGCTCAGGGCAATAAGTTGAATGAAGAGCCATCACCGGCTCAGGGCAATAAGTTGAATGAAGAGCCATCACCGGCTCAGGGCAATAAGTTGAATGAAGAGCCATCACCGGCTCAGGGCAATAAGTTGAATGAAGTTCATGAGCCCAAGTCTGTAGCAGCAGGTGGAGAAGAACTTCCTGAAAAAAGTGATTTGTCTACTTCAGAGAAAACAAACTTCAAAGAGAAAATAAAACCTCCTGTCCATAAGAGCAAAGGCCAGATGGCACCTACTGAAAGAAACCATCTTAATAGAAAAACACAGATGCAGACAGGAATTCCACCGCAAACAAACCATGGCAATCCTGAGGATAAGGCAAAGGCATCTGCACCATTAAAAGGTTACATGAGACCTACCAAGTCTAGAGGGATGACCCCACCACCTTTAAAGTCAGCTGCAGTGGAAAGCGAGAAGTCAAAGCCTTTGAAGGATGTCCGTTTAAGTACTCAAAAGCCAGATAAAGGTGTGTTTTGTGTGCAGCTCGCAACAGTTAATGACATCGGCTTGAAATGAACAGCGTTCCTCTTACCATGGGTTAACAAGCATGAGTGTGCAGCACTAAATTAATAGCATGACGTCTTGCCTGTTTCCCGATGATGATGATGATGATGCTTGCGTTTTTACACAATGCTAATCTAATAGAACCAAGTATAAACTGTTTTACTCGTAAACACAACCTACTGAGTGGTACAAATGTAGTTTATCACTATGTATATGTGTGTATATTGTATGCTCTGCATTACTTTACTCAGGAGGACAGACCCACGTACACTGGTGATTACACTTGACAGCATCGAGTTTTGCCTGCCTTTCGTATAACATGGATCATTTCTACCTGGTGAAGGCAGTGCTATTACACATGGAAAGCCACTCAGTTTGCCAAAACACTCAGCAACATTACCCTAAGCCTCTGCACCAAGACTCTGGTAGTTAGTATTCCTTTAAGGTTTTAACGTTTATAACATCCGTATACCATCTGCATTGAAATATAATTTTGAGGTTAATAAATGTACCACTTTATAGGGACTTTTATTCCAAATGACACTCCTTTCTTTACTGTACTCCAAATGACTGTCACTTCCGTTCTGCCTTATAGAGAATCACTATAGTGCCCTTTCTGGCCACAATACTTGGGTAAAGTAGTATTTTATTCCATAGCCATCACAATATGTATATATACACTCTGTATACCCACCTAAAAGGGACCCTTTTTGTCCACATTTGGGTCCGGTGTGAAATGCGAGTCCTTAAGCCTGACCTGCTGGGCACATATGCAATCTTGTCTGCCAGCCTGCTATGGCATCACTCAGAGGTGGAAGAATAAAGGGGTGTATTATGAATTGGACAGGATGGAAGGGAGGATGGTGGGTGGGTGGGGGGGATAGTTCAAAATGCTGTGCATGCTCTTTACATGTTGAACCTTCTGCCGTTTCTGATTTGGTATGGAAACCATGCTAATACTTACCACTCATGTCACTGAGTGCAGATTGAAATCCCAGCTCACAAGTACCTCTCCAAAGGGATTCATTATATACATCTTAATGCTATTATTCTGGCAGGGGGACCAATTCCCACATTGTGCATCCTGTGCTAGTGCTTGGCGAGTCTATACTGCAACATATACAGATATTGGGGATTTTCCACCAGGGAGTGTGACTAGTAAGAAATTTGGTCACTTTTAGCAGTTTATGAAATGTTCCTATTGATTTAGAAATCTACCGAGGAAAATCCTTTCTTTACCGTTGTCGTGTTTCTGATCCTCTACTTTATTCAGTGAAATATTTCAATACTTGCATGAACACTTATTGTGGACTGCAACAGATCTCCTCATTCTCAGGCAGACCTCTTATTTTCAAGTAATTTGAGAAATGTATGTTCTTCTGTAATCAGGGATTAAGGTTATTGTATGGATGTAGCTAGTGTTTCTATAGATAAACGGTTAATGTCTGTTTTCAGTGTTCTATACACTGTATACAATGAGTTTGTTGTCCTATTTAGAATAGCTGCTATTTTTGGCTTTTAATACAGCAGCATTAACTCTTCAAATGTCAGTTGGGTTTTTAATTCTTTTACAGGTTTCCTCCTGCATGCATTGATCTGGCCAGAGCAGGCCTGGTGATATCAGTCATTTATTAATGACTGTTAATTAGTTGATATCGCTAGCTTTAAATGTCTCATTATCCTGGTTTAAAGGTGTTGCCATGGAAACCAGTTTGTCGTAGAATAAGATCATGGTAAAATGGTGTGAACCACTGGTGAGGATGAGGTAGAGTATAAATAGACTGAATGAATCATCCTCCACTGTGTGTCTCTCGATGGGAATTTAACCCTTCCTGTGCAGTAATACTCCCCACCAGCCTAAAATGGCTCCAGAGCACCAAATATTACACGTTTTATTGGAGTCTCATGCAAAGAAATGGTGAAATGTAACGTATGATGCACGCCTGTTTCTGTCCTTGTCATGTGTTTGGGTTAATGACACGGTGAACGTCTGTGCAGCCGATCTCTTTTTAAATCCATGTCTGTGTAGCAGTGGTGGGGGTGCCCAGCATCATGGGTTCCTTCACATCCCACCATGATAAACCTTGCTCTCCGCTGTCTTTGGACACATTCTGCAGCCAGTATCACAAGAATATAGTTTTATTTGCATTTATATAGTGCCAACATATTGTACCAGGTGACCCATGATAGATTGGAAAGGGTTTGCCTTTCGGTTTCCAGCTTTTCACACACATGGCATTTTTCCTGCTTGGTAGTGAATGATGTTAGTCTGACTATCTAAAGAAAACACATTTATATGAGAATAGGTTCTGGACATTCTGCTACAAATCTCCTGTCTGTCATAAATCCCATCTAGGGTCGTGGGTTAAATAATACAGAGGGTGTGGCTTGGAGAATAATTGAAAACAAGATAAACCTAAAAGCATAAAAGGGAGAAAGAAAAACTCCTGGGGTAATAGACTAAATGATGGTAAACCCCAGAATTCAAGGTTTCACTCAGAGTGGCAGAACATTTCAGGCTCCTCAATCTGTAGATTCCAACAGATCCAGCAGTATTCAGATGTCCAATGTTTTATGCAAAAAGAATTAAAAGGAACATAGTGCAACACTGACATAAAGTTTGAACATACGCTTTAATGGTTACACTTACAGAATGCAATGGATAAAAAGCCCTTCAATACAATCCAGGTCTCCGTCGTTTGGGATGTAGGAATCCTAACCGGTACCACAAGCAGGCCTAGCAGTATTTAAAAACCACAATAAAATATAAAAAAAGTAATGAAAGTGTTATCTAGTGCACAGCACTTTAATCTGCGCACTAGATGTATTCACCATACATACACTGCACCTGGGTGGTCTTATATTCTTATTTCTTAAAGAATAATGAAAAAGTAACAAATCAGAGATTGTACGGGGTTTCCTAGCACTTTACATTAAATGGGATTTTTATCAGATTATACGCCTTGCATAACATCATAAACCCTGATTTCCACCCATGAGGTCTGTGAGTCACTCGTCAGTCTTTGTGTGTTTTAATAAATAGGAAGGATAGGAATAAATAGGAAGATTTTATTCTGAATTTGATGGAAGGCTTCTGTCTGCTCTCAAATTAGTCCCAAGTTCCCCATCCTACAAATAGAAGCTTTTTGCAACAGGATCGAGGAGGTATTTGGCAGAGGGTGGCGTCTGTTGATTTGTGGGCACATCGCAACGCAGGTCTCTGCACACACTCCTGTCATGGAGAGCCTCGCTGTCCAACCACAGATTGCAGACTTGTCCCAGCAGCCTGGATGGAACATGTGACTTGTCTTATTTATCCATTGGCCTACTGGGGGTACACCTTCCGATTACCTACATGTAAAGACTGGCCAAGCGTTATAGGAGATGCAGTTCAAAATCCGGTGTGCTAAGATTTGCAATAATTATAATATGGATGTTCGTCTACTGTTCCTATTGCAGGTCTAACTTTAGATTTACTTGCAAATCCAAAACAGTAGATATGAGCAAATAACCTCCCCCCCAATAATTCAGCTATGTTTTAATTTTGACTGCGTTGGGAAGTTATGTGACTGCGTTGGGAATTATGAAGTTTATTAAGTGTGTGCATAATACGCAAATTAAATGTTATACACAAACTAATTGTTAAAAATGGACCTTAGGAGAGCATAGTCTAAGTGAAAAGAGGCACACTCTTTGACCCCTATATAATTATCTAAACAAACACTGCAGCGTTCTGTTCTCCATGTCACTTCATGTTGACTAGCGGCTAAAAAAAAAAAATCTTTGATTTGCATCCTTCGCAAGATCTGCTGTGGGTCTTGTTCTCTATCTGCTAGAGTGTTCTGGGTATCCAGAGTCCCGTCTGTGGACATTGTCAGAGAGAGCTTGGGGCTTTCATTTCTCCCATCACACAGTAATGTATCTCCAGTCTTTAATGTCCTAGGGGAGATTGTGTGAGCTGCCCTCTGTAATACTCACTAGCCCTGCATGCGGTCCCTCTGTAATACTCACTAGCCCTGCGCGCGGTCCCTCTGTAATACTCACTAGCCCTGCGCGCGGTCCCTCTGTAATACTCACTAGCCCTGCGCGCTGTCCCTATGTAATCACTAGCCCTGCGCGCTGTCCCTCTGTAATACTCATTAGCCCTGCGCGCTGTCCCTCTGTAATACTCATTAGCCCTGCGTGCTGTCCCTCTGTAATACTCACTAGCCCTGCGTGCTGTCCCTCTGTAATACTCAGTAGCCCTGCGTGCTGTCCCTCTGTAATACTCAGTAGCCCTGCGCGCTGTCCCTCTGTAATACTCACTAGCCCTGTGCGCTGTCCCTCTGTAATACACTCACTGGCCCTGCGCGCTGTCCCTCTATAATACACTCACTGGCCCTGCGCGCTGTCCCTCTGTAATACACTCACTGGCCCTGCGCGCTGTCCCTCTGTAATACACTCACTGGCCCTGCGCGCTGTCCCTCTGTAATACACTCACTGGCCCTGCGCGCGGTCCCTCTGTAATACACTTACTAGCCCTGCGTGCGGTCCCTCTAATACTCACTCAGGGCTAGTGAGTATAACAGAGGGACAACGCGCAGGGCTAGTGAGTATTACAGGGGGGCAACGCGCAGGGCTAGTGAGTATTACAGAGCAAGTGTATTAAATGAGGGACAGCGCGCAGGGCTAGCGAGTGTATTAAATGAGGGACAGCGCGCAGGGCTAGCGAGTGTATTACAGAGGGACAGCGCGCAGGGCTAGTGAGTGTATTAAAGAGGGACAGCGCGCAGGGCTAGTGAGTGTATTAAAGAGGGACAGCGCACAGGGCTAGTGAGTGTATTAAAGAGGGACAGCGCGCAGGGCTAGTGAGTGTATTAAAGAGGGACAGCGCGCAGGGCTAGTGAGTGTATTAAAGAGGGACAGCGCGCAGGGCTAGTGAGTGTATTAAAGAGGGACAGCGCGCAGGGCTAGTGAGTGTATTAAAGAGGGACAGCGCGCAGGGCTAGTGAGTGTATTAAAGAGGGACAGCGCGCAGGGCTAGTGAGTGTATTAAAGAGGGAGAGCGCGCAGGGCTAGTGAGTGTATTAAAGAGGGACAGCGCGCAGGGCTAGTGAGTGTATTACAGAGGGACAGCGCGCAGGGCTAGTGAGTGTATTACAGAGGGACAGCGCGCAGGGCTAGTGAGTGTATTACAGAGGGACAGCGCGCAGGGCTAGTGAGTGTATTACAGAGGGACAGCGCGCAGGGCTAGTGAGTGTATTACAGAGGGACAGCGCGCAGGGCTAGTGAGTGTATTACAGAGGGACAGCGCGCAGGGCTAGTGAGTGTATTACAGAGGGACAGCGCGCAGGGCTAGTGAGTGTTACAGGGGGCAGGGCTAGTGAGTAATGCACTCACGAGCCCTGCGCGCGTCTCTCTGTAATGCACTCACGAGCCCTGCGCGCTGTCTCTCTGTAATGCACTCACGAGCCCTGCACGCTGTCTCTCTGTAATGCACTCACGAGCCCTGCGCGCTGTCCCTCTGGAATATAATAGTGATCCATATTTAGTTATACAGCCTACAGTCCAATAATAGAATGCCACTTGAGTTACATAAAATGAAAACACAATGCCGTGACACTTTAACCACCTATACCACTTTAGCTTAATGAAGCGTGTTTGGTGTATAGATCAGTCCCTGCATTCACATCGCTTATTTCTCTGACATTTAGGAGTTAAATCACTTTATATTTACATCCCCAGTCACGCCTTCCTGGCGGTCAATCACACAGACTCCCTACACACTTCCTGGAAAACGTCCTCATTTCTGTAGCTACCCTGCGATTGAAAATCAAAGTGTTTTTTTTCATGGAGGCTGTGACCCTAGAGGGGCATGATCTATACACCATAAAAATAAACTGCTTCATAAAACTAAAATTGTGTTGGTGTTTAGTGTCCCTCATTACCATGTCTTAATTGGCCGCTCCATGTCTAATCTATATTCTGACAAAGATATGAGAACGGACAAAAGCTTGATACCTCAGTAGCTTGCCTTTCGGTTAGTCCCCGGTCAGGTCTCAATGTCTAGTGCCAACAGCGTTCTTAACCACACACTGATCATTTTACAACATAGTTCTACAAATATCTAACCAGAACTTCCTATTTTATTAAAAAATACAAATTACGCCGACGCTTGTAACAAAAAACAATAAGTCCAGAAATACCAAGTTCTGGCTTTACGTTGCCCTCCTGGTATGCCGTTTTTCAGTTTGTCGGTCCTGTTGGCACTGATCTTTGTTGTATTCGATGTGAGCTCTGCCAGTTTCCCATCATGCTCTAGGTGCGTTCCATGGGGGAGATTAACAGCTGGCCATGTTTCTGGTATACAATTTGAATTGTCAGCAATTACTAGAACGTTCCAGCTGCTCAGACCAGCGTTTGTACGGCTTATATGGTGACGCTAAGGCTGAAATTGTTTTTGTATTTTTTGTTTTGGTTTTCAGGTTGAAAGTCAGAGGTAAGGTATGCCAAGTGTCACCAGTGTCAAACTGAAAATATTCCTCTACTTCAGTCAAAGGGAAAAACCTTGCTGAATTTCATAACCTATTAAAGTAAAGCTCTGTTATGTACCACTGATATATCTGTATCCACTGTCTCTGGGATTTTGGGTTAGGTTATCGAACTGTTACCAATCTCATCCCTAATTGCAGTTATCTAAAATCTGTCAGGACATCCGTCATTGTTCTCCAGCTCCCATGGCCCCATTGAATCAATCTCCACATATAGCATTCAGTGCTTTCATTGAGGGCTTTGGAGGGGAGGGGGCTCAGTGTGGGGGATTGATTTCGAAGGACCAATGTGATGTCACTGATGCAGGCAGACAGTCTCCGTTCGCTGCTCTCTTAGTATATACTGAGAAGGGGAACAGAGAGGCTGTGCAAATATGTCTTTCTCTAACCAGCAGCCACCTTCTCTTAGTGAGTATACTCAGCTTTGTAAACCCAGGAAAGCAGAGGACTGTTCCGAGACTTTTCAGAGCCACGAGTCGCCCAAGGAATGTGCGAAAGCAGAGTATGAATGGCACAGGACAGAGGGCAAGCTGCATGAGATCGGTCTCAATGTCAATACAGGGGCACAGATTAAAGATGGGCTGGGGAAAAATGCTGGCTTCACCGATGAAGATAAGCTGTGTTTCTTTGAGGGGAAGCCAGACAAAAACCTTCAGCTGGCACCTAAGGAGAAAAAGGAGGTTGATGAGTTCAATCTCCTGTACCAGGCAAACTCGGGGAATGGAATTTCTGAGAGTCTTCCAAGAGCCGGAGAAATGTTTTCCTGTCCCAAAGCCTCGGACTTCCTGGGGCAGGCTGGACCCCAGAGACAGTTTGACCAGATCGAAGCAATAACTGACCAAGAAAAGGCAGCCAATAAATCCAGCACAGAGTATGAACGCCAGCAAGAACAAAGCCTGTTCTCTCTGCTGGATTGTGGGAGCGAGGTGCAAGTATTGAATCCAAACTTTAATCTCCTGTCTAATCACTCCACTTCCAAAGAGGTTGGCGGAGTCACCAGCAGTTATCTACACACTGAGCCGAAAGCCAAGAAGGACACACCAACAACAGTGGTGGAGCTTGCTTCCGAAGACTTTAAACCAGATCTGTCCAGTAACCGGAGTGATCTCGATGAAGACGGTTTTATCTTGGACATGGATGATAGAATTGGTAGCCCAGATGAGTGCACATTACTAAATAGAGCATCTTATCAGAGAAAAGCTATAAGGCGTGCAATGTCTGAGTGCTCTCACTTGGCAGTCCCCCCAGCTGTCAACATTCCAGATAAATATCCTGAGTCTCCTGGAATTAAAGAAAAATCAGCCCTACTTTCACCACCCTGCATTCTGGATTCTAACGCAAGTTTCACACCAAAAAGAAATGCTAGCTCAATGAAAAGATCTATGACTGTGGCAGAGGAGCAGAGTACAGGCTATGAATTTACAAGCCCTTCCAAAGATGCCGAATTCCCTTTGCGCCTCACATCCCAAGTGGGAACATTGAAGGATGAAAAAAGGGAGGGGGGTCCCCTTATCAAGGAGGAACGAATTGCTCCAGACATAAATCTGACCAAGCTCGAAAAGATCCCAGAGGCAAACAGCAGCAGTTTACAAGGGGTTACTGCCATTATAAACTCCACCAAGTCTTCCATTCCATGCACGAATGACCAGGACAAGAATGGTGAACTCAAAATCCTGGAAAAGCCAAGCAACCATCACCAAGAGGAGAAAGAAACTAAAGCAGCACACTTGCAGACCCAGCAGCCATCACTAGGAGAGGAGAGTCCTCTTCATGGTATGTGTCGTCTTAGCTTGGGCCCAACCACAAGATCAGTACACCAGAGCCTTAATCTCACAGGGCTTTGAGGCAGGGATCTGGTAAATGGATGATATTTCATTATGTTCTGGAAAAATTGATTAAATGTAACAGTTTTCGTTTGACACAACAGTAGGGTTTGTGAACTCTAACAAAGCCTGCTTGCTTACAACCTAAAGTTAACGTATGGGTGAGAAATCATAAGGCAGGTCCTTAGATCTTGTAGGACTACTCCCAACTGAAAAATTTTAATTTCACTTTCATTTCACACTTTAGAGAGTAACCCAGAGAGTACACATGTGTTTAAAAGACTGAGAATTGCAGATCTAGGCCGGTTAGATTGCAGTTTTTATAGGTATTATTAGTGTGACCCTGAGAAGCTGGATTTGATAACTTGGTCCTTTGGGATTTCATTCTGAGTGGAATGTCCTTCAGTCATTCAGTGACTGAGCTGGTAGGGTGACTTAATATAATAATTAACCCACATATGAACACTTAAAGGGGTTAAATAAACGTAGAGTACTCAAATTTCCATATTCTTATGTCTGGATCACATATTTCTTTGGATATTTTCTTGTGTATTAAACGTTGGGATTTTCAGAGACATTCAGTAAAACCTTCTCCAAGGTTACTTCATTGCTCTGTGAAGTTGCTGCCGGCCTTACGAAAGTGTCCGTTAATGTCAAAGTATAACCCGTAGACCAGTGGGAGACAGGAGATTCAACCTGCCAGATGTGTTGCAAGTGTCAATAAAGACACTCCTGGCATTTTTGGCACCTTTAGGAATCACTTGAATCCGTTTTAATGGGTGCTCCCAAAAGCCATCTCTTCAATGCTGTTAGTCCGTATCGTGCTCCCATATGTCATCTCTTTAGTGACACTAGTCAATATAGCTTCTCCCATACTCCATCTCGTCAATGCTGCCAGTCAATATGGCTGCTTCCCTTCTCCCTCAGTGGAGAATAAGAGATGGCCTGATGCAGTATTGAAAAAGCTAAATCTTAATGTGTTTCTGCTGCTGCGTATTGCATTGACATGGCACTCTGTAAAACGATTGATCTTTAATGTCTGGTGATGGTGGTCTTTGGCATGGATTCCTTGTTTATATGATATCTGCAGGCCATGACTGGAGCAGTGAGGGATTCAGACATGTCTTGTATTAAGGTCAGACGGAGCGTGCAATGTAGCTCTCGTAGACAGAGGCGCACTGTCACCTCTCATTGTGCATGTTGACTATGGAGTTTTTGACCTTTTTAGCATTCTGTGAAGTGGAAGGAATTGTTTGTGACGAGCTCTTTGGTTAACGTTTATTTTCCTTTTGTCTAACTCTGATAGCACATTGAGGGAATGAACGTATGTCTGTACGCATGGTGTGTTATACCCACACTGGCCGGCTTTCCTGTTAACTGACTGCATTGATTCACTCAATCCATTTCTAACTTCATGCTTTGTATGTTAACCCCACACACTCACCTTGGCCAGTTCTCCTGCTTGTCTTGTGATCCTTCGTTTATACATTAAACCTCACAGAAGACCGGTTCCATACTGAATGGGTTGTTGGGGGACGTGACATTTTGCCGTCCATAAATGCATTAGAAAAAGGTGGAATGATTTACTTTTCGTGGTTAGAGACCAATTGATGGATGACCTTTGGAGTTCTGTCCTCCTTTTAATCAAACCTGATCTTTTGAAAGTGACAGTGGCCACACTAGCACTATCACATTGTTAATGCTGCCTGCTGTCAAAGTCCCGTTCTGGCCTGATCAGTGTGTATAGTGAATGCAGAGTGTGTGTGACGGTTACCCCTATGGAGTAGGGTATCTACCATCTGGGCGTCCTCCTTCCCAGTACTAGAGACCCCGGCAGAGCTCCAACTGAAGGTCCTTTAGAGTGGGTAGAGCGGGGCCCCCTCTGCCAGGAGGGTATAGCTGGGGCTCTCTTTCCAGAAGGTGTAGCAGGGTAGCTGGAGAGAGCTCTTATAAGAGCTAGTAGTGATTATAGCTGGCAAGCAGGCTTCCCCAGAGGCAAATGGCAGTTTGGCACATGGCAAGCCAGAGGAACAGGGCAGTTTGGCACATGGCAAGCCAGAGGAACAGGGCAGTTTGGCACATGGCAAGCCAGAGGAACAGGGCAGTTTGGCACATGGCAAGCCAGAGGAACAGGGCAGTTTGGCACATGGCAAGCCAGAGGAACAGGGCAGTTTGGCACATGGCAAGCCAGAGAAACAGGGCAGTTTGGCACACCGGTTTTAAAAGGACAGATTCTTTCCCAGCAGAGTTAAAGGGCCAGACATAGTTTTTAACATCCAAGATGCAGAAATGGAGTTTGTAACAGGTAATGCACTCCAGAGGCCATAGTCCCAGGGTAACCAGAGTCTAGGAGCGTGTTCTTGGTTGGAATACAATGCTAGTACCGTGATCCACACCATAGCCACTGTGAGAAAAATCACCATAGCAACAAGGGATTTTGTTACATCTTACCGTGTAGGAGAGTACAGTGTATTCCGCTCCTCCAAACCCTCGGCGCTAGCAGAGGAAGCCATTTAACTTGCTATATAGACTGGTCCCACACTGTGTGACATTGTTTTATTTGTATGTGTTAGTGACGGTGTATTTATGTATGTAACCCAGATTATATAGTGTTATATGTACTGGTTGTGCTGGTGATGGCCACATGCAGTCTATATAACGCAGCACAAAACGAACGCTAACATACACATAAAGCTTCATTTCATTGCAGAGGGCAGGGTTTGATCCTGACACATGCATGAACCATTCTCTGCATTAACCCTATGAGTGCAATGTTAAGCATGTCTCTGGCCCATAATGAGGTAAAAATATACTTACCTGCGTCTGTTCACCAGTATCCCTTTCTTACTAAATTTGTTGTTTTCTTAGGAAAACCTGAAATTGTTGAAACCCCTCCAGTTACTACAGCTAATGACATCACAGCGCCACCGAACAAGGAGCTCCCAGCAAGTCCAGAGAAAAAAGTGAAGGTTCGTCTGTCTATAATGCTTTAACGATGATAGTGTATGCTATGATCCTTTATTAAACAGCAGTGTGCTGGATAGTCCTGGAATAATAAAATACTGATACGCTAGGCATTAAGGATCCTGTTTGAAAGCTAACTATGGACCATGTGCTAACAGTATTTAAAGAACGGTTTGTGTTTAACGTGGACAGACCGGCTGATAAGAGGGGATCGGGCAGCAGTAAAGGATTAGTTAGTATTGTTGGTGTAATACAAATGCGAGTAGACTGAGCCTCCTGTTCTATAGGGAACATGACTATAAGAGTGGACAGCTGTAGTTAGTATATATAATAGACATGACCCGTATAGGAGATTGCTGTAGGAGACAGAAATGGCTGTAGAGTTGTTGTGGACACAAGTGGTAAATGTGCATATAGGAGAGAACCCACGAGCACTCACAAGCTAGATGAAAAGTGGGTTATTTGTAAAAATAGGTTCTGTCTAAAGGAGTAATTTGGTCCTGACACACAGCTGGAATTCTTTCCCAGGTAATTACAGTATGAAAACATGTTCATATTGTGTCCTATATGCCGTATCTGCTAGCACTGATGTTCCATAAAGGGTTATACTGCACAGAGTGCTGGATTACAACCGTACCTGGCTTCTTCTAGTCTGAGTATCTTGGACAATGTTTACATTCTGCTTATTTTTGGTAGAGCCTGATGGGTGTAAGAGTTCAGCTGTTTACCTTCGTGGGAGGCCTCTGCTTAAACACAATTGAACTGTTGCACTTTGTTTAAAACCTTGATAATTATAGTGTGTGTATTGTTTTGTTTGTTAATTTTGTTTTCTTATCACAGCATAAATATAATATTTTTGGGGGTGATTGGTATTGTAGCTCTGACGCCCACCAGACTCTACTATTTAAAACCATACAATGCTTTACATTCATTTAAAATACTTTCAATTATATTACACAATCACTGTTTAGTACTCCCCTGTATTTGGTATACACGCAAAACTATTGGAGTAAAAAAAGTAAATTTTTTTTTTTTTTATATAAATGAAATGCCAGTTTTAACTGGCAAATTACACCCGAAAATGAGAAATGTGAATTAATTTTCCTGTTAGAATTGTTTTCTCATGGGAGAGACCAGCTGTAAAGACACTGTTTGCTAGCTGTACCTGGGATGTAATTCTAAAAATGGACAAACAAACTACATTAACTATGCTTCCTATGCTCTAACATCACCTTCTCAGTAATAAATGGTTCGAGCCCTCCCTGGGCTATTCCTCTCAGTAACCTGTGATTAAATCCCCCCATTCCTGGGTTATTCCTCTCTGTGACCTGTGATTAAATTCCCGGGTTATTCCTCTCTGTGACCCAGGATTAAATTTCCCTTCCTGGGTTATTCCTCTGTGACCTGTGATACTCTTCCTGGGTTAGTTCCTCTCTGTGACCTGTGATTAAATTCCTCCCCTTCCTAAGTTATTCTCTGTGACCTGTGATTAAATCCCCCCCTTTCCTGGGTTATTCCTCTCTGTGACCTGTGATTAAATCCCCCCCTTTCCTGGGCTATTCCTCTGTGACTTGTAATTAAATCCCCCCTTCCTCAGTTATTCCCTCTGTGACCTGTGATTAAATCCCCCCTTCCTGGGTTATTCCTCTGTGACCTGTGATTAATTCCCCCTCCCCTTCCTGGGTTATTCCTCTCTGTGACCTGTGATTAATTCCCCCCTTCCTGGGTTATTCCTCTCTGTGACCTGTGATTAAATCCCCCCTTCCTGGGTTATTCTTCTCTGTGACCTGTGATTAAATCCCCCCTTCCTGGGTTATTCCTCTCTGTGACCTGTGATTAAATCCCTCTTTCGATTTGCCTCTAACATCTACCTATAAGGATCTATCTATGAATTATCCTTCGGATACCGCTCTGCTCTGGAACATTTCCCATGTTTTGCGGTCACACCATTTGTTCTTTTTGTTTTGCTTTTTTACAGAATACTCCTAGAATTATTCACCAAGGTGTCCTGGGAATTCAAAGTGAATTTCAGATTTTAGGGCAAAAAAAAATCTATTTCCAATTTGAGTCAAAAGAGGGGTAGTAAAAGGTCAGAATAAACTGCCCTTGAAGTCAAAAAGAGGACTAGATGGGTAAATCATTCAAGAGGAAAAAATAAAAGTTCTTAAAGCAGGTTCATTGAGCGCGAGAACCCAAGCGTCACCCAGATACCAAAACCACCAAAGATTTAGCCATACGAGAAGTAATGAACTTCATCTAAAGTATTTTAATGTTTATTCAGTATTGTACGTTAGACACATGATTATACACTCAACGTGAAACCAAAGAAAAATGTGCAAGTGATTTAAAAAAGAGAAGTCTGTGGAGCCTGCCTGATATGTCCTATGTATAGCTGCTATAGAATACCCAGGTACTAATAGCTATTCAGATTCCCAATGTTTTAAATACAAAGGTAGCTACTAGGGCAATTTTGTAACAACATCAATCAGGTCAGTCAATAAATACACGAGATCTTAAAGTATCTATAGTAGCAATGCAGCTAGAGCAGGTATAAGGATTGGAGTAGACCGCTACAGAAGGGCACAGAGTTGGGGTGTTGGAGATGAATTCCTAATAAGTATAATAGCTGAAAGGAGGGAATAGAAGGAAAAATAGGGAGCAAAAGATAAATTGCCCCTCCCAACCTTATCAAACATGAAACTCAAAAATCCGAGTGTGGGGGAGGTAAGGGTTACCAATCTCCCCCTTTTTATTTGATTATCTCTTAGATATAGCTTAGGTGTAAAGCAAAGTATCTGGGAACAGTGTGGAGCCTAAGTGGGTGTAGTGAGACAGTAATCTCCCCACCAGGACCAAAACCTGCCGTTTCACCAGTAAAATACTAGAACACTGTGCGTGGGTATTTCTCCCCACACTGCCTGATAGTCAGATTGCCAAACTACCCCAATTACAATGTCCAGTATAGAGCATTCCTAGACCAGCCCGGCAGTAAACTAGCTGTTCCAAAGCAGAAGTGTAGTAATCCTGCTCCATAGAAAACCCTATAAAGTTAAAAAAAACGGCAGCGTCTTGGCTATTTTTTTTTTTTTTTTTTATTTTTTTTTATATTTCCAATTTAACCTAAAAATTTAGGCCAATATACCCAGTTTGAACTCTTTGAATTCTCCACAATTCCCACTTTTGTGAATAACTGTTTACTCTATATATTCTAGTCATTTGTTTTCAGCTAATAATTGGTTCTGCTTTCTGTTTTATTTTGTTCTGCATTGCTTAAGCCTTGTGTTTGCTTCAACATATCGTTTTACGTTCTGATTAGACATTTCTTTTTGCATGTGTTTGCTTGTGTTTTTGTTTGTTTTTTGCCAATGTTAAGGTTTCCACTACAACACTCTCAAGCAAGTCTGCAGCAGCTAAAGGCAAACCCAGCACCGGGCCTAGCCCCAAGAAACCAGTGTCCTCCACACCCACCCCTAAAAAACCACCTAGCCCCGCTCTTGCTCAGGGCTCCACCTCCACCCCCAGGCGTCCCTTGGGAAGCGCAGGCCGGCCCTCAAGTCTCACCCCTAAAGACTCAAAAGATATAAAGCCAAAGGTAAGAAGGGCGAGGAGGGGGCTTATACACTGTTTCATATTTCCGTTACACAAGTCCATAAAATGGACGTCTCATTGCACTGGACTCTCTTCGTCTCCCACAATTGTCAGCAGCCTCTTTATAGTGTAACTGTTTAACCCTTTAACTCCTGTAATGCATTTTTATTCTTTGCTTTTGGATCCTGGTGTACCTTTAAACAGTCTGGCTGTCCGTGGCACTCGCAGTGTACATTCATCCATTCTGTGGCTACATTTAGCTGCCGTGCCACCAATTTCCAACACTTTATTGGGGCGATGTTAAACCGGTATGGAGTGCATTAAATCCAGGCTGCTTACTCTGTGTGCTCCTGCGACCTCTCAGATTGGAACTGGAGCTGTGAAACCACTGGTTTCTGAGGATTTGGATTCTTTGTGAGATACAACACAAGCCAGCAGTTCTATTTATAGAACGATATACTGCCACGACTTCCATAAAGCTATTCTGTTTTTTTTTTTTTTAACATATTCATTGCGTTTATGGCCGTGCAGGGCTTTCTCCATGCCACACAGTATACAGCCTGTATGGAGAGTGTATGGGCATTTTGATGGGTTAATATTGTAATGCACGCCGTGTATCCCAGAAACCAGAGGACATTTTAAACGTTTTGTTTTTTTCCCTCGGTTTTCCAGGATGACTGTTAGAGAATTACACCCTTGAATTAAACCGGTCACCAATTCTGACCTCTCACAGAACAAACAGAAATTGGTGGAAAGTTCTAAGTGAAACAATCGTCTGGAAAATTGACTTGGTTTCCATGGAGACTGCTCAGGTTTGCTTATTTTACGGATCCTTCATAGTCTAAGTGCATTCTGTGAATAAGTAATTCAGTTTTCCTGACAATTCTTTCACTAGAACATTTCAGTAAACCGGACGACGTGGACATTTTATAAGCTAATGGGAAATTTAGTCCAATGTAAATGGGGGGGTGGAGAATCACCAACTCCACTTTTTTCTGCTCTGCGGTTTTGGCCGTAACCGTTTATAATTCTGTATAATCTCCACAATTCCCATTTCAGAGGATAAATCCCATTTAGTTCTGTGAGGTTTCTGTGGGTTCGGATGGCACGTGCATGTTCAACAGGCAACACATAATGTCAGCAGGGCCCATAGCTGTAAGGTCTAATAATGTGCAGCACCCCCTGGGTGAATAGTGCAGCTGCACTTACAGCCAAGCTGTCTTAGACTTGCTTTCTCTCCTGTGGTCAAAGGACCCTTGAAAGCATTCCGAATAACACATAGCGCTACCTGCAGGATCTTTCCTTGCTTTCTCTCATGTGGTCGAATGATTCTTGGAAACATTCTGAATAACACACAGAGCTATCTGCTGGATTCCTAATAAAACACAGCGCTACTTGCGGGATCTTTCCTTGCTTTCTCTACTGTGGTCGAATGACCCTTGGAAACATTCCGAATAACACACAGCGCTACCTGCGGGATCTTTCCTTGCTTTCTCTCCTGTGGTCGAATGACCCTTGGAAACATTCCAAATAACACACAGCGCTACCTGCGGGATCTTTCCTTGCTTTCTTTCCTGTGGTCGAATGACCCTTTGAAACATTCCGAATAACAGACAGCGCTACCTGCGGGATCTTTCTTTGCTTTTACCCAGTTTTAGATCCTTTCTAGATCTCCTGGTGAGAGCGCAATCTATAAATGAGATTATTGGCTAACACTGTTTTATAGAAACAAATCCACTTCTGCACAGATTTCTCACCGAAGCCTCAATGGAGCAGTCATGCCCACTTCATGCAATTCACTGCAAGAAGCTGTCATCCCCAGACAGAGAGCGCCATTGTACAGCTGTAGTGTGTATGGAACGAGTGTGGAGATATTAACAGGGTCCACTTAACACATTATGCCAAATTATTTTGCTCTTTGTACAAATTGCCCAATACAAATCTATTTTGTCAGAGCACTGAATATGCATTTGACATCACCCTATAGGGATTCCCTGCGTAGTTTTCACAGCCTGTGGGATAACGCCTAAAACTTTTATTTCGCAGAGTCCTGTGAAGAGTCCAGATAAGAAACCAGCTACTACTAAACCTCTGACTTTATCCACCCCTCGCTCTTCAGTGAAGGCCAGCCCTGCTACCACCAAGGTCACATCATCTGCACCTCCAGCAGACGGAACAGCAGCAACTAAACCGAATGGCACCCCAAAACGACCAGTCGGTAAGTAACCTATTGTAATGACTTAACATTGTCCAGGGGGGCACACTCACACAGATAGTGGCTGTATTCCCCAAATTCCCGAAATTAACTCCAAAATCCTCCGCAAGCCTTTTCCTCCGTGAGCTTTAGGTGTTCTTACTGTTTAGCAATCTAAAGCAAGGCGGACATCACCTAGACTATCAAACTGTGATCCCTGCCTGCGCCACCATAACTATTAATATCCTTCTATATAAAACTCTCAATATTGTGTACAGCACTGACTAATTTTAAACCAATAATGCTTTAATATTCTCTCCTCTTTTACATAGAAACATAGAATGTGACGGCAGATAAGAACCATTCAGCCCATCTAGTCTGCCCAATTTTCTAAATACTTTCATTAGTCCCTGGCCTTATCTTATAGTTAGGATAGCCTTATGCCTATCCCACGCATGCTTAAACTCCTTTACTGTGTTAACCTCTACCACTTCAGCTGGAAGGCTATTCCATGCATCCACTACCCTCTCAGTAAAAGTAATACTTCCTGATATTATTTTTAAACCTTTGTCCCTCTAATTTAAGACTATGTCCTCTTGTTGTGGTAGTTTTTCTTCTTTTTAAATATAGTCTCCTCCTTTACTGTGTTGATTCCCTTTATATATTTAAATGTTTCTATCATATCCCCCCTGTCTCGTCTTTCCTCCAAGCTATACATGTTAATATCCTTTAACCTTTCCTGGTAAGTTTTATCCCGCAATCCATGAACCAGTTTAGTAGCTCTTCTCTGAACCCTCTCTAAGGTATCAATATCCTTCTGAAGATACGGTCTCCAGTACTGTGTACAATACTCCAAGTGAGGTCTCACCAGTGTTCTGTATAATGACATGAGCACTTCCCTCATTCTACTGCTAATACCTCTCCCTATACAACCAAGCATTCTGCTAGCATTTCCTGCTGCTCTATTACATTGTCTGCCTACCTTTAAGTCATCAGAAATAATCACCTCTAAATCCCTTTCCTCATAGGTTGAGGTTAGGACTCTATCAAATATTCTGTACTCTGCCCTTGGGTTTTTACGTCCAAGATGCATTATCTTGCACTTATCCACATTAAATGTCAGTTACCACAATTCTGACCATTTTTCTAGTTTACCTAAATCATTTGGCTTATCCCTCCTGGAACATCAACCCTGTTACATATCTTAGTATCATCAGCAAAAGACATACCTTACCATCAAGACCTTCTGCAATATCACTAATACAAATATTAAAGAGAATGGGTCCAAGTACAGATCCCTGAGGTACCCCACTGGTGACAAGTCCAAGCTTCAAATATATTCCATTAACTACAACCCTCTGTTGCCTGTCACTTATCCACTGCCTTACCCATTCAACAATATTGGAATCCAAAGTTAAAGATTGCAGTTTATTGATAAGCCGTCTATCTGCAACAGTGTCAAAAGCCTTACTGAAATCTAGGTAAGCAATGTCTACTGCACTACCCTGATCTATAATTTTAGTTACCCAATCAAAAAAAATCAATAAGATTAGTTTGGCATGATCTCCCTGAAGTAAACCCATGTTGTCTCTGATCTTGAAATCCATGTGTTTTTAGATGTTCAACAATCCTATCCTTAACATGGTTTCCATCACTTTCCCCACTACTGAAGTAAGGCTTACTGGCCTATAGTTGCCCGACTCCTCCCTATTACCTTTCTTGTAAATGGGCACAACATTCGCTAACTTCCAACTCTTCTGGGACTACTCCTGTTAACAATGATTGGTTAAATAAATCTGTTAATGGTTTTGCTAGTACACCACTAAGCTCTTTTAATAGCTTTGGGTGTATTCCATCAGGTCCCATTGACTTATTTGTCTTTACTTTTGACAGTTGAAATAGAACCTCTTCCTCTGTAAACTCACGCGTAATAAATGACTCATTTATCCTTTTTCTCAACTGAGGTCCTTTTCCTTCATTTTCATCTGTAAATACAGAACAAAAATATTCATTGAGGCAGTCAGCTAGACCTTTATCCTCTTCTACATACCTTCCTTATTTTGTTTTTAATCTAACTAATCCTTGTTTTACTTTTCTTTTCTCATTTATGTATCTAAAAAATGTTTTATCCCCCTTTTTTACTGACTGTGCTATTTTGTCTTCTGTGTGTGATTTGGAAGCTCTTATAACTTGCTTAGCCTCTTTCTGCCTAATCTTATAGATCATTTTGTCTTCCTCACTCTGGGTTTTTTTTATAATTCCTAAATGCTAACTTTTTGTTTTTAACTATTTTGGCCACATCTGCGGAGTACCACAGTGGTTTCTTGAATTTTTTGCTTTTACTGACAAGCCTAATGCAATTTTCTGTTGCCTTCAATAGTGCAACTTTTAAATAATCCCATTTCTCTTTATTTACCGTATTTGTGTGACCTGCATTTATTTTATGTGGTATTTCTTTTCTACACTTTACCAAATATTTCCATATTCACAAAGAAACAAAACCTAAAAAAGCTAAACTGCTGGTCTGGATATACTGACCCTGCCTTTATTATTAGCTCATACTTAAAATGTTTATCAAATGAAACATGGCTGTGATTCCACTAGAAAACATTCACCTGTTAACATTTACAGCGTGAAGAATGAGTTACTCATTTTCAATGGATTTTGTGTAATGTCTACAATCGGACATATTGTGACTAGCCCAGCTATGCTACAAGCAGCCTTTACTTTAGGTGTGATTAGGATCAATTTCAGGTCAATGATGCTTTGATAAGAGATGCTTGGGTTTATTAAATTGGAACTAAAGGGAATGGCTGAATTCGCGTTTTTATTTCTGAATTGGCTAATTTGACATTAAATGGATACACTAAAACTGCTAAAGTTGGTGCTTGGTGTATAGATCATGCCTCTCTAGTCTCACTGCTCAATTCTCTGCCATTAACCCCTTAAGACCGGAGGGCATACTATTACGCCCTATTATAGGCGGCTCTAAACGCCGCCGGGCGTTTAATTTAGTTTTAAATTAAGTTTTTAAGGGGTTAATTCACTTTTGCTTTCGTTTATGCAGCCCTAGCCAAACCTTCCCTGGCTGGGACACGCATAACCTGCATGAAAACAAAATGGTTTCATTTTCAACCAGAACTGACAGCACAGTGTGTTTACTTTTGACTTGTTTGTTGCTCCTATGGGTTCTAGTAGTCTATTAACTGGTCAGGTGATAAGACATTTTAAAATAAACAGAATGTGCTTTTAAGGAAGCTTAAACCTTTTTTTTTTATATATTTTTACAGAAAGCGTGTTGGGAGACTGTTTATACAGTTCTTGCCACACCTCCCTGCATGTGACTTACAAAAAGTGATTTAACTCCTAAATGGAAGAGAATTGAGTAGTGAGACTGCAGGAGAATGGTCTATACACCAAAACTGCTTTAAGATAACGTATTGATGCCTATTGTGTCTCTTTAAGTTTTGAGTTTGGTTTTATTTTCTACTAAAGGATATAGTCAATAAACATAACATATATATTTGTAGTGGTTAAATGCGTTGTCAATGTATTGACAATTCTCTTTAGAACATGTAGTTCATGCTCTAACCCTACAGTTTAAGATTTGGCTGTGTCAATGGGAGATGTACAATCTGAAGCGGAATAATAAAGTGTATCCCAAAAAGGAATTGGTCCATTGCTAATGATTTGTATTCAAATACAGGAAGATAAACCAATGTATGTTCTTGAGAACATGAAGAATCCGGGTCAAAATCAAAAACAACAAAGCTTTAATTGTTATAGATTCAATAATTCATATCAAAGTGCTGATGGTGAACAAACAGAGCTAGAGTTGCTAGTTGCTCTAAAAGATTAGCTAATCTGTAGCACTACATTTAGTGTATTGGGGAAAATCTCAGGAGCTTCAAATAACATGATCATTAGATCTAATTCTAAAGCTAAGAAACCCTGATTGAAATGTATATCCTACAGAGTCACCCCGTGTGAGATTTTCCCAGATATGTCTTTGCCCCTCTAACAATTAAAGCTTTTTTTAATTTTTGATTTTGACCCTGATTCTTCATTTTCTCAAAAACATACATCTTATTAACTGTGGCGAAAGTAACTTTGCCACTGGTTACTGGAGGGGACTGTTTGCCAGCCTCAGGACTATGGGCCATGCAAAAAGGCTTATAAAAGACCTTGTTCGTGCCTTTTTGCTATTCTGTTCGGTAGTTTGCATTCTCCTCCTATTCTAACATTATCCCGTTTGACTACCAAACAACCGCACAAACCAGGGGCCACCCGGGAGCTTGTTAACACCTATTAACAGAACGGTTCTCACCGCAGTGTTCTAATTGTTCATCTGGGTGGCTGCAATTCCTAGGGACAACCACAAGGTGGCGGCCATCTTGTTCGCATGAACGCAGGCAGCTGTGTTTGGTTATGGATCTAATGGAACTAAAATAGGACACAAACTGCTGAACACCGCTGGACTTCCATCATCGCCTGCGTTCAGTTCTATACAATTTAGAAGGGCACTGTTCGGTGAAATCATTAGTGTGGATGAGGGGAACAAGCTCCAGGGTAAGAACATTGACTATTTTCGGTAGTTTGTTCATTTTCTAACTACCGAACTAGACCAACCGCAAGCCCTGATTCTATGGAATTGTTTTGGGCATGGTACCATGCGTGCAGTCGGTCAAATAAATTAATCCCAGGAAATCCTGAACCCCTGAGCTTATCTGGGTGATTTTTAGATAGCCCTGATCTGGGTGACCAATATATCAGGGGATGTAACCTTTGTAGGGGTTTTGTATGCTTTATAGGTATATTTATTAAAAAGTGCTTGACTCCATTATCTCCCAGGTACCGAGGAGGGATTGATCTATTATGTGTGGGGGTTTCGTGGATCTGAGAGCCAATGTAATTGTGTATTTGTTTATACTGTGGTTTACAGGTCCAGGGGGGAGTGCTCCTTGCATGGGGACTTGCATATAAGGCCAGTTGTGGCTACCATTAAACGAGTTCCTGCTTACCCTCAACATAGTCATCTCTCCTGTGTGGGGGAAACGCCTGTATGTACCCCGGGGATTGCTATATCTCTATACTCCCCTGGGATTATAATCACTAGCTCTTTTAAGAGCATATTGCTACACTCTTGGAGGAGAGATCTGCCCACTGGAAGACCCCAAACAAGCTGTAACGCTGGAAGTGGGGACTACAGTGCTGATGGTTTCTGGTGGAGTGCTTGGAGTACTCGGTGAGAACTAGGAGCATCGATTGGCGGAGGCACCCAGTCATTCACATTAACTATCTATACTATCTGTATATGAATACCAATAATTAGCAATCGACTAATTCCTTTTTGGGATACTTTTTTATTATTCCGCTTCAGTTTTTGTCTGTTGAATTCCCCCTATTGAATAGTGTTCCCTGAAATATTTGGCTCGTTATTTTTTTCTTTTCTTCAGAGATGTAGATTCCCCTCGTTATCTAATCCCCTTTATTCACAGCCACCAAGAATGATGTGAAATCCACAGAATTCAAGAAAACCACTACTACGAAATCTCCTACAGGTAGGAAATGGGCTCCATCAGTTACTGATTAATACTTATTAGTTAGTATGGGAACACTTCTTTCCATATCCTGAGCTTTTTTTAAAAAAAATTATCTCTCCTTTTCTTCCCACATTCTCTTGGCACGAAGTTGCTTACACACGTTAGATGCACTGTGTAGGTTAGGTTACAGTTAGTTATACTAGGTGGGTTTATATTATTAAAGGAACACTCCAGGCTCCCACACACATTAGATGCACTGTGTAGGTTAGGTTACAGTTAGTTATACTGGGTGGGTTTATATTATTAAAGGGACACTCCAGGCACCCACACACGTTAGATGCACTGTGTAGGTTAGGTTACAGTTAGTTATACCGGGTGGGTTTATATTATTAAAGGGACACTCCAGGCTCCCGCACACGTTAGGTGCACTGTGTAGGTTAGGTTACAGTTAGTTATACCGGGTGGGTTTATATTATTAAAGGGACACTCCAGGCTCCCACACACGTTAGGTGCACTGTGTAGGTTAGGTTACAGTTAGTTATACTGGGTGGGTTTATATTATTAAAGGGACACTCCAGGCTACCACACACGCTAGATGCACTGTGTAGGTTAGGTTACAATTAGTTATACTGGGTGGGTTTATATTATTAAAGGGACACTCCAGGCTCCCACACACATTAGATGCACTGTGTAGGTTTGGTTACAGTTAGTTATACTGGATTGGTTTATATTATTAAAGGGACACTCCAGGCTCCCACACACGTTAGATGCACTGTGTAGGTTAGGTTACAGTTAGTTATACTGGGTGGGTTTATATTATTAACGGGACACTCCAGGCTCCCACACACGTTAGATGCACTGTGTAGGTTAGGTTACAGTTATACTGGGTGTGTTTATATTATTAAAGGGACACTCCAGGCTCCCACACACGTTAGATGCACTGTGTAGGTTAGGTTACAGTTAGTTATACTGGGTGGGTTTATATTATTAAATGGACACTCCAGGCTTCCACACATGTTTGGTGCACTGTCTAGGTTAGGTTACAGTTAGTTATATTGGGTGGGTTTATATTATTAAATGGACACTCCAGGCTCCCTCACACGTTAGGTGCAATGTGTAGGTTAGGTTACAGTTAGTTATACTGGGTGGGTTTATATTATTAAAGGGACACTCCAGGCTCCCACACACGTTAGATGCACTGTGCAGGTTAGGTTACAGTTAGTTATACTGGGTGGGTTTATATTATTAAAGGGACACTCCAGGCTCACACACACATTAGATGCACTGTGTAGGTTAGGTTACAGTTAGTTATACTGGGTGGGTTTATATTATTAAAGGGACACTCCAGGCTCCCACACAAGTTAGATGCACTGTGTAGGTTAGGTTACAGTTAGTTATACTGGGTGGCTTTATATTATTAAAGGGACACTCCAGGCTCCCACACCCGTTAGGTGCACAGTGTAGGTTAGGTTACAGTTAGTTATACTGGGTGGGTTTATATTATTAAAGGGACACTCCAGGCTCCCACACACGTTAGATGCACTGTGTAGGTTAGGTTACAGTTAGTTATACTGGGTGGGTTTATATTATTAAAGGGATACTCCAGGCTCCCACACACGTTCGCTGCACTGTGTAGCTTAGGTTACAGTTGGTTATACTAGGTGGGTTTATATTATTAAAGGGACACTCCAGGCTCCCACACACGTTAGATGCACTGTGTAGGTTAGGTTACAGTTAGTGATACTGGGTGGGTTTATATTATTAAAGGGACACTCCAGGCTCCCACACACGTTAGGTGCACTGTGTAGGTTAGATTACAGTTAGTTATACTGGGTGGGTTTATATTATGAAAGGTACACTCCAGGCTCCCACACACGTTAGATGCACTGTGTAGGTAGGTTACAGTTAGTTATACTGGGTGGGTTTATATTATTAAAGGGACACTCCATGCTCCCACACACGTTAGATGCACTGTGTAGGTTAGGTTACAGTTAGTTATACTGGGTGGGTTTATATTATTAAAGGGACACGCCTGGCTCCCACACACGTTAGATACACTGTGTAGGTTAGGTTACAGTTATACTGGGTGGGTTTATATTATTAAAGGGACACTCCAGGCTCCCACACACGTTAGGTGCACTGTGTAGGTTAGGTTACAGTTAGTTATACTGGGTGGGGTTATATTATTAAAGGGATACTCCAGGCTCCCACACACGTTAGGTGCACTGTGTAGGTTAGGTTACAGTTAGTTATACTGGGTGGGTTTATATTATTAAAGGGACACTCCAGGTTCCCACACACGTTAGGTGCACTGTGTAGGTTAGGTTACAGTTAGTTATACTGGGTGGGTTTATATTATGAAAGGTACACTCCAGGCTCCCACACACGTTAGATGCGCTGTGTAGGTTAGGTTACAGTTAGTTATACTGGGTGGGTTTATACTATTAAAGGGACACGCCTGGCTCCCACACACGTTAGATGCACTGTGTAGGTTAGGTTACAGTTAGTTATACTGGGTGGGTTTATATTATTATAGGGACACTCCAGGCTCCCACACATGTTAGGTGCACTGTGTAGGTTAGGTTACAGTTAGTTATACTGGGTGGGTTTATATTATGAAAGGTACACTCCAGGCTCCCACACACGTTAGATGCGCTGTGTAGGTTAGGTTACAGTTAGTTATACTGGGTGGGTTTATACTATTAAAGGGACACGCCTGGCTCCCACACACGTTAGATGCACTGTGTAGGTTAGGTTACAGTTAGTTATACTGGGTGGGTTTATATTATTAAAGAGACACTCCAGGCTCCTACACACGTTAGATGCACTATGTAGGTTAGGTTACAGTTAGTTATACTGGGTGGATTTATATTATTAAAGAGACACTCCAGGCTCCTACACACATTAGGGGCACTGTGTAGGTTAGGTTACAGTTAGTTATACTGGGTGGGTTTATATTATTAAAGGGACACTCCAGGCTCCCACACACGTTAGATGCACTGTGTAGGTTAGGTTACAGTAAGTTATACTGGGTGGGTTTATATTATTATAGGGACACTCCAGGCTCCCACACATGTTGGGTGCACTGTGTAGGTTAGGTTACAGTTATACTGGGTGGGTTTATATTATTAAAGGGACACTCCAGGCTCCCACACACGTTAGGTGCACTGTGTAGGTTAGGTTACAGTTAGTTATACTGTGTGGGTTTATATTATTAAAGGAACACTCCAGGCTCCCACACACGTTAGGTGCACTGTGTAGGTTAGGTTACAGTTAGTTATACTGGGTGGGTTTATATTATTAAAGGGACACTCCAGGCTCCCACACACGTTAGATGCACTGTGTAGGTTAGGTTACAATTAGTTATACTGGGTGGGTTTATATTATTAAAGGGACACTCCAGGCTCCCACACACGCTAGGTGCACTGTGTAGGTTAGGTTACAGTTAGTTATACTGGGTGGGTTTATATTATTAAAGGGACACTCCAGGTTCCCACACACGTTAGATGCACTGTGTAGGTTAGGTTACAGTTAGTTATACTGGGTGGGTTTATATTATTAAAGGGACACTCCAGGCTCCCACACATGTTAGGTGCACTGTGTAGGTTAGGTTACAGTTAGTTATACTGGGTGGGTTTATATTATTAAAGGGACACTCCAGGCTCCCACACACGTTAGGTGCACTGTGTAGGTTAGGTTACAGTTAGTTACACTGGGTGGGTTTATATTATTAAAGGGACACTCCAGGCTCCCACACACGTTAGGTGCGCTGTGTATATTAGGTTATAGTTAGTTATACTGGGTGGGTTTATATTATTAAAGGGACACTCCAGGCTCCCACACGCTAGGTGCACTGTGTAGCTTAGGTTACAGTTAGTTATACTGGGTGGGTTTATATTATTAAAGGGACACTCCAGGCTCCCACACGCTAGGTGCACTGTGTAGGTTAGGTTACAGTTAGTTATACTGGGTGGGTTTATATTATTAAAGGGACATTCCAGGCTCCCACACACATTAGATGCACTGTGTAGGTTAGGTTACAGTTAGTTATACTGGGTGGGATTATATTATTAAAGGGACACTCCAGGCTCACACACACGTTAGATGCACTGTGTAGGTTAGGTTACAGTTAGTTAAACTGGGTGGGTTTATATTATTAAAAGGACACTCCAGGCTCCCACACACGTTAGGTGCACTGTGTAGGTTAGGTTACAGCTAGTTATACTGGGTGGGTTTATATTATTAAAGGGACACTCCAGGCTCCTACACACATTAGGTGCACTGTGTAGGTTAGGTTACAGTTAGTTATACTGGGTGGGTTTATATTATTAAAGGGACACTCCAGGCTCCCACACACGTTAGATGCACTGTGTAGGTTAGGTTACAGTTAGTCATACTGGGTGGGTTTATATTATTAAAGGGACACTCCAGGCTCCCACACACGTTAGATGCACTGTGTAGGTTAGGTTACAGTTAATTATACTGGGTGGGTTTATATTATTAAAGGGATACTCCAGGCTCCCACACACGTTAGATGCACTGTGTAGGTTAGGTTACAGTTAGTTATACTGAGTGGGTTTATATTATTAAAGGGACACTCCAGGCTCCCACACGTTAGATGCACTGTGTAGGTTAGGTTACAGTTAGTTATACTGAGTGGGTTTATATTATTAAAGGGACACTCCAGGCTCCCACACGCTAGGTGCACTGTGTAGCTTAGGTTACAGTTAGTTATACTGGGTGGGTTTATATTATTAAAGGGACACTCCAGGCTCACACACACGTTAGATGCACTGTGTAGGTTAGGTTACAGTTAGTTTTTTTTTGTAATTGAAACGAGTTTTGTCAAATGCAACAAAATTTAAAATGAGGTAGATAACAAATTGTATATTTACACAATGTATGAAAGAAAACTTTCATTGAAAGAAATATGTCCAACACTAAATGGGATACAGTAAGAGAGTAACTGCTCGAGTGCCCCAGAATAGTGAACCGACAAATTGAATGTGGGTGTACATTATATTTTATATTTTTAGATGTCCTGACAGTCACCCAGCACCTCTTCAGAGAAAACCCCTCCACATATGCGTTTCAATACAAATATTCCATGCAGTGGGAATAGTAAGCCTGCTTAGCTTTCTAATCTGTTGAAACCCGCTAAACACAGACTTTTATTTATTTTGGGGGTTTCTAGATTTGACTCGAACAAAACCTGTTTCCGCGGATTCAGCCAAGATCAATGGAGCTGCTCCAGCTGGAACGACCACCGTCCCCACCCGTCCCAAACCAGCCGCTCCCAAGCCCAGCTCTGCTCCTGCTGTGACCTCTGATACCAAGAAGTTGGCTCCTGCCAGATCTGTCCCAGTGAGCAAACCTACTACAACTACGCAAAATAAATCCACCACTGCCGCGAAGCCCATCACAGCTCCCAAGCAGTCACGTCCTCCCAGCGCAACCGCTCCGGACCTGAAGAACATCCGTTCCAAGATTGGATCCACTGACAACTTAAAGCACCAGCCAGGGGGAGGCAAGGTAAGATTGTCCGGATCCCACCATCATGGGGTCATTCATTGACATCCTGCTGCTTCCTCTCATGTCATGGACTGATACTTCCACATATGTAATGAGTGAACAGCATCACTCTGTGTTACTGTTGTAAACTGGCCTAGAGCTGCTCTAAAATTAAACCTGGCCGTTGACTTGTAGGGGCTTTGACCTGGAAGGAAAAGGATGTCATCTTCATTTTTTTTGGTCATGGTACATGTCACACTGCATGGATTTGGTAAATCGCTTTATGGCTGCTGCAAACTGTGCCAGACTAATCTTATGTTGTCCTTTGTGACCATACTGTAAGCAATCACGGACCTGCGTTGCCGGGTTATGAGGCTGTTGCAAGAGGTAATTTGGACGTTAAATTTAAAAGGCATTGGTCCTCTGGTTAAATACATTTTGTATTTGTAGATCTTTCATTCAGGCTAGGAGTCAATATGTCATTATCATTATTCGTGGACCGTTTTGCCCGTTGCATTCACTCGGTTCACAGGACATGCATTTCTAAGTAATGGTGCTGCCGTAAAGACCAAAATCTATACAAAATACTGATATGCACAAAATCCAGTTTTAAATTTGTGTTGAGCCACATTAATTCCAGTCTGTGATGATGTGACACGTGGACAGATCAATTTACGGCTGAATGTCCAGGATCATAGCACCAAAGATACGTTTCCTGCTCTTGGTTATGTGCTGTAACAGTGATGGCTGATGGTTTATTATGTAGCGTGCCCAAATTATTTGTGTACCTACACAGTTACCAGTGCTATGTATTGCAGGCAGCACTTTTTTGCCCAATAACTTGTCTCTAATTTTATTTAAACCCATTGCTGACCGTCTGCAAGTGGCTAGCTGGTCTGTTTCTGTAAATTCTGCTTTGACCTAAGAAGTTAAATGATCTTTTTTTATTTAAGTCCCATCAAACTGCTCCCCGGTGTCTCCTGGTGCCAAGTGTGGCAGTTCAGTCTGGCAATCTAGGCAGCTGGTCACTGGGCCGTGTATCCAATACGTGGGGAATGGGGCTATTTAACATTACCGGAGCAATGGTTAACCCACTGCAAGTCCTAGGCTTGTGCTTCCAGATGCCTTAACCTGTTCACTCCCTGGGGAAAGCCGGCCTGGATCTCTGTGATGTTTTCAGTGTTTGAACGGGCTTTCCTGGAGTGAGCAGGTTAATACATCATGTTATTGCACTGGTACATGTTTTCTATGTTTCTGTTGCATATTCTCATTTTATTTGTTGCAATGTGTTTTTTTTGGTTTTTGTTTGCTTGTTTTTCAAAACCCTACATATTTTTCCCCTTCAGGCTAAAGTAGAAAAAAAACCTGTGCCAGCCAGCACAACAGCCCGAAAACCTGTCACCCTCGCGGGTCCTAAAAGCACAGCCCCTAAACCTGCTGTCACTAAAGAAAGTGTCCCCAAGCAGTCCAATGAGAAAGTGAGTGAACACGCTGTAATGACCCTCTGTAGGCTGTACTCTCTCCTCCTTCCTCGCTCACGCCTTTTATCGGGGCTCACCCTGAAAGCCCCTTTTCCTGCTACTTCATAGAGAATTACTGGCAACCTTCCCACTCTCCATTTTTTATTTATTTATTTTTTTGTGTGCGATATTTAATATATTCTGAGTAATTGTTAATCATAAGTAGGAATTCTAAATTAAATAATTTGTAATAGTAGAATGAGCTGCAATGGTACAGTAAGCTGTAATGATGTAATAAGCTGACATAGTACAGTAAGCTGTAATGATACACTGAGCTGCCCTAGTACAATAAGCTGTAATGATGCACTGAGCTGCCATAGTAGAATAAGCTGTAATGATAGACTGAGCTGCCATGGTACAATAAGCTGTAATGATAGACTGAGCTGCCATGGTACAATAAGCTGTAATGATAGATTGAGCTGCCATGGTACAATAAGCTGTAATGATAGACTGAGCTGCCATGGTACAATAAGCTGTAATGATAGATTGAGCTGCCATGGTACAATAAGCTGTAATGATGCATTGAGCTGCCATGGTACAATAAACTGTAATGATGCACTGAGCTGCCATGGTACAGTAAGCTGTAATGATGTAATAAGATGACATAGTACAGTAAGCTGTAATGATACACTGAGCTGCCCTAGTACAATAAGCTGTAATGATGCACTGAGCTGCCGTGGTACAATAAGCTGTAATGATAGACTGAGCTGCCATGGTACAATAAGCTGTAATGATAGACTGAGCTGCCATTGTACAATAAGCTGTAATGATGCACTGAGCTGCCACGGTACAATAAACTGTAATGATGCACTGAGCTGCCACCGTACAATAAGCTGTAATGATGCACTGAGCTGCCACGGTACAATAAGCTGTAATGATGCACTGAGCTGCCGTGGTACAATAAGCTGTAATGATGCATTGAGCTGCCGTGGTACAATAAGCTGTAATGATGCATTGAGCTGCCATGGTACAATAAGCTGTAATGATGCACTGAGCTGCCACGGTACAATAAGCTGTAATGATGCACTGAGCTGCCACGGTACAATAAGCTGTAATGATGCACTGAGCTGCCACGGTACAATAAGCTGTAATGATGCACTGAGCTGCCGTGGTACAATAAGCTGTAATGATGCACTGAGCTGCCATGGTACAATAAGCTGTAATGATGCACTGAGCTGCCATGGTACAATAAGCTGTAATGATGCACTGAGCTGCCATGGTACAATAAGCTGTAATGATGCACTGAGCTGCCACGGTACAATAAGCTGTAATGATGCACTGAGCTGCCATGGTACAATAAGCTGTAATGATGCACTGAGCTGCCACGGTACAATAAGCTGTGGCATTTGCGTGGTTTTTTTAATTAGGTGTCTCAGTGGAAGTTTGTGGTTAGTCTTACTCTGGAACAATATGCAAAACTCTTTGTAAATTATCAGAAGGATCTTCAGAACATTTATTTGTGTTTTGCTAAAGTTAGTTTGCATTTTTTTTGTTTGTTTGTTTGTTTATTTGTTATGGGGTTTTTCTTTTTTCCTTTCTGGTTACTGGCCACTGGAGTGTTTGTTCTCCCCAGACCAATGGCTTCAGTCTGTAGAAATATGTAGCCTATTCTCTGGGGTTTATTTGTGGCTTCAAATATTGTTTTATTATAGCATGCTTGGTATTATCTTCTACCTGTCCCTGGTAATGCCAAGATAATCATTCATCTGTTCCCCTGTAATGAACTTCATACATCACTGCTTTAACGTTCTCTATAGTTTGTTCCCAGGGACCCTAAAGGTGTAGGCCAGCCATAATAGGAGAGCCTTGACTCTGTATGTTTTGCAGGTCTTTGGGCTGGGGCTCTGTTATGGTCTGTTCCGTGTATCTGATGGCTTTCCAAGCTGAGGTTCAGCTCTTTCATTGATTATCAGTCGCTGTGATTCCAATCTGTTTTTCAAGCTGTAGTGTAGGCTGTTTAAATCTAGTTTCAGCCCGTGGTGAGCTCATTATCTCTGGAAAAACATAGATTTTTTTTTCCTGAAGAGACGCATGATCCAGAGATCCCCTCACTGATGGCGATACTCATGGCGCAAGTCCTGATCTATGGATAGAGTTGGCCGGTGTTTGTGCTCACTTTTTTGTGCTTTCTCCATTTACTAATGGAGTGGATCCAAAGATCTGCATGGAAAATGTTTTAAATGTATTTTATTTACTACATTGGTGTAAATAACTGCAAAACAGTTTTCATGTAAAGTTGAATTTCCCAACAGTCCATTGTTTCAAAAATTTAATATATATTCTAAAAAAGAAGTACACCAGTTCCTTTAATTTAACTTTCCGATGCACTTAATTATTTATTCCTCATTACTCTCATAAACAGCTTTTTGAATCACTTTGAAAATCTTATTCGTTATGGACTTTACCTCTGAGATAAAATAAATATATATATATATGTGTGTGTGTGTGTGTATATATATATATATATATTAATTAAGGCAGTTTTGCCTGTATTTGTGGGAGGGGCTTAAATTAATTCACTCCCCTATATAAGGGACACCCCTTACCTGACTCATATCGCTTGAGGTCAGCATCAGAATGATTTCCACTTCCGGGTCATCCAGACGCCATTTTACCTGATTACACCATGAGGTTTTCTAAGCTGAGCTGTGTCAGGAATCCAGCCACAGGCTTTTCCGGCCCACCACCTTCTTTCTTCAATCTATCGCCGTGGATGGTGTCCAAGTGACTCACAAACCGTAAGTCGACCTACCCGTTACGCCAGGCATCAGTCCCACGGCACCATGCACGGGTCAGGTCCTCACTTTACTGCTGCATTTTGTCTAAGTTTGTTCTAAAACCATTTCATGTTCATGCATATCATTCGTTTAAACCCCCTACCGGTCTTTGAGTGTACTACAGACTTCTTAGACATTATCGCATTTCATGTACAAACCAACGAACCACTGCATTTTTGCCTACACACTGACCCCTACCGGTCATTCGGTGTACTACAGGCTTCTCAGACATTATTGCATTTCATGTACAAACCAACGAACCACCGCATTTTTCACCTACACACTGACCCCTATTGGTCATTCGGTGTACTACAGGCTTCTTAGACATTATCGCATTTCATGTACAAACCAACAAACCACTTAATTTTTCACCTACACACTGACCCCTATCAGTCATTCGGTGTACTACAGGCTTCTTAGACATTATTGCTTTTCGTGTACAAAACAATAAACCACTGCGTTTTTACCTACACACAGACACCTACCGGTCATTCAGTGTACTACAGGCTTCTCAGACATTATTGCATTTCATGTACAAACCAACGAACCACGGCATTTTCGCCTACATGCTGACCCCTACCGGTCAATCGGTATACTACAGTTTTCTCAGACTTTATTTCACTTCATAAGCAAACAAACTAACTACAGCATTTTCGCTTTTATACTGACTCCTATCTGTCAAACAGTAGGATTAACCCCTTAAGGACACATGACATGTCTGACATGTCATGATTCCCTTTTATTCCAGAAGTTTGGTCCTTAAGGGGTTAAAGGGTATTTTTACCATACAATCAGCATTTATGACCGCTACTGGTCAACAGCAAAACTGTCTTCACATGTCATATACAATTTACCAGCCAATATAAATTACACAAATTCCCTTTTATTCCAGAAGTTTGGTCCTGAAGGGGTTAAACATAACCATAAACCATAAATGAAACTCCAGCACGGGCTCAAATTCAGGTTTAATTCACAATAATTTACATTTCATATCAAGACCAACAGTGGTTCTATCAACACTGCCACCTACAGGTCTGTCAAGTACATTGACAATTTTCATGGGGTTTTACAAACCCCAAAACACTGACCCCTATAGGTCAACAGACAAACAACATTTCACATACCAATCAGTATCCAACTACACTGCCACCTATAGGGCACTCGGCAGATCTCCAGTGCACTTGCCTTTTGCAACACCATGTTCACTGACCCCTACCATTCAATAAGACATACAACAATTCACATAGCAAGTACTATATCAAACATCTGGTATAAATACATATATTATTACACAGTAGCAGACGCGTCTGTATATATGTAACTGGTAATATAGTTCACATACATTTTCCACAGCACGCTGCTCACGCAACAGACTTTCCCCTAGCAAGGGGACATACAACATACAAGGTGGGGACAGACCACATTTTCACTTGTACATACGGCACTTAATGGGTTAAGATTGATACATATTTAACCAGTATGGCTACGATGTTTAATATTTACACATCATGGCACTTTACTTTTCACATATACTGTACGTATTAAGATAAGCTTGGTCTATGCCATATTTCCTTATGCCATACGGTTTTATCCATTCAGGTTACAGTTACTACTAAAAAACCTATACGGATTGTCAGGTTCAATACCATACTACCAGGTACATACACCTGCTCACGTAGTTATCCATCTCTTACCTTCCCTGGAATAGTAATAGTGTACTGGCAATTAGGGTTCTAGGGCCCAATAGGTATTACCCCCTTTTTTCTCTGCATTATGCTTCGGTTAGTGGTCCCGCGAGGCCAACACCCCGCCTCACACTCGGAGGCATACACCCCTCGGGCCACTCGTGAGCTAGCCGCCTCGCATTGTATCATAGAGAGGGCCTCACCTGTCACTCCCCTTCCTATTTTCTGGTTACTGTCACCGAGAGGCCAACATCCTGCCACAACGTTCGGTGGCCACACAAAATCCCCTCGCGCCAAGCATAGATAGAGCCTCTCAAGCCACTTGGCAACTAGCAGGGCCTCACCAGTCACCAAAAAACAAAAAACACCAAGCCTAATCGTTTCGCCTTACGGCTTAGCTAGCAAGCCAGTACAAGAACCCTGGGTACAAATAATAATTGCAATCTTTATTGTTATTTAAGTATTTCTCAAAAAGATGGTGAAGAATCACCTCTTCCTAGCACCCCGGCTAGATTTGATACACCTTCAAGCAGAGGAGATGTTGCTAGTCCAGCAGCAATCAGATCCTGGATGATCCCACACATTACCACCGACCTAAGGAGGTGACAAATCCCCTACCCTGCTACAGCAAGGAAAGCAGAGTTATTCAAACTCCTCCATACATCAACGGACAACACGGAGGCAGGGGAAGGCCCAGCTACATCAACTCAGGTGACACCCAGGCTATGCTAGCCTCACTCATAAACTCATGAGCCAAAAAATTTATGACAGACTGGCAATCTCGAGTTGGTCACCACAGCCCTCACAAGGCTGGGCCTCACGTTACTGTACAACCAGCACCAACCGAAACTCTGTTACCTGGTACAATCAATTCTTATGACACACAAGATGTTAACCCTGCACGTATGATCCCAGCACATTGGGGAAGCAAGGCATATATATGTATGATGATGTATCTGTGATGGTCAGATCCAGGGATTCCAGGTAAATCGGGAACTGACCATCTCTTGGATGGGTTGGTATTTGGAATATGTAGAGATGTTTATTTGTGCAGGTACCCATACAGAAGGGATTCTGTCCCAAACAAATGGACGAGCACTCTCAGGCTCCAGGTACCAGCACCTCTGAACTACCAGAGACCATTGATATGAGTAGTTGCATTGCATATAGACTGTTGCATATATGTTCAAATGGTTCAGGGCACATGACAAACCATTTTGCCCAATACAACTTACAAATAACGTACTCACCATCTGTACACACCAATGCATTTTCAACACTACTGACTCATCACCCTTCCAGACTTGTAGTAGATTTACTAAAGCTCTGGAGCTTCAAAGGGCTCCCATACAGGTATCATAAACACACCTTCAAGGAATATAGCATGCCCTCACTTACAGTCAGCACAACAAAACCATTGGCTGAAAACACACTCATAGCCAAGATTTGCAGAGGGGTCTTCCAATCTCCACCATTTACAGCATGGCACCAAACACAAACACATTGGTATTGTCACAAGGAATCTTCTCTTAAACAAAGACTAACCATAGACTTATTGGCACCACACACCTCCGCTACCCCAAGTCTCAACTCCCTCATACCCTCGAGGATTTTTCTTACTATACAACACCATTGATCTACCTTTACAGCTATCACTCAAGGGTTAAAGCTTGGTTAAGTAAGACCAATATCATCAACGCAGTAAACGGCTACCATCTACCCTACACACTGGCACTTACATGGCATAAATTGGGCAATCCTTTCCCTGCTCAAGTTTCGAGCTACAGATTAGCCTACTATCGATATTCGCAGATACTCTGTGCTGGTTATGATAACATATCCAGAGGCATTACAGTCATACACTATCTAGAAGACTTCTTGTTGCTAAAAGAAAGCATATTTTTCACTAGAAGCCTCATGGCAGCTTAGTCTGGTTGACCACTTGGGCGTCCCAGTACCCCATAAGAAACAGAAGGCGCAGACACTATCATCACATTACTGGGCATATGACTTGAGTTGGCATCCATACACGCAAGTTACCACAAGACAAATAGGGAACATTCTCAAATAAATCAATCACTACCTCCTGCTTAGTACTTACAACTACAAGGAACTACAATCCCTACCAGGTTCCTTAATTTTGCCATGCCAATCATACCACAAGACCACGCTTTCACATCCAGAGTACTTTCCCCTTTTTTCCACACTTCCAACATGACGATCAGAGGAGGTGCCTAGACACCTCAGCAACAGCAGACCTGCACATGGGGGGGGGATTTCTTAACCACTTGGCATGGTAAAAGCATGTTCCTTCCAGGATTGACTGACACTTCTCCAACCAGATGGTCAGACGCAGCGTATACCACTGGTTTGGCAGCGATCTACCGGGAACAATTGCTTTGGAGCTGTTGGCCATGGCATCCAGGTTTGGAAATTTTTCCACCACTTCAGCCCCTTTGGGAGATCTACCCCATTGTAGCAGCTGCTGTGGCATGGGGTAAATCATGGTTAGGGTCATCAATCCGTTGTTACTCAGACAACTAAGCACATATCATATCATCAACAAACGCCACTACTCATCCATAAGTTCATGATGTTTCTGGGAAACTCACTTGGTTGGCCACTTATCATATTTCACTTTCATGTACCAGACGGGGGTATACATCCCTGCCGACAACTGTCTCATTTATATTCCAGGCATGTTCATCATACGCTTCCTACAGCCGCCCATACAGTCACGTCCACTCTTTCGTTCCAGAGACAAATCATGGATTAGACATACTCATGCAGCATAGCATGCACTATCCCACCTAGCACTTTCGTCCCATACTTGTAGAACGCATAACACAGCTTTTCACCTGGCTTAAAGAATCTCATTGGAACACGACATAGCTCAACCTGTGTCACAAAATTTCTCCTAAGTTTTGCTTATTTTTGCCACCTTAAACTTAAACTATCTCATACACCATTAATGATATATTTTACAGGCATTCAACAACACAGGATATGCATTTAAGGAAATGTCTGGTTAATTTGTATATATTTGTTGACTGTATTAAATCTTTGATTATTCATTTTTGCCCTCTTTATTTACAGGCCTACCGTATCGTCGGTATCGGCACACCACAACCGACTTGCTCCCTTTACACTATCCTAAGCTTATGCTGGATCCTTACTCCATATACGGCTATTTTGCCCCTTACACAAGTATTAAGGCAGTTTTGCCTGTATTTGTGGGAGGGGCTTAAATTAATTCACTCCCCTATATAAGGGACACCCCTTACCTGACTCATATCGCTTGAGGTCAGCATCAGAATGACCCTCCCACCCACTCCTCATTTCAACACTTTCTCTTTTCTTTCCATTTACTTTACTTTCTTACTCCTTGGTGGGCCCTCTTTATTTACAGGCCTACCGTATCGTCGGTATCGGCACACCACAACCGACTTGCTCCCTTTACACTATCCTAAGCTTATGCTGGATCCTTACTCCATATACGGATATTTTGCCCCTTACACAAATAAATATATATATATATATATATATATATATATATATATATATATATATATATATATATATATAATGTGTGTGTGTGTGTATATATATAAAATATATATATATTTTTTTTTTTTATGAGCCCGTTAGTATCCAGAACAATCTATTGCAACCAGAAACCACAGTAAATCTAATGTGTCCAATGGTAATGAATAGTCGGAACGTCACCTGATGCCTGCTAGCTATCTATTGTGATTGGTTTATTACCCAAGCAATTAAGACAGTAGACTCGTTCATTCTTCTGCTGGATGGGGTAGTTTTTGGGCACCTGTGCTATATGACGGGGTGTAATCATGCAGAGCTGATCCATGTATGGCCAGATGTGGCTCTGCAGGCAATGCTTTGAATCTGAGATCCATTAGGGCATATGTGACTCGTGTGACTCTGAGATGGAATTATAGGCTGAGGTTGACGATGGCTGAATGTTGACACCACATCATTTACCTACACTTTAACTGCCTGCTCCGCTCCTGCTTCTGCTCTCCCTCATGGCGCTCATTCATGCTTCCCATCGTGCACTGCCATGTTAACATTTCCTCCATCTTTGTGTCTGCCATGTGATCTATCTAACCGTGTCTCTCCACTTCTGTGTTGTTGTTTTTTTTGTCTTCCCATTCTATAATGCTCTAGGTGCAGATAATCTCCAAAAAAGTGAACTACAGCCATGTTCAGTCAAAGTGTGGTTCCAAGGACAATATTAAGCATGTCCCTGGTGGTGGGAATGTAAGTATAGTCTGTGGGCTACTTTTAACACCTTCTCTGTCTATTTCTTTAGTATGTGCTTCTTGTGCTGCCGACACATTAACTCTAACAGCATACCATTCAGTAATTTGCCAGAGCCTGACTTTCACATTAACTCCTGTTCTCCTCTGCTTGGACTTACTGTACGGGCACGGTAATGGGATCCACTGCGTCCCTGGTCGGATTGGTGCATGAGAGGCAGTTTAGGGAAAGGATTAATGCAGATTACTTGTGTGAATGAGGTGTATTCATGCTGTATTTAAAGGACATGAAAAATATTCTCCATGTTGTGATTTACAAAACAGATTTAAGGAAATAGTTTATTACATTGTGTAATTGTTTTGTCCTTCCTACTGACATTAATTTTGTGTGCATATGCAAACTTCTGATAAATTATTTGTTCCCAAAATACAGAGTGCCTTTGGCAATATCACTGCTTAAAGTGTGATGTATTAAAACGAGTAACTCTGTTTCTAAGGAGGACTATTTCAATGTTAACCTCTCTGGCTTCTTGATGTCGTCTGCTAGAGATAAGAAATGGCCGCTACCAGCAGTCTATTGGTTATAGTTACTGTGCACTTCGTAACTGTGGTTAGTCGCTTTTTCCTTTACTACTGTCCAACAGAATGACCTATCACCAAACCTTTTACAAACAATGGAAGTCAAGCCCTGTTTAATAACAGGCAAATTGCCTAAACTGTGCAATTGATGGCTAGGAGTCATAGAGCCGAGACATAACTAGGACTATTCTAAAACTGAAATTATGAATCTTCCACTGTATCTTGTACCACATGAGTCGTGTGCAAGATTCTTCAAAGGTCTCTCAGATTATAGCTGAACTGAATATTCCCATAATATAAAAATAAAAAGGTTATGTGAGGTAGTGGAAGGTAAATTGCAGTACCACCAATAGGACATTAACCCCTTAAGGACACAGTTTCACAAATAAAAGGGAATCATGACTGAATATTTCCATCATGTGTCCTTAAGCGGTTAAATATCTTTCAGTACTTAGAGTGGTCTGAGAAACATCCAGACAGCTGCCTGGAGAAAATTTAGGAATTATGTCAATGTCCCATACTGAAGCAGTAGAAGGACTAGTGTCAGAGAAGCCGGCCTGAGTAAAGGATACCACTTCTGCCTAAAATAACTGCATCTGAGGAAGGAGGTTGTACGTGCAACTTGGGTCTCCTCAATTGGAGATGCAAGTTGCTAATATTTTGTTACATAGGCTGAAAAGAGGCATGTGTCCATCAAGTTGTTCTTTAAGCTTGGCAGGCCATTTTTTAAAATTGTATTTATTTGTAATACCTTCTCCATATAGTTACCCTAGGGCTAAAAAAGAAACGTCAGCGGAGGAATGAAATTATGCCAAGATAGATGGCACTCACGGACTACACTGCCATATGGTGACTGCGCCCACTTCATTGTTGTCATAGTGTAGGATATTGTGTGTGGGATTCAACTGTTTGAGATGAATTGTAGATTATGCTAACTTTAGTGTACCTATAATCTTAATTTTATTAATGACAGGAGGCAAGTATTTGCTTAAGTCTCTCTTTACTAGAACTCCACAGCAGCACAGAAAAACAACCAATCAGAAAAAGTTAGGTACTATAAAACTCCCCTCCCCATGCATCATTTCCTCTTTCAAGCTGCGACAAAAACAGAATAAAAGGCAGAAAACATAATGGGGAAGAAACAAAGTCCTAGATACGATGTTACAATGATGTCCACCATCCGAGAAGAACTGCCAAACCAGATAGCGTTGATGGACTGTAAACTGAAACGAGAGAAAAACAGAATTGAACAGGTTGATTATCCAATGAAATGTACTCTGAATAAACATGTAGGTACCCAATGTAGCAACCAAAAGTACCTGAATTTGTAGATATCCCAACCCTACTTATCAAAAAAACAGACATAAGAACAGACGACAGGTAGCAGAGACAACAAGCAGAGTTGCATACGTACCTGATTATTCCAAACTATTAAAATTAAACAAGGGAGGGATAAGAATGGGTGGGAAATACTCGCCTCCTGTCATTAATAAAATTAAGATTATAGGTACGCTAAAGCTAGCATAATCTACAATTTTATAACATGACAGGAGGCTTCGTATTTGCTGTTTTAATGCTCAGTCAACAAATCAAACGCTGTTTGTTTAGCTGGTACCTATTCCGGAAGCTATCAGAGCAATCCTAAATGGACTTTCCAACTGCGATAAATGACAATAGACCGATCGATGAAAATGCCAGTGGACGAAGCATCCCAAATACGGGGGGGAAAAAACCCCATCCGCTAATAGATCCATTGTATGTGGGGTTGCGACCTGTTTCCTACCAGCCAGTCCATGAGCTGCCAAGCTGACCTATTAGCCATTTCCCTGTAGTTATAAAATGTCGAAGGTCGTTTGCGGACTTAGGGCCACGATAAGACACTGTCACCATGTCTCAACTCTTGATGTGTAAGGTTGCTCAACCGATCGTGCCCGAATCACCCGGCGATGTGGTCTTGCAGGCAGATCTTCAATCTCAAGGAATGCGCCTAAGTCCACCACCAATTCCGTAATAGAACCGAGTAGGATATTTCGTTCCCTGATGGCCTACCCGGTGAGATGTCTCATCCGAGAATACATCTATTATGCAGGCAAGAGTGTGGCAAACTAGCTCTATCCTAAGTGATTCCAATATTCCAACTGGACCGTGTAATCCACGGCTGAGGTAGAGAAAGGACTCCAAATATCATCCAACACATATCGCGAACACAGGCAAGGCGTAAAGTCCCTTCGCTCATGACAGGTGACTCCAGAGAGCAGATATAGCGAAAAAAGAAGGGTCTAGCTTCAGCCGTCCGACACATGTGTTGTCCCGTTTGAGAATGTTGGCAGCCCTATCTGAGTCTGCTACACATCCTGAGCCGTACTCCAGTGGTAGGTTGTGACCCGACTTTGACATCTGTGTAGGAGTCGGGGCACACCAGGTTCCTCCGTAGAATCTCGTAGGTCTCCTTGATGGTAGTTGAAAAGGTGGGTTAGTGCGAACCCAAACCAAAACAGCTCCCATGAGGGATATATAGAGTATAGACGGAGGGCCCTCCATCTCCGAACTATGTTCTCCAGGTATGTGCTCAGAGGAGATGGGGCAGTCCTGCCATCTTATCCCAAGATTGTAATGACCAGGGAACACAAGACAACCGGGGTTTCCGGTCTTACCATGCAATCCATGCGTATGGTGTACTTTCAGACCGGGTAGTAAGCCTTCCCTAGTCTTAATACCCGAGCAAGGCAGTGCCCGTTTGCTCCATGAAGGTCTCCGTATCTCATGTAATCTTGATATGGGAAAAACTGTCTACGCAGTTTGTTCGCAATGGTCCGAATATCCAAAGTAGAATGCAATTCTCTGTATAATATATAGCGCAGAATATACCAAAACCTGCACTCTTGTAATACCTGAGGCTCATCCGTTAGCTGTACTGTCTCTAGGAGTGTGTGTGTGTGTGTGTGTAAATAAGTGGGAGTCTCCCCCCGTTATACCTCTGTGAGTATTTCTCGCGTGTGGTACAGTGGTCCGGATCCAGTATATCCATTACAGGAGATAAAATAGAGGGATCCAGTCTAAATACGTATATCCTGCATGATCAGACAGCCCTCTATAACGAAATCAGTAGCACGGTCGTTAGATTTAATTGAATGCAGGAGGGACGCCCCTCTATGCAGTCATCAAGGTCTTGTACAGGTACAAGCCTGTGTGATGAACAAATGGACGGCACCATAGAGCGTTGAGTGTATGAGAGAGCCGCGCTCTCTAATAATGTGACCGAATTCCGTGTCAGTGTCCGGCTGATAGCCTGAGTGGGCCACACCCGTTAATAACCAAACAATAGAGTCTACATCCGTGACTGGTTCTCTCTATGAGAATGTGTCACTCCAAACATGTCTTCTGTATCCAGCTCAGTATCGGGCTGAGGTTGAGGGAGGGCCGCGCCCTCTCATAACAAATCAGTGTCCGGTTCTGTATATGAGAGGGGTTCGCTCTCTGTTCCTGAAAATAAAATATCATTCTCGGATCGAGGTGATGGAGGGCCGCACCCTCTTGTGATCCAAACTAGAGTCCCTTAGAGACTCAGGGTGACCAACTGCAGGGGTACACCAATTACTAATATCAGCATAAGACCGAGGTCCTTAGGTGGGTCTCTCCCCGACCACGAGACCTCTCTCTGAATCGCTCACCTGAAAAGGAATCAACTGGTAGTAAACCAGACCAATGGGATAGTATACAACCTCGGGCCGTGTCCATTCTAAATAACAGAAAGGGATGGTGCGAAAATGCAACCTTCGGAAACGATGATGGAAACTACCAACTGCCGCCCAGATCCCGCGCGGGGTCCAGGATGACCGTCGGTAGCCTGAGGAAAGCTGGAGACGTTCTCCGCAATCCACGAGCGCCCGGGAGGTCGGAGATGGTCAAGTCAGGCCTCTCGACGACCCGAGCGATAGGAAAAGGAAGGCACAAAAACAATAAATGTAGATACGGGTAAATACGTAAATTCTAACTCTGATGGAAGGCAAATAGCAGGCCGGAAGGCAAGTCAAGTAAGCCCCACTGAACAGGGCCAAGAGCTAACCTTAAGCAGGAATAACTACCGATATCTAGATGGATACCGGGAGGCAGTTAGAGGGTTAGTTGTTAAAGACAAGGAAACACAGTGTCCCCCTGTAGGTGTGTGAGTACCGGTCCCTGCCTGTGCGAAGTTCTCCTTGGAGATGTGCCGTTGCCGGGCTGGTGTAAACCATGGATGCGTGCCCGGTGTCTTCATAAGAAACCTTGCCCTTCAGGCATGAGGTTTAGGGCCTTCACCCTTCCCACCATACTCAGGTGGCCGTATATTGGCGTCCTCTTGGATAGTATGGCAACGGTGCTTGCCTGGACACCTGCCTATCTCCATGTCACTAGTGGGTACTGGGTTTTCCTCAGTGATATTCCCCCAGGCCTGCGGCCAAAAGGGGGTTTGGCACCGATAGAGCAGGCCCTTCAGAAGGGCACAGGCCCAGCAGGCCAAACAAATGGGCACAGAATAGTTGGCCATTCAAATAGGCACAGACATAGCAGGCCATTCAAATAGGCACAGACACAGCAGGCCAATCGATGGGGCACAGACACAGCAGGCCCGTGATAGCGTTCCGACAGCCGTAGAGCCCATCTGCGTGTGTAGAGTCCAATATATACATATGTAATGAAACAGGGAAACCTTGGGTTAAATAATTTCAATATGTAAAACCCACTAGCAGGGTAGTAAAAAAAAAAATACTGTGTGATTATTATTATTTTTACATAATAACTCTGGATAAAGTTGCTATAATGTCTCCAGTCTAATATCACAAATGTTACAGCTACTAGTGATGAAGTGCTATACCACTCTACAGGGAACTGGAAGACTTTAATGTTTGGCCAAAGGCAGAAAACCAAACTGCAGGCATCTCAGAGCAGTACAGGGTGTATAAAATTATATAAATGTGGAGTCATCTTGGGATATAGATTAACCCTGAGCAGGGTGAAGGGCCCTCATCTGATATAAAAAAAACTCCGGCCGTGACCGGAATCCGGCCTTGATTGATAGAGGGGAGGAAAGCCCCTCAAACAGACCTCCAACCAGTTAGGAACAGATGGGGGGGAGGGGCTGCAAGCGGTTGCACTCTCCCCCGCCTGATCGGACATATGCGGTCCGCGGGCGGAGGCGGCCACGGCCACGTGGGAAAGGAGATCCGGCCGCCGGGTGCTCGTTTCGAGCTCCCCTGCGACCGGAAAAAACACACGGAACCGCCGAAGATGAACTCTGCGGTCCTGGAGCTCGGGGATCGAAGGAGGCAGATGCAGTCTGCCTCCTGAAGCCCCCAAGCGGCGCACACAGACACCGCCAGACATAAGGACAAAGGCGGAACAAAAAATATATAACGCGCATGCACAAAGTTGGGAGACGGACAGGGGGGACAAGGCCAAGGGGATAGAGGAGATAGGAGGACCCCAAAGATCCCCCAGAAATTCAAACTAAATATGTATATAACAGTGATAGCCTGAAGTTTCAAGTAAAAATAAAGTCCAGGGGTTTTAACAAAACTGCATGTGTAAGGAAAATTTACACATGGACCAAGGTAATACTGCATATAAAATGAATCCCACAAGACCTAAATAAAAAATTCTGCTAAGATATTCAATATATAAGCATTAAAATCAAACAAGGGAAAATAAAATACTGAATATGAAGAAAAAAATCCCACAAGGAACATAACAATATTGTATTATAAAAATAAAATCCTACAAGGATTCTAACAAAACTGCATTATAAGAATAAAATCCCACATGGATTCTAACAATAGTGCATTATAAAAATAAAATCCCACATGGATTATAACAATACTGCATTATAAGAATAAAATCCCACATGGATTCTAACAATACTGCATTATAAGAATAAAATCCCACATGGATTCTAACAATACTGCATTAAAGGAATAAAATCCCACATGGATTCTAACAATACTGCATTATAAGAATAAAATCCCACATGGATTCTAACAATACTGCATTATAAGAATAAAATCCCACATGGATTCTAACAATAGTGCTTTATAAAAATAAAATCCCACATGGATTCTAACAATACTGCATTATAAAAATAAAATCATACAAGGATTATAACAATACTGTATTTATAAGGCTAAAATACTGAATATAAGCAATAAAATTCCAAAGCCCCCCACTAGAAGCAGGAGGCAGTGGTACTCTGACCTGTACTGACTGCAGAGCAGCAAAGAAAGAGGCAATGCTGTATGGGGAGGGGAGTTTTATAGAACCTAACTTTATTCTGATTGGTTGTTTTTCTGTGCTGCTGTGGAGTTGTGGTAAAGAGAGACTTAAGCAAATACGAAGCCTCCTGTCATGTTATAAAATTGGCTGATTCCATACTTGGAGGCTGTCCACTCATTACTTCTTTAAAATACAAAATGCCATGTTAACCTGTATTAGAATTGATTATGCCAAGGATGAGAAGTGAGGCAATAAAGCTTGGTCGTGAATCTTGTGAGTAGTATCCGCTGTTTGACAAACCTGTGCATTTATTGTAGCTGATTAATGTCATGTGTATTAAGATTATTTCCGGTTTATGTTTCAAAGTAGAGGGCAGTAATTGTCCAATTTTTTTTAATTTTTTTTTTTAGAATATAAAGTTGGGGACTTACTAGACACACATTGTGAAGGAGTATGGGGAATTGTATTGTACATGCTGTGATAAGTGTTTGTTCTTGAATTGCCCTTGTATAAGGGATTGTGGACAGGATTGTTCTGATGCTGTAGCTGGTACCTCTCCCCACCCCCCACCCCTTGAGATTGCATTCTGAGCTCTGAATCCAAGGTTGTAGATTGACCAAACACTGACGTCACTTAACCCAGAATAGGGTATATATTGTTAACCCTGCATGAAGTAGCCGCAGACGGAGTGTAATTACTGTGTATAAAGTAGCCGCTGGCGGAGTGTAATAATAATACTGTGTATAAAGTAGCCGCTGGCAGAGTGTAATAATAATACTGTGTATAAAGTAGCCGCAGGCGGAGTGTAGTAATAATACTGTGTATGAAGTAGCCGCAGGCGGAGTGTAATAATACTGTGTATGAAGTAGCCGCGGGCGGAGTGTAATAATACTGTGTATAAAGTAGCCGCAGGCGGAGTGTAATAATAATACTGTGTATAAAGTAGCCGCAGGCGGAGTGTAATAATAATACTGTGTATAAAGTAGCCGCAGGCGGAGTGTAATAATAATACTGTGTATAAAGTAGCCGCAGGCGGAGTGTAGTAATAAACCCTGTTCCAAATTATTATGCAAATGATATTTTTCTCATTTACCTAAATAATGGATGTAAATAAGTCAGCATAATTCTCATGTTATCAACTACTAAGAGTACAATTCAAATTTTATTGAACAAACCTCCTAATGATAACAGTATTTTTTTAAACATACACTTACAATGCACTGTTCCAAATTATTACACACAGTAAGTTTCAAAACACTTTATAGGTTGTAAAGAACTGAAAATTGTCATTTGTTGTGTTTGCACAAGCTATTTCAATCAAACTTATAACAACATTTTAACTTTTTAAACATTTTAACAGGTCACGTTACATTTTAACATAGGACCCCATATTTGATAGCAGCTTCACAAGTCTTGCATCCATTGAACTTGTGAGTTTTTGGAAAGTTTCTGCTTGAATTTGTTTGCAAGATGTCAGAATAGCCTCCCAGAGCTGCTGTTTGGATGTAAACTGCCTCCCACCCTCATAGATCTTTTGCTTGAGCCAAAGCTTCTCAATAGGATTGAGATCAGGAGAGGATGGAGGCCACACCATCACTTTCTCTCCTTTTATCCCCATAGCAGCCATTGATGCAGAGGTATTCTTTGCAGCATGAGAGGGTGCATTGTCATGCTTGAAGATGATTTTATTACGGAAAGCATAGTTTTTCCGTCTGTACCAGGGAAGAAAGTGGTCAGTCAGAAGTTCCACATACTTTGCAGAGGTCATCTTTATGCCTGCGGGGACCCTAAAGGGGCCGACCAGCTCTCTTCCCATGATTCCGACCCAAAATATGACTCCACCACCGCCTTGCTGACGTGGCAGCCTTGTTGGAACAGGGTGGCCGTCCACCAACCATCCACTACTCCATCCATCTGGACCATCCAGGGTTGCACGGCACTCACCAGTAAACAGGACTGTTTGAAAATTATGTAATGGTATTTTAGCAGCTGCTCTCTTGATCCGATGCATGGATCTGGCAGAAATCTTCCTCAATGTGCCTTTATCTGCACAAACCCGTCTGTGCTCTAAATCAGCCACAAATCTCTTAATAGTGCGATGATCACGTTTAAGTTTTCGTGAAATATCTAATGTTTTCATACCTCGTCCAGGGCATTGAACTATTTCACTCTTTTCGGCAGCAGAGAGATCCTTTTTCACCCCCATATTGCATGAAAATGGTGCTCTGCTTAATAATGTGGAACACCCTCCTTTAGTAGTTTTTCCTTGAATTGGGCTCATCTGGCAATCTAATTATCACAGGTGTCCGAGATTGTTTTCAGTGATCAAAAGAGCCCTGAGACATAATGCCATCCATGAGTTAAACAGAAAAACAAAATATTTAATCTATGTGACACTTAAATAGAATTTGCATAATAATTTGGAACAGGGTGTAACACCGTATATGATGTAGCCGCAGATGGAGTGTAATAACACAGTGTATGAAGTAGCCGCGGGCGGAGTGTAATAATAATACCGTGTATGAAGTAGCCGCAGGCGGAGTGTAATAATAATACCGTGTATGAAGTAGCCGCAGGCGGGGTGTAATAATAATACCGTGTATGAAGTAGCCGCAGGCGGGGTGTAATAATAACACTGTGTATGAAGTAGCCGCAGGCAGAGTGTAATAATAACACTGTGTATGAAGTAGCCATTTAATTGGTCTTTTGTATAATGCTGTGATGTTTGAATCTAATTTTAGTTGCATTATTGCTGAGATCTTCATGATTGTATTGTGAAGGTCTTTACTGATCACCTTGACTTCTTCTAATCGAACATTCCAGCTGAATAGGCACATTTTATAACACGCATGTTCTGAGATCTTCACATTCAGCCCTGTAATTCCTTATGTTTTCCTCAAACCTTATCTTTAACCCTTGCAGAACACAGGGTTAATCCATTAGGCAGGAATAGAGGTTAGTGTGTCCCGTAGTGTTTTTATATGTGAACACAGCCCGTTCTACTAACAGATGTTACATTACATGTGAGAACACGCTCCAGCGCCAAATTCCTGATTTCTGTACATAGAACATTCCATCTTGGTGCTGCGCTTTCTAATGAGCAGATGTACTGCTGGAGCAGTTCAATCTATTAGACATTCAACCTGTTATCATTATTATTATTATTACTGGTATTTATATAGTGCCAGCATATTCCGTAGCGCTTTACAATTTTATCAAAGGTGGAGATTTACAAAAGACAATTGCAAAACCTTACAGGAACAATAGGTTGAAGAGGGCCCTGCTCAAACGAGCTTAGTCTATAGGAGATGGGTATAAAACATAAAAGGACAGGAAATCGCAATCAAACAAGGTGGGAGTTAAGCAGAGCTGGAGGAGAGAGTAGAGTGCTGACCTTTAGGAGAGAGCAAGGGTGGAATCTACAGGATTTGGTAACAGACCGGCTGTGAGGCTCAAATGTGAGACCAGAATCAAGTAGAACGCCAAGACAGCGCGCTTGCAAGGATGGACTGATGTGGGTACCACTCACTTGACGGGAGAGTGAAGGAGGTGGATCAGTATTAGGAGGAGGAAAGACAAGGAGCTCAGTTTTAGAGAGACTGAGTTTCAGAAAGCAAGAGGGCATCCAGTCAGAGATGGAAGAAAGGAAGCAGTTACCTGTTGCAGGACAGCAGGGAAGAGGTCCGGGGAGGAGTGGTATATCTGAGTGTCGTCAGCGTACAGGTGGTAGTGGAATCCAAATGAGGTAATAGGTTTGCCAAGAGAGGCAGTATAAAGAGAAAATAGAAGGGGACCAAGCATAAAGCCTTGGGGGACTCCAACAGAGACATGACAAAGAGAGGAGGTATCCTTTAAAAAGGAGACCCTGAATGAGTGTTGGGAGAGATAAGAGGAGAGGAAAGTGTCACAGAGACAGTGATGAGTTTGATACGGTTGACCATGTTCTCCTTTTCCAAAGGTGGCAGAGAGGTTAAGAAGAATTAGTACAGAGTAGTGCCCTTTGGATTTAGCTGCGATTAGGTCGTTGGTGACTTTAATAAGAGCAGTCTCAGTAGAGTTGAGGAGGCGAAAGCCAGACTGAAGAGGGTCAGGGAGAGAGTTGGAATTGAGGAAGCAAGTCAGACGGGTAAAGAAGAGTCTTTCTAGAAGCTTTGAGGAAAAAGGGAGCAGGGATATGTGGCGATAGTTAGAAGGGGAGGACAGGTCAAGAGATGTTTTTTTTTTTTTTAAGATGGGGACTACAGTAGCATGCTTAAGGACAGCAGGGACAACACATCTTCCATGCCACAATCTCTAGAGGGATTCCATGTAGAAGATAAAACTCAATTGCTTCACATTTTACAAGCTGGTACCTGAGCTAGCCAAAATATAATTTTTATCTCTTAATAAATCTTACCATGTGAGATTTTACCAGCAAATGTTAATTCATCCAGCTCGACCTTTCTTCACCTTTCTCTGTCCCATCTCTAATGTGTTGTGTGAATGATGGATATCTGATTTGGTGACATCAAGCTTCCTAGATTCTTCAGCTTTCTTTCTTACTGTAAAGAATCCTTTCCTTTGTTTTAAGCTAAATCTTCTTTCTTGGGGTCTCACCTCTTGTTCTATGTACCGTCCTGTTGGTAAACCGGCTACCGCAGCTGTTACAAGTCTGTATTTTAGACAAGTAGATCTAGTAATAGTCCTCCAAAGTATTTAATATGTGTACGGGACGGACAATAGGAGAGACTCTCATTCTGGAATGCTTTATTTCTCCTTCAACTGTGTATTGGTTGCGTTTTAGTGTAAATTACTTTCTATATGTATCTTTTTTTTAAGGCAATCAATGGAAACTAGAAAAAAAATGTTTATGTGATAAATGATGTGTGGTGCATAGGCTGAATCTGCTGGATGTACGTAGGATTATTCTGGGAGTGTGTCTTGCACGGAAGTCTTGTAGAGTGATTCTGCTTGGTGTGGGGGCAGGATTCTGCTGATTGAGTGGGCTTGTGTGGGGTGAGTCTGGGTGCAGGGGGATTCTGCTGGGTGGCTTGGCATGGGTGCAGGGGGATTCTGCTGGGTGGCTTGGCATGGGTGCAGGGGGATTCTGCTGGGTGGCTTGGCCTGGGTGCAGGGGGATTCTGCTGGGTGGCTTGGCCAATCTGCGGGTTGGCTTGCAGGGGATTCTGCTGGGTGGTGGGTGCAGGGATTCTGCTGGGTGGCTTGGCCTGGGTGCAGGGGATTCTGCTGGGTGGATTCTGCTGGGTGGCTTGGCCTGGGTGCAGGGGATTCTGCTGGGTGGCTTGGCCTGGGTGCAGGGGATTCTGCCTGGGTGCAGGGGGATTCTGCTGGGTGGCTTGGCCTGGGTGCAGGGGGATTCTGCTGGGTGGCTTGGCCTGGGTGCAGGGGGATTCTGCTGGGTGGCTTGGCCAATCTGCGGGTTGGCTTGGCCTGGGTGCGGGGCCAATCTGCGGGTTGGCTTGGCCTGGGTGTGGGGTCAGTCTGCTGGGTGCGGGGCCAGTCTGCTGGGTGGCTTGTGTATGGACAGGAGCGGGATTGGATTGTGTTTGGAGAAGTCACTGAGGATAATGAAGTGCTGGCAAGCTGTGGTCCGATATACTACTGACTGGTGTTAACTTCCCTCGATAAGGGGAACATTTGCACTTGATATTAGTTTTGCGTAAACCAGAATGTCTAGTTATCCCCTCTGTACTGTTGGATTAAATAAATGCAGAGAGAGGGGATGTCTCTTTCCGAGACGTTTTTATAAAGCAATTAATCTGTAATTGAGAACATTTTTACTTTATTTTAGCTTTACTACTTTTGAGCTTTATTTTTCTTGGACGCTGGGGTTTTGCCACAGTATCTCAGTCCAACCTTGTTTCTCTTCCCTGTCCCCTCTTTAAATTCCAGCTCTATGGCTTCATAACAGGAAACTAAAATACATGTTGTTTTCAGGTCCCAAATGCTGCCAAGCCAGCAGCAGGCAGTGCCCGCCCACAGGCACCCAGCAATCACAAACCGGGCAGTGCCAATGTGAGTAGAAGATGTAATATCTGGGTTCTCACCTGCAACTCTCAAATTCTCCCATCACTGACTGGGCTGTGAAGTTGGCCACGTGCCTTCAGTTAAATCTTCCTTTATGGAGACCTGCGTGGGTTATAGTGGGTGTCCTTTACTTGTGCCCCTGCAAGAGTGCCTAATATTTAATGGAGACCCTCACAGCAAGCTGCTGTGATCGGCACTCAATGATGCCAAAACAAGTGTAATGGTATAAGGCTGCATGCTTCTTTTAAACAAGGAAACTTTAGCTGCATGTTGACTACAGATAGGGACGATCACACGCCAATAAAGCCTGGTACAAAGCTGTCATCCTGGCGCCTTGCCCCATTGAGCAAATGCAAATCAGAGCAGCGATAAACACAGGGCTCTTTGTTTCCTTCCAATAACTGGTCACCCATTTTTAGTCCTTGCAGAAGGCAGTGGGTACCAAGCCCTAAACGAAGATCACTACTTCTAGTGCAATCGTTACACAGTTCCACCTTTTACCATCATAGAGTTTTATCTTGGGTTCTCCGGTTTAATTCTTCAAATTATGTGTTGGTTATCTACTATGGCTGCTCCAAAGCATTATATCCCTTCCTTCATGGAAAGAAAAGTTGGGAATATTTACATATATTACTGTAAGGGTAATCTGTCAGCAGACCTCAAAACTCATGGTTACATAAGGCAAAAAATGTAAAATATTAAACCTGTGAATCAATCCTATTTTCTTTCTATTGTATATCAATCTGTAAGTGCATTGGAGTTATGTGTTGGGGGTTTTATATAAAGATCAGTTTTTTTTCTAAAATGACGCAGTCACCAAAAACCCAATGGAATTTTCTGCCGATTGCTCGACTTCTAGAGCTTTAACCCAAAATGTGTCATTACCCAGTACCTGCAATGGCATGGTATGTTGGAGGATAGAAATGGCGTGTAGTATGTGCAGAGTGAGCGAGGCACCCTCTCCTCGAAGCCGTGTTATATATTTACAGATTGCCTTTATCTGGATTACAGGTGCAGATTGTAAACAAGAAGATTGACGTTTCAAAAGTGTCTTCCAAGTGCGGCTCCAAAGCAAATCTCAAGCCTAAATCAGGTAATATGATTCATTTCTAAATTGCATATGGTGACTATCACAGTGCAGAGTGTGGGTCTGTAATCTGAAGGCATGCAAGTCCTGGCCTGCCTGAGAGTAGTGGGAAATTGCAGTGTGCAGTAATCTGTTAATAGCCAGGCAAAAAGGAAAGGTCAAAAGACCTATTCTTCCCTTGGTGAGACCGATCTAAAATATACAATCATACATGTATACATGCCCTCAGAAAGCTTGTAGTTCATGAAAGCACATATTCAGAATTGGAGATGGGGGATATAAAACTTACAAGGAACTTAACATGTATAGCTTGGAGGAAAGACGAGACGGGGGGATATGATAGAAACATTTAAATACATAAAGGGAATCAACACAGTAAAGGAGGAGACTATATTTAAAAGAAGAAAAACTACCACAACAAGAGGACATAGTCTTAAATTAGAGGGACAAAGGTTTAAAAATAATATCAGGAAGTATTACTTTACTGAGAGGGTAGTGGATGCATGGAATAGCCTTCCAGCTGAAGTGGTAGAGGTTAACACAGTAAAGGAGTTTAAGCATGCGTGGGATAGGCATAAGGCTAGGGACTAATGACAGTATTTAGAAAATTGGGCAGACTAGATGGGCCGAATGATTCTTATCTGCCGTCACATTCTATGTTTCTATGTTTCTGTAAGATGCCTGCCTAATAATGTGTCTGGAACGAATTATACTGCTACAATAGATCCCCCTTAAGATCAAATGCAGTAATAGCTGGCCCTAGATGTATTGTAGTAAACTCTGAAGCAACCGCAATAAATAAGCCGCTAGAGGCTATATAACTAGTGGGATAATATGCCAGGAGGTAAGAACTAGCCATTAAGGTGACAATTCCCCCATATAAAGTGGTGATCAGGCATGTCTAAAGACCTTCTAGCTAATATAGGAAATTACCTCCTGTGGTTGGTGGCAACACAAAGCAAAGATGGTCTGCAGAAGTCACTAGGGTTGCTGCATGTAAACCAAACTATACAAAATGGAAACTGAAACTGCTGGCTCTCCAGGGCAGCGGGAATGGGACACTAGAGGGCAGTAGAGGGAGAAATGGTGAGTAAAGTGTGAGACTCGGTATAAATTGAAATCAGAGTATTTTTATTTGGTATTATTTAGACTGGTCTCTGGTTTTACATTGCCATTCAAAGTGATTGCTGAAATGGTTATTAGGTGTTGATAAAGCAGAGATTGACTGTGAGTTGTGCCAGGAATAGACCGGACGCACAGAATGGAGGAACTATTCGCGCTGTCAATATTAATCATGATTTATTTGTAGCTGCATAGGGCCTACTGTCAGAAAAAATATCCTCCCGGATCACACATGCTGGGTGAGGCCACGATTTCAGGGATATCTTCTTACCAGAGCCATGTGTTTGTGTTCAGAGCACAATGTGTCCTCTGTTGAACATAAACTCACTTGGCCTCCGTTTACCTTAAATAACCTTTGTTTAATCCCCCGATTAGAGCGGTCCGATAATCCCCACTCCTTAGACGATGATAACATTTTGAGGTTAAACATGCGGTTTAGGAAGCTATTTCCAGGCCACCGTGGTGGATCAGCTATTACACCATAGCAGCTGGAATTTGGGGACTAATGTATGAGTATCAGTCCTGTTCTGATCCATGCAAGTAGAAAGACCGGAGACCTTAACAGATACATTTTGTTTACATTGTTTAATGTGCTCTAGCTTGTTGCACATTATTTTGGTAAATCTTGGCAGATTAAACGAGGAATCCTGGTGATAAAAGCTGTTCCTGCTGCAATTTCAGAGTGGGCTGAACTGTGCCAAGTTCTAACTACCTCCATGTTGTATTCCATCTACTGCCTATAGAAATCTTCTTTCTCTAGCTTGTCAAGCGACTACCATGCACAACCCGATGGTACCCTACCTGCTTATACCTGTTATTGGACCCATGTTGCTGCCCTCTAGTGGCAGACACACCAAATTACCCTGGTATTCCAGGAGTGTCTTAAATAACCGTGCACCATGAGAGTTAAGTGTACCCCTAGGCTTCTTCAGATGGCTGCAGAATGATGTAACGGTTAGGATTTTACTGTATCTGCTCTGTTTTAATAACATTCTAAATGGAGAATTCTAAAATCTCTCACCAAGGGACTCTGTGCTTTAGGTCCGAAGATTGGGAAGGAGCCGCAAGCGTGTATTCCAAGGGAAGGCAACCTTCGACGCTCTAGATGTTGACTACGTCACCTGTAATGCTCTTACAGCCATACATCTGGCAAAGCATCTGGGGAGATGTAGCCCAAAACATCTTGAGTGCAGAAAGACTCCTTCCCCTGGTCTATTCTAAAGGTGGCCTGTGTGTGGTGCATGAGGAGAGATTGCAGGGAATGCCTATATTCACGGATGTATAATTTTTATACTGTGAATAGAGCCATACAATCTTCTAAACACTACGTAAATGTTTGCTTTTCTAATTCCCCCCCCCCCCTTGCTAGGTGGAGGAGACTCCAAGACTGAAGCAAGCAATGGAAACTCGAAAAAGCAGGAAGAGACCATGTCTGCGCCAAAAGAAAATAACGTAAGCCTTCTCAAAGGGCACTGAGCCCTTCCAAACATCCGCCTCCCACATGTCAGTCTAAGTACTCTCCCATCCTCTTGTCTCACTGTCCTCCTGCTGCCCCATGTCATTTTAAGTACTCTTCCCACCTCTTGTCTCTCCCCTCCTGCCGCCCCCATGTCAGTCCAAGTACTCTCCCATCCTCTATCACAGTCCTACTGCACCCATGTTAGTCCAAGTACTCTCCCATCCTCTATCACAGTCCTGCTGCACCCATGTCAGTCTAAGTACTCTCCCATCCTCTTGTCTCACCGTCCTGCAGCACCCATGTCAGTCCAAGTACTCTCCCATCCTCTATCACAGTCCTGCTGCACCCATGTCAGTCTAAGTACTCTCCCATCCTCTTGTCTCACCGTCCTGCAGCACCCATGTCAGTCCAAGTACTCTCCCATCCTCTATCACAGTCCTGCTGCACCCATGTCAGTCTAAGTACTCTCCCATCCTCTTGTCTCACCGTCCTGCAGCACCCATGTCAGTCCAAGTACTCTCCCATCCTCTATCACAGTCCTGCTGCACCCATGTCAGTCTAAGTACTCTCCCATCCTCTTGTCTCACCGTCCTGCAGCACCCATGTCAGTCCAAGTACTCTCCCATCCTCTATCACAGTCCTGCTGCACCCATGTCAGTCTATGTACTCTCCAATTCTCTTGTCTCTCGGTCCTGCCGCACCCATGTTAGTCCAAGTACTCTCCCATCCTCTATCACAGTCCTGCTGCACCCATGTCAGTCTAAGTACTATCCCATCCTCTTGTCTCACTGTCCTGCCGCACAACACACACAGATGGAATGTCAGTTCTGCTAGTACTGGGACAGGGTACAGGAGGAGATGGCAATACGCCATGCCACAGATCCATATCCAAGTACTGTAAGCTCTGAAAGTAGTGTTCTCAATAATCCCAGAAAGATGTTTTTATTTAACTCCTCTGCAGAAAGATTTAAAGAGCCCAGAAAGCGAGTCGGTCAGTCCTCCACAGAATGGACACCCTGCTACGCTCACTACATCCCCAAGCGAGGAGGCACAAGAAAATGGAGTAGGAGATCTGGTTTCCTTGGAGGGTGGCAATCCAAAGGAAAATCAGAGCTTCAACACGCTTATACCAGAAACGAGTAAGATTATCCACCCTTCTTTCCATGCACCTCGTTAAATTGTGAGACCGAGAACCAGCACCCGACCAGGGACAGGCTCCCGTTAAATTGTGAGACAGAGAATCAGCACCCGATCAGGAAAAGGCTTCCATTAAATTGTGAGGAGAACCAGAACCCGATCAGGGACAAGCTTCCATTAAATTGTGAGACAGAGAACTAGCACCCGACTAGGGACAGGCTCTCGTAAAATTGTGAGACAGAGAATCCGCACCCGATCAGGAAAAGGCTTCTGTTAAATTGTAAGACGCAGAACCAGCACCCGATTAGGGACAGGCTCCCATTAAATTGTGAAAAAGAGAACCAGCAACCAATGATGGAAAGTGAGCGATGGTATAGATTGCACACACTCTCTTACGTAAACTGCTTAAATCACTTTATGTTCAATATTAAAGGCATTTTATTGGCCCCTGGTAGCTGCAGTTGACATTGCTGTTTTATAAAGATGCCAATTCTAATGATCTTACTTTTAAAATGAAATATGGCATGGGAGCCGTATTTCTATTGTTATATGCAGAAATAATGACTTGGCCATGCTATGTATTGTCCCATTGCCTGTATTTACATGATACAGGGACAGGGCAGCAATGTGGTAAATCCATCCATCTTTAAAGGACCACTCTAGGCACCCAGACCACTTCAGCTTAATGAAGTGGTCTGGGTGCCAGGTCCCTCTAGGATTAACCCTTTTTTTGTTGTTGTTATAAACATAGCAGTTTCAGAGAAACTGCTATGTTTATAAATGGGTTAATCCAGCCTCTAGTGGCTGTCTCATTGACAGCCGCTAGAGGCGTTTGCGTGCTTCTCACTGTGAAAATCACAGCGAGACGATGCCAGCGTCCATAGGAAAGCATTGTGAATACTTTTCTATGAGACAGACTTCGTGCGCAGCTCCTGCCGCGCATGCGCATTCAGCCAAAGAGAAGGAGAGGAGGAGGAGAGCTCCCCGCCTGGTGCTGGGAAAAAGGTAAGATTTAACCCTTTCCTCACCATCCAGCCCGGCGGGAGGGGGACCCTGAGGGTGGGGGCACCCTCAGGGCACTATAGTTTCCTGGCACTATAGTGGTCCTTTAAAGTTTATTAAATTCTATCAGAGAAGATTAACTTTTGTGTAACATGGAAGCTCTGGTTTTGTCCAGGAGAAATATACCCTTTAAAAGCTACAAGTCTCATTATTCCTAAAATATTTGCCATTGTTCTGTAGCCGTATCAGCTAAACTTGCTTCCAGTTGAGATCAGAGTGCTTATTAACCAAGCTTTGGCTATTGTCTCGGAAGCGCCCCGCATACCCCAACACAGAGCTCAGGTGATCATACCACTTTAGAGACTTTATTCTAACACTATGCTAGTGATGATAATCATCAATTCTCTTTTTGTGCTCTCTTTAAATTGTTATGAAATGTCCTTACTTCATCATTACTGGTTTGTCCGTAGAGGGAGTGTAGTAAATTCTTGGATACCTACCTATCCCGTACACTGTATTCGAACAGATCGTACGATCTCAGGTATTCTACGTGTCCATAATGCTACATTTAACATATTTACTTTTGGTATTTTATGAATATAAACTCAAACATATTCGTAAATGTATTATAGAAGTTATTTCAGATAAGCCAAAAATAACAAGAAAAAAAAACAAACATGTCTTTATTTTCCAGGCATCTAACGATGAATTTGTGGTGTCGTCTTCCATTTGTCTCATTGTTCGGTCTCCTCCCCATACAACTCCCACCATCTCTCCTTCCCACTTGTTGTCCATCCACCTCCGAAATCGCCACACTGTTTTACTGCAGATTAAAGAATTCTACTGCGATGTCCCGTGATGCCGCCAGAGAAAGATGGACCATGGATGAGACGTCTCCACCCCCATGCCCTTTAGCCTTCCAGGCAGCACTTAACATCCCCTTTGATCCTCATCCTGCGTGGCTTAGCACATAAAACCGCAAGGGTTTGTGCCCTTTGATGCCTCCTCACCGCCGCTAAAGCTGCCAGTTGCTTCCATAAAGTCCTCTGAAGAGGACATATCTGCTGCTTCTTCCCAGCAAGGCTTGTGCTCCCATTTCTTTTTTGTTTTCCTAAACATTTGCTGCACTTTGAAAGACTTGCCCAAGGTTGGTCTTCTTAACTTGGTCTCTGGCTTGTAGGGTGAACAGTCAGTAGCATCCTCTTCTAGAGTTCTTCTCTAGCCAGTAAGCTAGGAAGATGGCTCAAGAAATTGATTGATTTCAGGTTTGTAAGCAATGGAGTTAATTACTCCGTACCGCGCAAGCTCCCAACTGGGGTCAAAACCGGCTGTTAACGCAATGTTTTAATATCCTGCAATATGAATTTTAAGGGATTTGTAGAAATGTCCTTTAGCTCCAGAGCAGGAATATAATCAATGTCTATTTCTTGATTGAAAATCCTAGATATTTCTTGGGGCATTTCATGCCTAAAGTTAAAATGTTTGTCATTCTACAAAGAACTTGTCCATCCTGAAAGCTGAGGCCAGTCAAGAACCTTTACCTAACCTTGTTCTATTGGTTGCTCTAAAATGCCATCCCCATTGCAAACGATCGTTCATTGTGTTATTATTTAATAGTAATAATGATAAATGTTAAGTATATATATATATATGTATGACACACATGCACACAGTGTAGGCTGTCTCCAGTGTAGAATCCCAGACCTGTATTTGTCGTAGTATATGTGGAATTTTTGTGCCTACAATCTACAACCTATAGTTACTTACATTTCCTTAGTGACTGAGCATCACCCGCTTCTGCAGTGCTGGCTTCTTATTGACATATCGAGCAATTGTATCTGTGTTCATTTAGTTTTATTAATTTAAATGTCGATTCATTGGGGGATTAGAAATTGAAAGGCTGTAGCATGTTGTATGGAGAGTGTTGGTGTCTTGGCCGGTTTGAATGGTCGTTTCCCCCCCCTGTATCCGGGATGGGGGAGGGGTTATGAACCATCCTGGACATTGAAGGAACGCCTTGTTTAGATCGAATACAGTAAATCTCGTGCCTTCAGACCAGCCGATCCATTTATTTGTTGGTCTGCGGATGTGATTTAACTCTGAATGCAAAGATATGTGTGTAGATTCTTTTTTAAAAGGCTTTTGTAAAAGAAATTCTCCTCCTGACAAAATCTCCAGGAATGAACAAAAGCTATTATTTTAGTAAAACTTTCTACCCTGATTTCACTTAAGGAAGAACATAAAATGCAGGTTAAGATATAGTTGGGGGTGGGCAAGGGGGGGGGTCCTTTGCTTTGTTTTTTTTGTGAAGGTTAAAACAAAAATAACGAAATGTGTTTTTGTATTATTGTGGTTTAAACTAACATTTAATGTGCTGTGACAGACACTAAAGGAATGATATGTAAATAAATATTCTGGGGTGTGTTCAGACTAAAAGGTTTTGCAAATTAGCGTTTTTGGGATCAGCGTGAGGGACAGTTGTTTCCAAGGCGCGAGCTGCTGAGTGATAACAGGAAGGAGAAGAGACGGTTAACATCATATCCCACAATCTGTACCCACCCACAGTTCTTATTGCACTTGTATTTTTATATATATATATTAAAAATAAAATGTTTGCATGATTTCTAATAAAATGACGTTAAATGTAACAACATTGCATTTAAGTGGTCCTATAGTCGAAGTGTTTACTCCGAAATGAAACGTGTAATTTTGCAGAATTGGGATAAGACACCTTTTGGTGCTTTACCACTGGAGTGCTGTCAGAGGGTTAACCCTTTTTTCCCCTGCCTGGGACTCTCAGTTTACTCGTTTGAGTGAGTAATGATTGCTCTTGGTTTCTGATGGAATTCAGCACACTGTTTCGGGAACATGTTAGATATGCTAAATGCATGTCTGAGTGTTTATTAAAAAAACACTGATCTGCTCTGCTTACTTTAATCAGCAGCCTTTTTAAAATTCTGCAATTCAGAGTTTAAAGTAACTCTGATCCAAGAAATGTTAATCTGGCTGTGTGTATAGGGACACTCCACACCCCTAATGCTTTAGCTTGCTGAAAAGCGTTCTGTGTGAAAAGTGTTGTCTTTATTATTTATTTATTTTCTTTTAAAAAGTGCAGATTTCAATAGAAATTTACACTTTTAGAAATCAACTTGGTTGCAGCCCCTGGCTTTCAATCCGATAACAGGTCTTGATACTTTCTGGTTTGTTTAGCTCAGTGAAGCTAAACTCAAGAGGCAGCAATTGCCCAGAGCACCTGCCTTGCAAAGAATTCTCACTGAGCTGCTTTGGGAAGTCTGATTGGACAGTCACAGAAAGTCTGGGCGGAGTTAAGAGGAGGGCTTGCAAAGGCTGCAGACAAGTGAAATGTATGTTTTGCAAGATGTTTTTAGATATACCCCCCAATGACATAATGCAGAATTAAAAGCATGCAAGTTTTCATTTGGGTTATGTCTACCCAATACTAATGGTTCCAAATGAAAATATGGTTTTATTTTAGTCAAAATTATCACATGTCCTGGGGGCACAGGGAGTTTCCGTTCATCCTTGCAAAGCAACCCAAAAGTAGCAGTAAGTCCCTTACTATAGCAACAATTGTGCTTACTACAGCAGGAGGTCTGAAAGTATTGATCCTGGTGGAATACTTATCTGAGCACGTTATCCCAATAATTGTGTGAAGGCTCTAACGGGTTCTCAACGTTAGTCTTCAGGACCACCTACCAGTCCAGGGTTTAGGGATTACCTGGGTGTGTCTAAGGTGTTTAGAAAAAAAAAACACCTTAGAGTCTAAGGTGTTTTTTCCCCTTTTTCTAAACACCTGAGACACACCCAGGTAATCCATAAATCCTGGACTGGTAGGGGGTCCTGAGGACTAACGTTGAGAACCACTGCTCTAGAATATCTACATACATAACACCCACAGAGCTCAGCTGCTCATTAAAGCAGGCTGCTCTCTGTGACCTGTCACTATAAAACATGTTAGGTTCTGCTAAGTGAGAGCTGAAAAGTTAACGTTTAGCATCCTGTTGGAACTCTGTACCTGTATCATATCTGCCTTAGGGCTGAACCTGGCTGCATCTATTGCCTCTTAACTCTTGGGGGTTAGCAAATGTTAATTATAAATTATTTTTCCCCTCAGAAAAAATAATCCTAATCGATTTTGGAAGCAGGTCCTTTTAAACGGTTCTACTCCTTTTTGTAAGAAGTTTTCAAATGAGAGTTCACGTAGAATTACTTTGATTCATGGATGAGTGGGAGGGAGTGGGCGACTGGGTTCTATGAGTGGGAGGGAGCGGGCGGATGCAAGTTGTTTGGGTGATTTGTGCAAAAAGGGTGGGTCCCCTGAAGCACTCCGTTAGAAAAGTAAGTACTGTCTACAAGTACAGCGCAACAGATTTTCCACCTATACTAAAACAAACCAACTGGATCTCAGTTCTTCATTTAGTAGTTATTCCAGGTGTAAGTTAGTGAGCTGTCCCAACTTCAGGGTTCTATTCTACTCTTAGCAGTCTCTGCTGCTGATAATTATTACTATTGGCAATTATATAGTGCTAACTTATTCTGCAGCGCTTAACAATATTCGATAATGGTGACATTTAACAAAAAATAAGACAATTACAAAATGTTACAGAAACAATAGATTTATGAGGACCCTGCTCAAATGAGCTTACCTAAGTTTCTCTCCATCTGCCTGTGGGATTATGATCCAGTAGAAGGTGTTGCCGTAAACCCAGGTTAAATGACTGGTAACGTAGGACCGCTGACAGGTGGTCATGGACGGAAATCTCTCTGTTCTGCATTTTGTCTTGCCGTGTGCTTGCTCTATCTAACGCTGTACTGTTGGGTTTCTGTCTTCTGCATTTCATTAAGGGTCAGTTGGAGCCTTTCACTTTGCGTCAAACATAATTAATTATTCTTGATCCAGAGCAGGATCTTGGCAGATACATATGGATTGTTATTGAAAAAATGCTTTCTCGTTACATACAGAATGTCCTCCATTAAACTTGCCAGCTATATGCATCATAGACGGCGGGTGAGTGATTAGCACCCGATTCCCGGTCTGAGACTGAACCTAAGATCTTCCACTGACTGTACCGGAGCAATATACTTTAATGGCAAATAAAATTATTTGAGAAATATCAGTTGAAGTGCCATATTTATTGTTACTGCAATCGTGTGCTGTGTTTGCTGATCTAGAAGGGAGGGTCCATTGCCCAAGGGGAATTCTGTGAGAGACGAAAACCAAATATAGAGAACACTTTTGTTCCCAGGATGGTCTACACCTGATTGATAAGGGCCGAACCATTCAAGATGCAAAAATAAAGTGTAAATATAAACTGTTCTGCATAGTTAATCCATGTCCTATCAGAGCACCTATTGGCCACACTCGTGTATGGCTCATTCCTGCCAGCAGTGAAACCAATCATTGTGTCTGTGACCAACTCACTACTGTAAAGCCCTGAACCAGTTGTGGAGTTTGGGAAGGTTTCCTCCACTGAGGGGCATTTATTAATTTCCTGATTGTTCTTTGTGTTTATACTTTGGAGTGTAAGCCGTGTGTCTTCAAAGTTTCTCTTTCAATAAAGAACAACTTTCACCTTTCCACTGAAATAAGCTTCTACAAGTTAATTTCTGATGCATCATGATATTTGAGGCCATTTAAATGTTGGATCATTAACGTCACCAAAGCAGCAGCGATATGTATA